TTTAGTAATTAATAATTAACTAAATAATATATATAGCAAAAAGCTTTATATATATAAAATATATAACTAACTTAGTTCTATAAATCTAGAATTTTAAAATAGTTTAATATATAATAATTATAAAATTATTAATTATTAAAAATTGCTTTTTTCTATTTTTACTTTTAATATAACTTTATTAATATAAAATATTAAACTATTTTTAAATTCTAAAATTATAAAAAATACTTTTTTTTATATTTTTTATATATAAAGTTTTTATATAGCTTTACTATATAATTAGTTATTAAATAAATAAAAATTAGATTTTTAGCTTTTTTACTAGTAAAAAGTGGTTCATCGGCTGCCGCGGTTCATCGGCTGTCCCACCTCGGTACCAACCACCCCGCCACGCCCCCCGGGCCCGCTAATCTGTAGTTATTAGGTACCATTTGCAGGCTAGTTATTTAGCTATAGTAGCACAACCTCGGTACGTGAATGCACGATCTTCAAATGAAGAAAATAGTAAGAAAGAATGTGAGACTCGACTAGGGTTTTCAAGCAATAGTAATAATAATTTGGTATACAGCACAACGCCGTGTGACGTCCTCCAACACTCTAATCCAAACCGAAATGCAACTTTTCCTAACCACCCAAATCATCAAGCAGCCGCCCAAGCAAGACCACCCGTTCCTCGTCATTGTAACCACGCTGGTTGAAAAACTCTTCAAACTTCTCCTACATGTTTTCAAAGTCTAGTCCCCAGTCCTCGTCGCCGCCACCGCTGATATCCATGTTCATGTCCATATCCATGTCCATGTTCATGCCGCCCATGTCTCCTAGGTCCAGGTCGGGCAGGTTACTCAGATCTGCGCCCAGGTCATCGGCACCGGTATCAGGGCCGATGCCCATGCTGGACAGGTCCAAGCCGTCGGCGCCTGCAAGCTCATCCATACTGCGCTGCAGCGCCTTGTTGTCCATGTTGGAGATGTCGTCTACGCTGCTGGCGGCGGCGGCATCGTCGATGGCCTTGTTGATGTCGTCGGATATGGTCTGCGATTGCATGTCGGCAATATGGACGCTGGGGAGGTTTATGGCGGGGGCTTGGAGGCCGACTTCCCCAATCGACGCGAGTTGCGCTTCCACGCGCCGGTGTAGACGGACGATTGTCTCTGCAGTCGAGGGGTCGGTCGCGACGAGGCTCGCCGCACCGTCGAACTCGTGCTTTAGCATCTCGCGCAGGTTGGCTCGTGTACGTGGTGTTGGTGGTGCGGGTATGGGGCTTCCAACCCAGTCTACGGATATGGGGCTGTCTCTGATGGTGGGAGCGCAGATAATTGATACGCCAATGTCGAGGGCGGCGGCACCATTGCCGGCGTCAGTTTGGGCTTTGACCTCGTCGACGACAGCGCGTAGAGTTTTGTACGTGCCGAGCATGTTCAACGAAGCATAGATTTGTCGATGCGTATAGCTAGGCGGGTTGGGCTGTATTGCTGAGGTAGAAGCCCACTGTGCCAACTGCTGCACCGTGTTTCGCAACGATGTACTCAACGTGCTGTTTGGCGCGTTCGTCCATTGTTCAACCTCTTTTAGTGTTGAGTATACAGAACGTTCATAGTGCGGGTATCTCTTGATCACTTGCAAAAGAGGCACAACGCTGGTACGACTCGGGTCACGCCGTTGCAGCGTGCGAAAGCAGTCTTCTAGACGGCTGGATACCATGGTCAGGATAGCCGAGTGCATAGCATGCGCGTCTCCGGATGAGGGGGGTGATACCACCACATTGAATATCTTCATAACCGCGTCAAGGTCGATGTGCGTTTGCTCGACTGCGTAAGATGCCATCCAGTTCAAGCCGCCGATCAAAGACGGCAAAAGGAATGTCTCTCCAAGATCTAGGCTAAGTCAGTAAGTGTACAACCTTCCGCTGCGTAGTAAGATGCCTACATTCCAGGCCGCTTTTGACCGTTTCGTATGACAAGATTCCGGTGGAACAGGCCAACACAATCTGTCGGAAGAGCGTCGGGACTATGAGATAGAAATCCTGCGGGCGACATGAGGCAAACACTTCGTTGCTGAGGCCTTCCTTATCGGCATCGAACAGGCCCTTGAGCCAATTGCCCATGTGCTTATCCTGCTCTGCCGTGAATTCACTCGGTAGCATGCTGCGATGACCCTTCGCAATGAGCTGGGCCACAAATGAATCATAGGGAATGCCGATGTCGTGGTATGTGAGATCGTAACGATATACAAAGGCCATGACGAGGACGAGGACCGCTGCAAACTCATCATACACGGGCTGATACTCGCCTGAACTGGTCAGCTACTCGTCGCGCTATATTGGATGAAAACGTACCCTGATCGCTGTCATAGTGCCAGCCATCCAGAAATCGGCACAGTGGTTCAAGAATGCTGGCTGGTGATGTGAACTGAAGCATAACGTCCATCGATTGTGGCTTCTTGAACACGAGGCAAGATATCTGCTTCAAATACATGGTCATCTGAGTCTCGCAGAGATGTGAGATGAACTACAGGCACGTTAGCAAGCTTGCTATGGCTTTAGACCGAGTTCATACCTCTGCCACAGCACCAACGATGGCACCAGCGTTCCCGTCCAGGTTTTCCAGCTCATCGATGTACAGGCTCACTTTGTCGAAGTTACTTTTACATTGGTCCAGCAGCTGTTTCCTCTCGTACTTCGTTTCAGGTGGACCTTGCATCGGCGTCTCTCCGAGCAGTCTTTCGACTGTACCAGCCTGCATAAGCCCGTGCAGAGCACAGGCGTTGAGGAAATCTTGTCTCACATCAGACAGCGAGTTGTTGTTACCCATCATGTCATCGAAGCCTTGAGAAAAAGCCGGAAAGGCATTTGGGTCCACATGGCCAAGCGCTTGCGTGATGCAGATCTCTGGTGTCATCGGAAATATGGATGCAGCAATCTGCGTCAGAAGAATGGGTACTTTGTTGATGAGGAATGACTTGAAGCAAAACATCTTTTGAGTAGGTTCACTCCGGTACATGGCATTAGCGAGGATATCGAAAGCAGCGGTAATCAGGTCTGTGGCCATGTTTTGGGGCTCAAGCTATGAGGGTCAGCAGAGCGTGGGATCCATAGAGCTATGATTTACCTTGTATCTTGAATGTAAGTAGTTTATAATTGTAAAATCATCCGTAAGGGGTCGTGCAACGAGCTAAATCAGAGAGTCAGCGTGAACCTCGTAGGTATCGTTATTACATACCAAGGAGTTTACGAATACATAGAGTCCAGCTCTAGTGTTCAGATGCGGGAGGTCCATGACTGCATCAAGTTGAAGAGCGGCAACCTCGAGGCCGGTATTCTCACTCGATTCGCCATGGACAGTAGAAATCTTTTCGTAAAAGTCGTGTTGTTTCTGCGATAATTCTAGCCGATTGGCGAGCTGCAACGACGTTTGAGATCCAACCGAGTTGTGGGATAGAAAAGGGATGAACGAAGAGAACGACTGGGTAAACTTCTTCCTGATATCTAGACCACTGTAAGTCGGAATTCTTCTGAAAATCGACCATAATCTGCGAAAAGGAAGTTCGAGCCTACCTTTGCCCTTGGGGTGGTCCAAGATTTGGAGCATCTTCTGATTCTCGACTATGCCCACCAGAAGCATACCGAGGGCCTCCCGGACGTTGATTGACTGTTGCTGGGGTTGCTGGATTCCAGTCATGGCTTGAATCATGGTGTCGCTCGTATGTGACGTGACCATTGCCTGCATCCATCTTGTGACCACCATGAGCGTTCGTATCCCCTCGTAATTGGTGAGCGGGCGGGCGTCTGTGACGAAAGCATGCTGAAGGCGAAGAAAGACGATCTCATCCAGATTTGGCGGATTGGTTAGCGGGACATGCTTCGCGGCATTGTCAGCGCCTGTCTTGGGGAGACGATCCTTTGAGGACTGGAATGCGGCGGTTAGAACGTCCGCGGCATCGATTTTTTTGCAGGCCAGCATTTTCTCAAGATAGACGACTACACGCGGATCGATACTGATGGGCCTTGCATAGCGCGGCCGGAGTAGCAGAGATGCAAGCTTGTCGCCTGGTATTGGGTACTGTGCGTATAATTCAGCAACTAGGTCGGCGAACAGATCAGCCTGGATCCGGTGTGCAATGCATGCATCCAGGAGAACGTTCCATTCTTTGGCGATGGACTCCATTACTCCATTAGCAATGCCCAAAGGACCCGCAACGCCTCGTGGTTGGCCGAGAGCTGAAATGATATTGAAGAGTGATGGGTTGGCGAGAGATGAGGCTGTCGCTGATCACTGACCGGGGCTTGGCAGGGCGCCAATGAGGTTAGCACGGCCACAGTGGCTGCCCAGATGGCAGGTGTAACCGAGGGTGATTGGAAGGGGCAGCGCGTTTGGGTAAGAGTGGTCGCCAACTTTGATCTCTGCATGCAGCTTGTGACACTTTAAGTAATTCTCGTAAGTAGGCTCCTTTTTCGGTCATGCTCCGTGGTACCATTGATGAGGTTGGGGTTAGACTTCGTGCTTTGTTGGGCACAGTTGAACTATGGGTGTGGGTGGGTCAAGTACATTGCTTTTCCGGCAAACCTCCCCCATGCATCACCATTGGCAGTTTGCAAGTCTTGACTTGATTACATATCCGAAAATTAGTTTCATATCATAGTTGTACAGGAATAATCAACCGCTATGCAGCCCTAGTAAACCGTGAATGCCTATCGCTAACCCCAACCCACGCGATCCCTGCGAATGCTGTGCACGCGTCTGCGCGACTCGGAGCGCTTAGGATCACATGAGCGATATAGAACGCCATACTCGATCGAATCCCAACCTCAAGACCCAGACCGACGGGGGTCAAGTATCCGATCTTCGACGTCTGGCGCCCGAGGACCCACCATCCAATCCTCCATAGCCAGCCACTGACTCCAAGTCTTCTCGGCGCCCTCGATTTCAGCAAGCTGTACTTCTTGCAGCGGCTTCAGGAAGGGGACTGTCTCGTGGGGGGACATGTCGTACTGGCACTTGACCTTTCCCCACCCACCGCTCTTGGCCGAGAAGAGGTAGTTGCGCCGCTCGCATTCGTGCATTGGGCCCACGCCCTTGCTCCAGTCCTCTCCGAAGAAGCCATGCATGATGCCCGAGCTGTCCATTCCCGTGACGACTAAGCGGCGAATGTACGGTATTAGCGACACCCAGGCGGGTGCAGGCTGACCCCGTGAATTGGTAACAGGTCCTTGTCGTGGCCAGGGCATGTTGTAGGCAGCAGGACCGGATGAATGTGGGAGGGGACCTGACGAGCTCATGAGAGGGTTGTGCGACCATTGGAAAGGCAGGCTGATGTTGATAAGAGCACAGACCGCCTGCACACCGTTGTCATGTTGGGCATGGTCGAGGAAGAAGCGTTGACAACTCTGGTAGGCCGGGTGCCATTCGAAGATGTCGAAGGCTGGCGTTGAAGCGTTTTGGATAGCTGGTGGTGATCCTGACGATGTGCTTGCGCCGCCTGTAAATGTGCCTCCTCTTGATGGAAATGTGGGATACCCCGCAGGAAAATTGGTGGTGAAGCCGGGCAAGCTCGCCATGGTGAGAACAGAGCGCCAGGACTACTGCAGGGCCAAAACTTGTCAGCGAGTGCTGGTTGGTTGGCGGCAAGAAACAACACCACCACCACCAGTAATGCCGTTGGCGACTCACCAAGCTGGGTGCAACGGCTAATAAAATAGATGGACCAGCGCCGCCGTGCTTTTGTTGGTTTTTCGTGCGTGTTTGAAATTGAAGGAGGGCAGGTTTCCAGGGTCCAGGTCGGTACCGGTAATAGTAGCGAGGGGACTGCGGAGGGTGGTGAGGCGTCGATGGAGTCAATGACGACAGCAAACCAAGTGAAGTGGACGAGGCAGGTCAGTGCAGCTATATTTTCGCAGAGAGATGAAGAGAAAAGCTCCTTATGACTGGGCGCTATAGGATGATTTATACAAAGCGGCCAGTCCTAGAGTTGATTAAGACTTCTCTCTTTTGCACGGGGGGTGGCTTCGGTCGACGCCGCCGTTAAACACCCGTAGTTTATTGAAGCCTTTGCAATAATCCTAGCGGGGGATCAAGACAAGTCGAGAGCCATGGCTCGGCTCCAGTGACGCTGTCACGCCTGTCTAGGATTCAAGGACGCTGCGCCTGGCCGCGCCAATGGGCTCCTTTGCAATTTGACCTGGGCGGAAGTGCCTGAGGTGTGGCGTTACAGGGTTGTAGATCGCGCATGTATGCAGAACACAGGTGAAGGGTGAACGCGATCGGCATATCACGTCGTCGACGTCGACGACGATGCGCGATTGTCGTTGGTCGCTGGCTGTGCGCCTCAGCTGCGCGCTGCCCTCCTTTTCCGTTTCCTTGCTAGGCCTGCTGCGACGACGAGGGAGAGACGCACGACCACCCATACAGTTACCGGAGCTGCCGAGCGGTGAGATTCTAGACTCGACGACTCGGCCCAACCCGCTCACACACCACAGAGCCTCCGCTAGTAAATAGTCGCGGAATGGGGCCCAGGGAGGCCGACTGACAGGCGTCTCGTCAACTGCCTCGACGCGCGAAACCCGTCCAGTGCGGCAGAGGAACCATTGGGGCGGCTGTCGGCCGACGGTTGTGTTCCATGATGGTGTTGTTGGTGGTAGTAGTAGTAGTAGTAGTAGTAGTGGTGGTGGTGGTACCCTCGAGTCGTCCCATGCATCATCATCTGTACCCGGACTACGGCCTTAATTGCGGCCAAAGAAGAACATCTTGTCGCCGTGTCGCCGAAGTCGAAGAGTCTCAGGAAGCTACACAATTGTATTTGCATTTCCATGGTACCACACAAGCGCGCGTGCCTTTGCCAGTCGTCGGAGCGCGACGTGGACGGAGTAGCCCGCACTACCGCCTACAGTAGTACCTCGAGCTCCATAGCACTACCACCACTACCACCATCCATAGCTCATAGCTTTGCGACGTCATAGACTGCTCCGCCTCGTCCGACCTCCACCGCACAACGCGTATCCATCACGACACTACCATCCCACAGCCATACGTACTTGTTGACTGCTGGAGGGGCACAGCTGGTTAGTAATCCGAATCTGAATCATGTCCGGCCGTACCCAAGGCGTTTGCCGAGCATGTCCATCTGCATGCCACCACATTCTGTCACTATCGTGGCTGACCTCCCGCAGCATCGTAAATCCCAATCGGTACATGCACGACACTGCTCAGGGCGTCTGAAAATGTCCACATCTACCTTGTCGTTGGCTTCGCGGACAAAGGTCGGTGCATCGCCGTCACACAACATGGCCGCCCACATGAAATAACCCTTGCAGCTTGCCAATGGCTTGTCCATACCGACCATCCATCTCGGCGTCTATCTGACTTCTGGCAACGAGACGTCCCAGGCGGTACGATATGCGCTAGAGGTATGCTTTTCCTGTTCCTGACGCCTAGTGTCTTATTACTCACGTCGGCAGGCCGGATACCGAGCGTAGGTCTCCCCCCACCGCTTGCTTGCCAGCTGTGTAGAACCATTGACAAATGGTGTGCATGCAACAGGGTCGACTCAGCTCAGATGTACCATAACGAAAAGGAGTCTGGCAAGGCGGTTCTAGACTTCCTCGCCAGTGAGGACAACACGCAGTCTCTCAGGCGCGAGGATATCCACTTCACTTCGAAGCTGGCATCGAACACAGCATATGACACGGCCCGCAAGGCCATCAAGCAATCGGTCAAGGAGTGCGGCCTGGGTTACATTGACCTCTTCCTCCTGCACTCGCCATATGGCGGCAAGAAAGCGCGACTGGACAGCTGGAGAGCGGTCGAGGACGCCATCCAAGACGGCGAGGTCAAGATTGGCGGTGTATCCAACTACGGCGTCAAGCATGCAAGTAGTCCCATTCCAATTTCTGGTTTGCTCGACCTTGTCTCAACTGGTACACTTGACAAGCTACATTGAGCCAGTATGGGAATGGTCCTGGAAGTGTTCTTCCGGGCTCCCGGCTAGTGAGCACAGAACGAGGTCCCCCTGACTGGAACAAGGCATTGCAGGATCTCGCACTAGGCTTTGAGAGCTGCACGTCACTACATTGGGACACTGGACTAACCATGAAGCAGCTGCAAGAGCTCCTAGACTCGCGACCGCGGACTCCCCCAGCGGTGAATCAGATCGAAATCCATCCGTTCAATACCAGGTTTGACATCACTTCCTTTTGCCAGAAACATGACATTGTGGTCGAGGCGTACGCGCCGCTCGTCCGGGCCATGCGCATGAAGCATCCAACCATTGTCTCGCTGTCCAAGAAATACGCATGCACGCCCGGGCAGTTGTTGGTCCGCTGGAGCCTGCAACACGGCTTCGTGCCGTTGCCCAAGAGCGTCAAGAAGGAGCGCATCGTCGAGAACTCGCAGATTGGGGGGTTCGAGATTGAGGAGGCTGACATGAAGACGATGGACGGATTGGACGAGTATCTAGTCACAGGTGAGTGCCTCCCAACGTCTTGTTCCAGGTGTGAAGATGCGATGAGCGACGTCGGCGATGGCGATGGCACGGCTCATTACGCTGGCGAGTCTAGTTTTGCGCTGACTGGGCTTCCTCTCTCCAGATTGGGATCCTACCGACTGCCCGTGAGGGTGGAGGACGAGAAAAGCGCGTGGGGGTGGAGCGAGGCTGGCAGAGGGTGGGAGATGGATGTGATGTGACCATCCGAGGGAGTGGTTTGCAGCAGGATACAATTGGGTAGCATGAGCAGTAGCGGTAGTCGCAGTATTGTAGTGGTAGCAAAGGGAATTTACGGCATCTCCGCTGCAGACGAGTGGTGGTGTTTGCGTGCATGTGCCCGCCCGAGGCCCTACAGTTAGCTACTGGCCCCTGCGGCCTCGCTCGCAGAAACCCCGGCACCGCCCGCCCACCCAGCGAGCGACGTAAAAGCCGCGCCCGTCCGACGTCGGCCAGCGTTTGCGCTCCCCATGGAATGGAATGACCCTCTTGAATTACACTTCCGCTCCTACTAGGCCTCCAAACTGGCCGGAGCCCGCCAGGCTCACGTGCTCGCGCGGGCAGACGCCTACCCCCCGCGATACTCAGCCCAGGCGCCCAATTGGCCGGATTCCTTATCAGTAGAAAAGTGTACACGATCGCTTTGGCTCAACATGGCGCGCACCACACCCAATTGACCACTGAGAGCGTCCCGTACGAGGACAATCACTCCGGCCCGTGACGTTTTCGATTCGTCTTTACATTATGCCTACCACCTACTATTTCCATTTCACCCCGCCAGCTGCAAACGAGCCTCTAGCCTAGCTGCTGCCGAGGCCTACGTCTATATATACAGCCCTCTGCTCTTGCTTTTCTTCCTCCTTCTCCCATCTTACCAACTCCTCCTTTCTGCTTCTACTATTGCTCTGGCAACTTCTTGAAGACTTTCCATACCCATACCCATATATACCCCAAGGAACACAGTTAATTCACACAATGTCCGAGCCTGAGTTTGAGCAAGCCAGGAAGGGTATGTACTCGATCAATTGCCTACCACTCCTGCTACCCTACTAACTCCTCAAAAACAGAGCTCGTCTCCACCCTCGAGTCCTCCTCCCTCTTCCAGAAGAACCCCGAGTACAAAAAGGCCCTCGAGGTCGTCTCCGTCCCCGAGCGAATCATCCAGTTCCGCGTCGTCTGGGAGGACGACAAGGGCGAGTGCCAGGTGAACAAAGGCTACCGCGTGCAGTTCAACTCTGCTCTCGGCCCCTACAAGGGCGGTCTTCGCCTCCACCCCACTGTCAACCTGTCTATCCTCAAGTTCCTCGGCTTCGAGCAGATCTTCAAGAATGCCCTCACTGGCCGTAAGTAACACTCGCGTGGCTATACCGAGAGTCGGGTGCTAACGTGGTTACACAGTCAACATGGGCGGCGGCAAGGGTGGATGCGACTTTGACCCCAAGGGCAAGACCAACAACGAGATCCGCCGGTTCTGCGTTGCCTTCATGAGGGAGCTCAGCAAACACATCGGTAAGTATTTCCCTTTGCGCCGCCTTCACAGAGCCTCAGTGGGGCATGCACCTCTCAACGGCCGCGCCCTACGCCCCGACAGCAGACCAACAGGATCGAGCGGGCCTATCTGGTCTTCTCGTCCGGTCTAGTCGGGAAATGTGCCGGACGCGCCCAATTATAATTTCGAAATTCCATATGCGAACATTTTACTTACGTAAATTGACAGGTGCTGACACGGACGTACCTGCGGGCGACATCGGCGTCGGTGGCCGCGAGATTGGTTACATGTTCGGCGCGTACCGAGCCCACCGCAACCGATGGGAGGGTGTCCTAACTGGAAAGGGAGGATCATGGGGAGGCAGCTTGATCCGTCCCGAGGCCACTGGCTACGGTCTCGTCTACTATGTTGAACACATGATCAACTACGCTTCAGGCGGAAAAGAGTCGTTCGCCGGAAAGAGGGTTGCCATTTCTGGCTCCGGAAACGTCGCCCAGTACGCTGCGCTCAAGGTCATTGAGCTCGGCGCAACCGTCGTCTCCCTCAGCGACAGCAAGGGTGCCTTGATCGCCACCGACGACAAGGGCTTCACGCCTGAGATCATCAACCAGATTGCCGCCCTCAAGTTGGACCGCAAGCCTCTTACTGCCCTCGAGAACCACAGCTTCAGGTACATTGAGGGTGCTCGTCCATGGAAGGAGGTCGGCAAGGTCGACGTTGTCCTGCCCTCCGCCACCCAGAACGAGGTTTCCGAGGAGGAGGCCAAGGTCCTCATCGAGGCTGGCGCCAAGTACATCGCCGAGGGCTCCAACATGGGCTGCACCCAGGAGGCCATTGACGTCTTCGAGGCTCACCGCCGCGAGAAGAAGAGCGAGGCCATCTGGTACGCTCCCGGCAAGGCTGCTAACGCCGGTGGTGTCGCCGTCTCTGGTCTCGAGATGGCACAGAACTCTGCGCGTCTGTCCTGGACGTCCGAGGAGGTCGACGAGAAGCTCAAGGGCATCATGAAGGACTGCTTCGAGAACTGCCTGGGCACCGCAAAGGAGTACTTCACCCCGGCCGAGGGCGAGTTCCCGTCGCTCGTCGGTGGTGCCAACGTGGCTGGCTTCCGCAAGGTCGCTGCTGCCATGCTGGACCAGGGTGATTGGTGGTAAAGGATACGCCGCTGAGCAGAACTTTTTGTATATGATACCTTACGATGGCTTTTACCTTTGGCATGGCGTTGGCGTGGATGCAAGCCCGCATCCTTTGTAAATAGATACTTTGATGAATACAACGATTACGATCAACTGCTTCTCTACCATGCTCGTACATATTTTACAGAATGCGGACCAGTTGACGAAGTACATGCTATAAAAGATGGGGCAATATTTTCAGTCCTGAGAGTTCTACAGGTTCTACACGGCTCAGGACTCACACACTCTCACTCTCAGCCCCCGCAACCCAATTTCAAATATTAGTAACTACAGTGCTGAAGAAAACACCACTTAATCATACCACACGAACATCACCCACCTTACCCATGTACCACAGCCTAAACTTCACAAGAGGGGAAAATGCATCTCCTCATCTCGCGTAACGTTGACCCCTCCATCGTGCCTGCCCCGCACCCATTCCCAAACAACGCCCCCACCACCGCCAGAACTTCACAGGCAACAAGAAAAAACTGCAAAAGGCAAGGCAAGAGAAGAACAAATTGAAACTTGAAGATGAACACACCATGCAATTTCAAAAGGGAAAATAAACTGCCTACGTAGAAGTAGTCAATCGTGCCCCAACATACATTATCCCCCGCGCGTCGCGTGAGATTATTTATTATTCATTAGCTAGCAATACACAGCACAGCACAGCACAGCGTAGTACAGCATACGCGCACGCGCAGAGATGGACAGAGGAAGATTGATAATGACCACACAATCACAGTCACATCGCCCGCCCGCGCCCACGTAGTCCCTCTCGCCTCGCGCACAGTGGTACACATCAAGTACAGCAATCGAGTAATAATCACCTCCCTCCCCCGGGCCAATTCACACCGGGCGTGGGCGTGGGTGTGGCTTGGCGATTTCGTTTCGATGTCGGAGAGCGAGGGGTCGGTCGGGGGAAATCGGGTCGGGTTATATCGGCGAGAGTGGGTGAGTGGGGAGATCTGGCCGGCCGGTGTAGGAGATTGATCGGTGATTAGATTGGGTTTGTGATCGGGGATTTGATTTCTTGATTGATTGATTGACTTGGTGGGTTGGCTGATTGCCGGTTGATCGATGGCGGAGGTGGGGTGGATTGGTAAGGGGGCGATGAAGGCTAGGTGGACTTTTTTTTGGGTGGGGTTGCGTTGAGTTGAGTTGCCTACTCAAGATTTGGTATGCAATACAGTGTCTAGGTGTTGCAGAGCCTCACATATGAGTTGTGCATGGTGGCTGTCAAGGTACACTCTACACTGCCTAGATACCGCAGTAATAATCCAGGAATAGGATATAGCTAGTCACCAACCTCAGTCATCAATCCTCACCCCCAAGCACATTCGTCCACTCCTTCAACAACTCATCCACCTCATCGAGATCCTCACTAGCTCCTTCCACCGACACCTCGGCTTCAACTTCATCATCATCTTCATCATCATCTTCGTCCCAATCTTCCACACTGGGGTACGACGGCCTTCCGGAGCCGCTATTGCTGCTGACCTTGTGCTTGTAGCGCGCGCGGTCCACGTCGGATTCTGGCGTTTCAGTATGCAATTGAGGTATGCCTACGCCGGAACCAAACGAATCTCCACAAGGTATGTATGTAGCAGAAGACAACGGTAGGTCGATTCGGTCTGTTGGGGGTGGTGGCGGGGGTAAGCGTGCATACGGAAGCGACGACATGTGCGATGCCACTGCACTGCGGCGTCTAGAGGAATTGGAACGTCCAAGTAACCGTAGTGGAGCAGCTGGTCCAATACTATCCGATGGCGCGTCGGGGTAGCTGATTGAGTGTGCTGGACCCCAGCTTACAGGAGGTGATTCTATCTTGTTCATTACAAGTGGGCGTTTGAACAGTCTGACGGCCTTGGCGACTGCGGGAGTCATATGGATGGAAGAAAGATCGGTGTTGGTAGATGCTCCGTACTCAGACCGTGCATTGAGCGATTCCCGTACCTCCCTTCGTGGAGAGTCCTCTGGACTCTTGCCTTTTGTTAGTGAGTAGTGGTAACTATAAGGACCACTGCCCCCAAAGCGTGGAGGTGGTGCATCATGGCTGCCACTATCGTAATTTGGAGGAAGAGACTTGGGGACCGGCATCTTGACGGGTGGCGCTATCTGTATTCTGCCATTACCGGCATCTTCATCTGAAGTGCTCTCTACTGCCCTTGGCACGCTTTCCCAAGGACCAGAGGAAGGTTGCCTACTGATGGCTTGTCGGACTCCTTGAGCTGAAACAGCTGGGTTGTCAGTCTTGTCCTGAACACCATCGAGCAGTGCTGCCCACTCGCTGACTTTTTCAATGTCATCTGGCATATTTCTGACTGTAGCATCGATATCCACTTCCGCCTTGTGTGTGTGTTTGGTTGGCATCGCGTAGGGATCGAATAGGTCAAGCTCAGACTTGGGTCGCTCGATGTCGCCGACATGGTGGAACTTCCTCTGCCGAGATTCACGAGCGGCAAGAGTATTGCGGGCTCGTTTCAGGGCAATGTCGTCGTCTGGGAGAGGTTTGGAGCTTCCAACCGCCTCTTCCTTGTGCACCGATTGAGCGCCCTCGCTCGTGCCAGCCGTTTCAACTATCCTGTATGGAGCGTATGGTTGGTGAGATATGGGAAAAACGGGAGCGTTATGTGTCTCGGATGGCCTAGGGCGAACTGAAGCAAAAGATGGCCGAACGTCTTCGGTATCAGTGAAAACGACCGCCTTCCTAACCTTGTTTCGGGCCCTCCTGTTAGTTTCGAAGACTGGTTTCGATAGCTCGACAGGTACATGCGATGGAAACTTGAGGTTTGTCGGATATTTTGGCGTCTCAGGTCCTTGATCGTCATTCAGGTCGAGCGCCATATCTAAATCCTCTAGGACTAACTCATCCTTGCTGTTCGTTTGGTCAACTGGCTCCTTGACACTAGGTAAGGATGCCTTATTTTGGGCGTCAGAAGATTGACGTTCAATCTCAGAAGCTACCAAAACTGGCTTGGGCTCTTCTGCCCCTCCTTTTGCATCAATACCAGCCGGTCGAGGAAGTGGTTCGTCGATGGTGCTATCGGGTAGAGGTGTGTCCGTATCAGCCGTCTGTTGTCTGCTGTCCACCCCTAAACTCCATGCCCGTGACCCTCTACGACCGGTCATTTGCTTTTTCAACCGCAGCGACCCTGCTGCACTGCTCCAAGGACGTGTAAGTCTGGTCTGATCTTCAACATCATTGTTCGTGTCGGTCCTCCTTAGACTTGAGTCGTGTCCCTCGATAGGTTTACACGTCGACAAGAACTGCATGGCGATGGTCGACCCTGGCTCGATAACGGAGCTCCAATACCTCGACAGCAGTATGTTTCCATTGGCATCCGTCAATTTAAAGCTCCTGTTATGAACGTGCTGCTTCCAACTGCTTTCATCAACATACGCCTCTTTGATGAATTTGTACATTCCCTGCCGGATATCAGTTTTATTACTAGTAAGCCGAGGGTTCACGTCTCACCTCCCATGTACTGCATACGTGGAACGGAACCGTATATTTCCTTCCTAGTGTATCCTGGAAACTGATGGGAGTCTGGCGTTCAGCGTGAGGAGACTTTGTGGCTTTGCTGTGAGCGGCTTCGAGCGCCACTTTTGCTGCCCAGCGTTCCTTCTCCTCTACTCGCGCCCTCTCTGTAGCTTCTTGTAACGCCTTACTAAAATTAGCATCCATAAGAGTATCGCTGCGAGACGAAATTTGGTTTAGCGTGCTACCCGTCATGGTCTTCTGTATTCCAATCTCTGCCTCTCTAACCTTTGCCTGAAGGGTCGTGCTAGTTAGTGAGCTGGTATCCGGGTTCTTTGCACTGCCTAGAAGAACACTATCGAGATGACCACGGGCACGAAAATAGGATCCTATGAGGCTCTGGTGATGTTCGGAATGATCGTCACCAGCGACTTGACTGGTAAGAGCTTGCTGCAGCGTCTCGATATCTTCCAATAAGCTCCGAATATGCTGGACGCACTTCCCGAGGGTATCCGGCGTTATCGTCGAGCCGATGGCTGAAGCAGCGATGGTAAGAGCGTCGGTAGACATAGGGTCGTCATTGTCCTTCTCTGACTCTTGGTCATTGTCAGTGATAGTACTACCATCGCTGACACTGAAATTCCGCAGTGATTCTTCGTATCTCTTCGTCGACCTCTTCTTGTTCTCGAGAAGCTCCCTGATGTCCTCACGCTGCTTCGCTTCAGCCTCGCGGTCGAGTTTCTTCGATGCGACTTGATGTGCGTGCGTGAGGACTTGCATCAAGAGTTGCAACGTGCTCTTGAGTTTGTCAATATGGTTGCGCAACAGTTCGATTTTGGTGTCCCGGAAAGGCAACATCAGCCTTCCCAATGTGTTCTTCTTGCTTTTTTTGAGGGTCGCATCTATATCGGCGAAAACAGTAGAGCACTCCTTCATCGTCTCATTCGCTGTCTTGACGGCATTCTTGGATATCAGATTTGACGTTTCATCTTGCTTGAATACATTGCCCAACTCTTCAACCACGAAACTCGTCAACTCGATCTCTTTGGCAATGTCCTTGATTCTTCTATCGGCGGTCGCAACGCCGTCGACATATTGATAGAGCGTCTGAGACAGCTTCAGCCCTGCACCGGCCACCTGTATCACACTCGCAATGAGGCCAATAGGCTCGGCCATGGAGGAGTCACAAAATGTTACAAATCTTGGTCCATAGTCAAACGATACTGATGGGTGACAGACGAGAGGTTATTGCTCGTGTGAGAAATTCATTGGGGCGCAAAAGTCCTCCTCCGCCGTCGGCCTAAATCGGGCGAGGCGCAGGGCTGAGCTGAGCTGACATGCAATCATCATGCGGGCCATGCTACGGACCGATTGATTTGATATCCCAATTACTGTGCACCAGAGCTTATATCGAGCGGCAGAGCTTGAATGCTTGATCGTGTGTCGGACAAACATGATGGTCGGAATGTGGGTAGGTTGAGGCTACGTTGAAAGAGGAAAGGTGCATACGAGAAACTTGACACCTGCAACCCCTGACTCTGCTACGCCATCGAGCATCAACACCCCCTGCACACCAGCGCTTCTAGACTTCACTGGTTCATTAGCCTAGACGCCACAGGTATACGTACGCCACACACTGCGCTATGAGGTCATTGAGCGGGCAGAAGGCAGAGGCGCCAGAGGAGGCCTGCTTCTGCTCGATACACACCCCATTCACACAGCAATTGTCGCATTCTTGATTTCTGTCGAGATTCCACAAAAGCCCCGAGAAACGTCAATCCTACGCATATTTCGAGCGCGCTGAACACAGTCTTCTCGATGGACGACAGCTTCAGGCAACCCGCGAAGCTACAGAAACGCAAGAGTCGGGAGCGACAAGAACTTGCAATGTCAGGTGGGCTAAACGGCCAAGCAGCAAACTCATCGCAGCCGATGGCGCCTTCCGAGAACATGTCAGCGGCAGAAAAGGAGAAGCGATCGAAATGGCGCATGTCCAACCCATTCCATACAAAAGAGAAAGACAAGTCCAAGGACAAAGACCGAAAAGACGTGGTCTCGGAGTCGAACACAGACTCGGCTTACGGTACTAGCAGCGAGCCCAGTACCAGTGCGAATCCTAGCTTTGCAAGCAATGCCCGCCCCATCTCTGGCGAACAGTGGCACCCGCCGCCGCCCAAAAACGAAGCACCTGCAACCTATAACAACCCACCGACTGGGCATACGCATGACACCCTTGCACCACCTCAACAAACACTTCACAGTCGCGCCAGCCAGGAGAGCGTGGGTAGAGAGACATATCGAGATGCTGGAACAGGCAACATTGTTACAGTCACAACTACCACCACAACAACGACTACAACTACAACTGGCCCAGGAGGGTCCGTCACCGTAGAACAACCAGCTGGAGGTAAAGGTTCAGGTAGCATTACCAACACTTCTGGTCCGAGCCCACCATCTCCAGCGCCTGCGACGCCTGCCACTTACCAACAGCCAGGTCCTGGGCATACAACTCATTACCCCGTCCCTGAAAGCCTAACGCCGCCAGTACCTACAAACTACCAGCAAGGTGGTCCAATTCATTCTCCTCAAATCTCAAGGCTGGAAGACTCGTCTTCTCCCGCCATACCAAGCAAGAGTAACATACGGAACAGGATGGAGTTGGACTCTGTCTCTCCTGCAATTCAGCGACCCAATCCCATGGATGATCCAATCAGCCCCGTTACGCCTGGTAGCCCCACGCGCGCAAATTTCTCCTATCCTGCCCGGCAACCCCCACAAGGAGTTCCTCGGCAGATCCCAGTTCAGCAATTGCCGCAACAGCAGCAGCAGCCGGCTGTGCCCCCAATACCTGCAAACCTCCAGCCTGGCGTAGGATACAACGACCCTGGCCATCCCCAGCCGTTCAGGGCAGGCCATGATATGCAGAAGCAATCTACTATGGCCAACCTCAGAGCAGCTGCGTCGGGGATCCATGTAAGCCCCCTTCAATCCACACTAATAATAGAGAATATGTACTAACTTTTTCTGAACAGGGAGCTGGAGAAGCCCTTCGCGGTACCTTCAATGACACATTCGATCGCCGCAACCCTGCCGCACACGCTAAGAATCAGGAGGTCATCGAAGCCGGTCGCCGCGAGATTGAAGCCTCACGCCTTGCACAACAACAGCGACAGCGACAAGCTGCGTCGAATGCACCTCCGCAAGGAGCCCCGCAAGCGCAAGCGCAAGCGCAAGGAGCCCCACAAGGGCTGCCGCCAGGATTTCCGCCAGGGCCAGGTCAGGAACCTGTGAAAACAGCGTATACTGGTCCGTCTGTGTCTGGCTCACAAATTGAAGGAAGGAGTGCATATGGAGGCAGGTTGGGCAACATCATGAAGAAGATGAAAGAAGGTCCTACGCCTGCTGCGAATCGCGATGGGACGGTGGGAAATACAAGGGAATATTGATTAAATTATGTCAGCGTATGAGCTATGAGTATACGTAATAAACCTTGTTTTGCACATTTTAGTTTCGCTTGATCTTATCTGTCGTATGTGACGTAGCCACGGAACGTATGTTGGTTTGGTGTAGAAATCTAGAGCAGAGTAGTGGATGGAATATGCGGTGGACTATGCTCTTGACCAAGTCCAAAAGGCGACCAAACTTCAATTGCTTCAATGACACAAAACTCACACTGCTACACGCAATACCAGAGCAAGATGCGAAGCAATTTGCCAATGCACACAATCAAACACAGAAGCAGATAATAATAGTAATAATAATCATTCATTACACGCACTACTAAACGCTCAGAGATCGTAGGGTATCGTCGATCGTATCGTACACTCCAGCCAGCGCAAAACCACGCTGTCAGACTAACAAAGGGAAAATGCCATTTATACAATCATGTCCGGTCTGCGTCCACGTCTCTTAGACGCGGCGAGCATTGCGGCCATCAGTGCCGTGCATGCGGCGGGTTCCAGCAGCCTTCAATCCAGGCCTCCTGGTAAGGCTTCCCCTCAACTTCATCAGCGCGCCGCTGACCTTGTCGCCAACGGTGGCATGGCGCTTATGGTGGTGGACTCCACCGGCAGCAGTACCGTGGTGAGCACCCGAGGTGCGGGTAGTCCTCGTGGTGGTGGTTGTAGTGGTTGTCGTAGCGGGAGTACGACGAGCTGTAGTGCGCTTGGGGCCTAGGAGTCGGGTCTTGAGGCTAGGACGAGCGGTGGTGCGGGTTGCCCGTGTAGCACGGGGAGCAGTAGTGTGGTGGGCACGAGTAGTGCGGGGAGCGGAGCGGCGCATAAGAGGCATGATGGATGGTTGATTTGGTGGTAGTTGTTGTTATTGATGTTGATGAAAGTGTTTGTGGTAGTAAGAAGCTACTTAAGAGTTGCTTGTGATTGAATGATGTTTGATGGTGTGTTGATGGACTCCAATACGTGCAATGCATCCAACTCTTATACCATGAGAATAGGTAGTTTCGGACCTACCCAGCCTACGGTGCCAACCTCTCAAAGCAAGTTCTCTACACTTTGTTCCCCGTAGAGCACAAGATCGGCTGTGCTGGGACACGGGCTACGTCATGCAGGGGACCCAGCGACTCGTGGCGTATGACGTCCCACTCTCTCGCTTAGGGTTTAATGTGGCTTATTCTATTTCAACCAGGGATTCTAGCCTGTTATCAGCTCTACTATGATGAGCGCTTACTGGGGTCTTTGGATCGGGACGTTGGGCCGTGATAGCGCAGGGCTGATGCGGTCATAGCGTGGGTCCAGAATCAGGGTCCACAACGTGCTTGGCTACGTCATACCCCCGAATAGCTTCACAACACCGTCGCAGGATTGAGAGGATTGAGATTCCTGGGGTAGGAAATGAGATGATCTCGAGCCAGTTTCCCGGACGTGCCCGAAGGAAGGTCTAGATCACTTTATCGCATACTGACTGAGTGATTGAGTGACGTTTGCCGAGCGTGCAACCGAGGGCATTGGTGGTCATGAATGTTCCGTCTCTCCTACACACAGTCTCTCCCCAGAATCCGTCTCACTTCCCAGATTTCATCGCTCACTCAGCTGGATTGCGTGCGAACGATACCACGGTCGGTCATATGACCATGCGAAACGGTTTGAAGCCACAGTCGGTGCGCATAGGGCTGAAACGGGCCGGGGCCTGCACGTTGGACTTGATGAACACAAGAGCAAGACAATGTCAATCGCCTTCAGTAACTATGTTTTTTGGAACAGGATTTGCTTTCACTCTTACATTTACCTTCATCATTGAACAGTGTGTGTCCCTGAGCAGCAGCTCCACCTTAACAGCGTTAGCTTTTTGTGGTGACTGCTGTGTGATGTCACTCGAAATTATGGACTTCAATGAAAGTTCCCCCTCGAGCACCACCACCAACCCATACAATCATCAAGTCAATTGTCACTAAAAACATCGAAATCGTCTCTCTAACTGATAATCTACATTAAAATACCTCAATTTCCACAATGTCGTCTAACAAGGGCGTGTTCGAGCAGGGTATGTTTCACGTCTAGCCCGAGTCGACAGTGTCGCTAACTCTCAATTTCAGGATTTCAGCCCGAAGTGCAGCATCAAGAAGTGCCTGGCCTCCATTCCAAACTCGACCCACAACCAGAAATCGACCACCTTCCCACACCCGATGGCGGTCGCGAACTATACAAGGCTGCGGGCAAGCTGAAGGGCAAGAAAGCCATCATCACAGGCGGAGACTCCGGTATTGGTCGCTCAATCGCAGTACTCTACGCTATGGAGGGCGCCGACAGCTTCATTGCATATCTTCCCCAAGAAGAAGAAGATGCCAAGGAGACGGTCAAGTTGGTCGAGGCCAAAGGCCAGAAGTGCTACACGTACGCGACTGACCTGACGGACCGGGCAAACTGCAAAAAGGTCATTGAAGAGGCATTGAAGCAGATGGGAGGCATCGATATCCTAGTAAACAACCATGCGTATCAGATGATGGTTGAGGATATCAAGGACTTGGACGAGTGAGTTCAACCCTAGCTAATGGCATCACGTAAGGGGACATGACTGACAGAATTAGGGACCAATGGGTACACACCTTCAACACCAACATCCATCCTTTCTTCTACCTTTCCAAATACGCTCTTCCGCACATGAAAAAGGGCTCAACAATCATCAACAACGCCTCTATCAACGCGTACATCGGGCGCCCTGACCTGCTCGACTACACGTCCACCAAGGGCGCCATCGTTGCCTTCACGCGCGGCCTGTCGAACCAATACGTCAGCAAGGGTATTCGCGTGAATGCTGTTGCGCCAGGCCCCGTCTGGACGCCTTTGATCCCTGCGACGATGAATGACGAGGCAATTAAGCAGTTCACTGCTCCTATCGGTCGGCCATCGCAGCCTAGTGAGATCGCGACTGTCTTCGTCTTCCTGGCAAGCAATGACAGCAGTTCGATTAGCGGTCAGACGATCCATCCCAACGGCGGTACGGTCGTTGGCGGATAAGCGCGAGCAGTATATAGAGACGAAAATAATGCATGTGCGACTTTATATCACGCTTTTATGATTGAAAATTACAGGAACTTGAAATGACTATTGTATTATTTTATTCATGCGATAAGAGTTATTCTCTATAAGGGGTATATAACCTGATCATATGTACAGGTTGCATGTATAGGCTTCTAAAGCTCTGCCTGGCGTGCGACGTCATCTATCTCCGATAAAACTCCTAGCACAGATTGAGCGCTTTAGATGATTATCGTAATCATCGGTGGCCTCACCGCCGACGTAGTAAAACAGCCAGTCGTATACATGACGACATCGGAGCTCGGTGGGTTAATGGAAGTAGTAACTCGCGTCGTATCAGTAGAAAGCGTTGTCGTCGTCGTTGTAGGTGCCAACACTGAGCTAAAGTAACTCGTGGTGTCTGTAGTCACCGTCGTCGTGACCACTCCGCTTGGACTCGGAGTAACAGTCGTGGTAGTCGTAGCTACTCCATACGTAGTAGTTGTAGAAACGCCGCCATCCGACGAAGCACTGACTGTCAAAGTTGCCGTGATAGTGCTGGTACTGGTTGGCAGAGGCGGGTAGACGGCATCCACCGTATTATCACTGGCGGCGCGCTTCTCGTATTCGATATCTTTTATTTCCACAGCAGCGCGCGCGCTATTGCGACAAGTACCGGACTTGGTCTGGCAGCCAGCTCCGCAGTAGGCAGTGGTGGTTCCACACCAGCCATACTGACTACAGCAGTTCCCGAACTTCGAGCCAAGACAGGTGTATCCAGTCTTTCCACCGCACGTTGCGTCAGGGGAGATCTTCAAGCCGGGAGTGGCGCTAGGCTTGGATGAAGCTATTGTCGATGAAGTGGAGGCGCGAGCGCTCGAAACAGAGCTCACAATACCGCATTTCCCAAAACCGGGCTGGCAGCCTGTCTTGCAGTAGGCTGCGGTGACTCCGCACCAGCCGTAGGAGCTGCAACAGTCGCCGAATCCGGAGCCGATGCATGTCTGCTTCGTAGTTCCGCCACAGCGTGCATCAGGGGAAATTTTGAGTGTTGACGATGCTTGTGCTGAGCTTGAAGAGCGTGTTGAGGTGGATAGGCGAGAAGATGGTGGGAGAGTGGATGTACGAGTAGAGAGTGTCGACGCGATTGCGCTTGACGTCCTTGACGAGCTGGCGGATGAAGATGTGCTTGAAGATTGCGATGAGCTGAAGCTGACAGCAGATGACGTAGTTGAAATTTGTGATGAGCTGTCAGTAGATGAACTGCTCGAAGGCTGTGATGAGCTAGTAGGAGACGAACTACTCAAAGGCGGTGATGAGCTGGAACCGACAGCAGACGAACTGCTTGGAGACTGTGAGGAGCTAGTGGCAGACGACGTGGTTGAAGTTTCTGACGAACTGGCTGCAGACGGTATGCTTGAAATTTGCGAAGAGCTAATCGCGGACGAACTACTTGCAGATTGTGAGGAGCTAGCCGCAGACGACGTAATCGAAAGCTCTGATGAGCTAAATGTCGACGAACTGCTTGAAGATTGCGAGGAGCTAGCCGAAGACGACGTGCTTGAAAGTTCTGATAAGCTGGCTGAAGAGGAACTACTTGACGGTTGCGAAGAGCTAAATTCAGAGGTTGTACTCGAAAGCTCTGACGAGCTAGCTGAAGACGACGTACTTGAAAGTTCTGATGAGCTGGCTGAAGAGGAAGTGCTTGACGGTTGCGAAGCGCTGACTTCAGAGGTCGTACTCGAAAGCTCCGATGAGCTGGCAGAAGACGACGTGCTCAAAGGTTGTGTGGAATCTGAAGACTGCGAGGAGCTAGCTGCAGACGAACTGCTCAAAGGTCGTGAAGAGCTGGTAGTAGAAGAAGACGAACTTGAAGGTTGCGATGAAGAAGGCGAGGGACAATCCGAGATAGACACCGTTATCGTAGACGCGGGCGCCGCTGGAATAGTCTCAACGGACAAAACGGTTGCGGTGTACTCAGTGACCGTGGTAGTGGCAATTGGCGGCGGGGTGGATACGTCTGATAGTACAATTGTAGTCGAGTAGGCCGTTGCTGTGGTTGTGCTTGCCGGCTCAGCGGACAGGCTTGCTGTAGCAGTGGACGTACTGGAGTTGATGGTAACAGTGGAAGTACTCGTTGGTTGTGCGTCAAGCGTAGCTGTTGTAGTCGTCGTAACGTAGATAGGTGTACCCGAGTAAGGCGTAGTGATGACAAATGTCCGAGGAGAAAACACTGGACCAGTAGCCTCGACGAAGTTCAGCGTATAGGTCCCGGGAACCAACTTATTCAAAGTGATACTGGGACATTGAAACGTGGTATACGTCGTGGAGCCGAAAGCTTGGGAAGTGGTCGCGGGTGTGATAAGCCCTCCAAAACATACGGTTGTCCTCTGTCCCGGAAGAACAAGGTAAGGGGTTATAGTGTTTCTTGCAGCTCCGTATCTAGTTGGGAAGCTACAAGTACTCCCAACTTGAACTCATCAGCCATCTTGCAAGAATGAGCAGAGCGACAAGACAACATACATCCATTTGTGAAGCTTCCACTAGCTGCCAGAAATCCCGAGTTAGTTGGATCAATAGCGTAGGTAGGCATGATGCTTCCAGACACAACCCGAGGGAAGAGCGGGCCATCAAAAGTACAGATATTGCTCATGATGAAAGATTAACACAAAAGTGCTCGAATCACTTGTAAAGAAACGACTGCGAACCAAGGAGGGAACAACTAGAGAACGACGCAAAGATCGATATATACTTCTCATGAGCGGCCACCAGCTAGCCACTTTTTTAATGTCTTGCTTGCTCATATGCCGCCTAGAAAGACTCCGCGAGGGCGAGGCGTACACACTAACCTAATGGATCGCGCGATCCTGCCTAGCGTCTGATTTACTTCCTCTTTGGTATGACACTCCTGAATTTGGCGCAAAGAGGCGCCGCCACGCGCAATCACCGCTCTTATTTTTGAAGATCGCAGGAGTCAAAACGCGTGCGGCTGAGATCTGGAACGGGTGCGTTAGGCTCCAGGCCGCATTTTTAGTGCTCGTCTTGTGATGCGATCCCGGCGTTATGCACATGGAAGTTTAGAACATGGAGCTGAAAAGGGTCAGGCAACGACAGAGCGAGCTCGGCAATCAAGACTGAGATTCGCGATGGAAGTTCCGATAATCTCTAGATGATCTCCAACAATGGCACAGGCGATCTGGACTCATCCCGGGTAGCTCTTCCATTTCAGGTGTAGCAATCAAGACTAAAGACGGTACTGTCAATAGCCGATAAATAGCGTGGGCATTTGCTCACGTACCGCCTAACATGATCTCAGTCTTGTTCCTCACTCTCGATAGAGACTATTCTTGCTGATATCCAACGAGATCTATGTGCGCAATAATTACCAGACCACTTGAAAAAGAATGAACTGTGCCAAAGATAAGTGTGCCACACTAAAAGAGGAGGGTAGCATGATAGACTTCGTATGAAAACTGAAGGTACGGAGAAGTGACGTCTGAGAAGATTTTGAGACGGTAGAGAGTTGATATGATTGGAAAGGGAGTGATAAATGGAATAATATTGGGTTACAAGTCTACAATAGGACCTAAATATATCCTAAGAGCCGAGCATCCTGCCCGAGGCCGTCTTTGGTGGAGTGTAGTCGCCAAATCATTTTGATGTTGAGGCAGAGATTCCGAGATCGGAGAGTGAGCAGGAGTAATATTGATTAGATAAAAAGCAATACAGTGTCACATCTCGTTTGACAGTCGAGCGTAATGTAGTTGTAAGCGTCATGTTCATCGCAGCAAGTTTAGCCGAAAGAGCCCCTCGCGAACATGCAAACCATGCAAACACCACTGCCAAGCATCAACTGATCTCACGCGCTCAACTTTCCTTCTCCACACCCAATTGCGCCCCAAGACATCTACAATGCCTCCTCCACGGCTCTCACTCGCTCTTATACGAGCGCCAGCTCAAATCAGGCTCCAATGTATCCGCCGCATCGCACCCTTCCGCTACGCATCCACCGCACCCACGCATGAAGCCTCAACACCCGTCGTACCATGGAAGACACCGACAAGCGTCTGGTCGCCCGAGAACCTAATCCCTCCGCCCAAAGATGGCGAAGTCCTTATGGAGCGCAAGCCAAATCGCGAATTACCACCGTACGTCCGTCCCATGCCGCTTCTGTTCAATTCCAATTCCCACTTCACCCTCCATGCCTAAAGTACCAAGTAACTAATCCACTCACACAGGATACCCCCCCTCATACCCACTCAAGTCCGCAACACACTCCCCATATTCGTAATAGCAATGGCAATCTCCCTCCTCGCCTTCTTCAACTACCAAAAAACCGAGTCGAGCGTAGTATCTTCGACGCTCTACGCCCTGCGCACCAACCCGCTCGTGCGCGAACAACTGGGCGACGAAATCTACTTTGCGAGCAAGCACCCGTGGATCAGTGGCGAGATCAATCAAGTACATGGGCGCATCAATATCAGTTTCTGGGTCAAGGGGACCAAGGCGGTGGGGCAAGTGAAGCTGAGGTGTCGCCGACGGGGGAAGGGTGGGTTTTACTTCACGCAGGAGTATAGTTTGACCGTGTTGGATCCGGAGGCCGAGGGCGGGGAGAGGAGGCTGGAGTTGTATGATCCGAATGGCAATGCGATTGATCCGTTTCAGGATCCGATTGGAGACGAGTGAACTAGAGGAGACGAAGGAGGGGTTGTAGCACTTCTTCGAGTGTATAGGAAAGGGCATTCTGGCAATCGCAGGTCGGAAGAGCCTTGCTAGACCTATGCGGAGCCCCATGGACTCGTCATGTAACATATGTATATATCTGTGCACCAGCGCATCATGTACAACAACACCACTATGCATTTAGAGACGGTCAAGAACGGCATGAAAACTTAAAGCTGTGGAATATGTATATACTCATCACAAACGAGAGATATAAGGCGCATCATTACGCGACTCGTGACAGTTCCATCTTTTTCATCGCATCAGTAAGCCGTGATACGTGTCGAATACATGATAAAACGCCGGTGCCATTGGTAGCAATATGCCGCAGTCAAACAATAAGGAAAATGGTATCATAAAGTGTTTAAACACGCGCTCCATTCATCCTCACCCACACACACAAACGCCAGCTAGACGTTTTAAATCTTGTCGTAATCTGCCTCTGGCCTCCTCACGCTCGGATGATGCGCAAGGTTTGGCTTGACGAGGTGCGCAAACTGCGGGTTGACGTTGAGTGGGTACGAGATCTCAGGCATGTGCGCAGCCTCTTCTTCTTGCTCTTCACGCTGTCGTTGCCAGAACTTCTTCTTCTGCGGCTCGCCGGACGTGGTCCTCGAGTAGATTGAGCTCGATGGACGGTGTGAGAAGAACGAGGGCTTAGCGGGCGAGGTGCTATGGTAGGAGGGCAGGAAAGACTGTCGCGCGTTCCGGAAGCGTTCGCGGATTGGGCTAGCGAAGTTGAATTGGCTGAGATTATTGCCTTCTTTATTAGGCGAAGCGACCTGAGGTGAGCCACAGTCTACTGGCGGTGTACCCTGGCGCATAGGTGGTGTGCCGCCGTTGAAGTTGTTGCGGCTGGAGCTGCTGCCTGTGTGGTGGGTGCTGATGGTGAAGGCTTTATGCTTGGGGTCGTAATAAGAGCCGTTTTCGATATCCTCATGCAATGTCATGGCACCGCGCGAGCGGACACGGCGGGCGGTTATATTACGGGACTTGTCACGGAAGACGAAGCTCTACGTAGCATTAGCATCCTACTTTCAAGATAATGGGTGTGAAAATACGTACAGCAACGACGTTGAAGAAGCCAATGACGATGGACAAAATACCTGAAGCAACGAGCAGTCGCCAGAAAGGCATGCTTAGCGACTGCTGGCTTGTAGCTTGCTTGTTCATGTTGCCGAGCATGTTGAGCCCGATGACCATCATAGCGCAACCCAAGGTGACGAAGCCATGGGCGGGACTGAGGAGAGGCCAATTGCGGGCGAAGAAGCCGCGGAAAAGTGAGCATTCAGAGACGATGAGGAACAAGCCCACAATGGCGGTAATAACATGGCTCGTAGCATCGAAGAAGAAAAACTAGGCAGGTCAGAATCTGCATAACTTCCAAGCTTGCTGTTGAACGTACCTTGGAAACAATGAATGTCTTGACAAGCATAACAATGCTGCTCGCAACCACGGAAGCAAGTGCAATGATATTGAGGCCGCGGAGCACATTGAGAATGATGTACCCTGGTCCAGCCAGGTGATCGGCTGAAAGAAGCGCCATTTGGAAGATGTACAGATAGTCGTAAATTGCTCAAGTAACTAGGGATCGTAGAGAAAGGTATATGAGCTGTCCAGCAGTCGAGAAGAGCGCGTCGAGCGATTGGAGTGAGGGAGTGTGTCGGTCAAGAAGTTGGAGTTTACGAATATAACAAGAGGGGGGATCCCACGCCGCAAGGCTAGCGACCTGCTCGCTGGACAATAGCAACAACAAAGAACAATAGAGACTGAAGATGAAGAATAAGAAAGAAAGATCGAAGTCGAAGTGAAGGAGGGAAACCTGAGGACAAAAGTTGCCACTAGCCTTTACCTATCATTGCCGCGACCCTTACAGCAGCCCCAAATAAAGGCCCATCGCGCTGGCACCTCTCCTCGAGTCACAATCGAGTGGTCAAAATTACTCGAATGCATGCTTTGCGCCTGTACTACTGGCTGAGGTGAAACTCGGGACGTACCCCTGCTGGATGCGGGCGGGAGAGATCAGGCCCAGTCACCCATCTCTTCGCTGTTCATCTCGGTACGGGGAAATGGAGCTGAAAGAGCCCAGGGCCCTAGGAAGTCGGGCAGCCAGACGTTGAGGTGCCGTTTGAGCGACGTGTGGCAGTCGCGTAGTGATTGGTGGTGAGCGCTTGAAACGCGCTCGGGTAGCGGCAAGGATGGTGTTTCATAGTCTAAACACTCGATGGGCCGCACAGTCTGGGGGCGGCTAGATCATCGGGCCTGCAATCGTTGCTGTTCATTTCTCCGATGCCAGACGCCGCTGCGACACAGATGAGGTCGGAGTATACTATGCCGGAGGTCACTATGCAATGGCATACGAGGGCGGGTGTACAAGGCGCTACGGTAAGCGAGCATGCCAGCGAAGCTGAGGCTAGATCACGTTTCCTTCTACAATGTCGTCCTGATACTGGCACTGATCTCCAGGGCTGGGCAAAAGGTATGGGAGATGAAGACGAACGGGTCGGAAGTTAAAGAGGGATGATTAGTGAGGCGACGGGCCGCCTCCCTCCTGCAACGATCTTCAAGTCATGCCAAGCAGTAATTCCGGTCAAGCAGTCATTACTTCAATGTGGTGTACGTTTTACCACTTCTTGCAAGTACTAAGAGGGCAGGAAATATCAAGTAGATTCAGTGTAAATTTTGCTCAAATATTTCCATTCGTCACAGGGTATAGTGCTAATAGAGCAGACCAGAAAGCAAACAAAATTCAGTCAAATAAGGCCATGGCCGAAGAGTCATTCAAGACGCCCGGACGGTCAACACGCCCCCGAATAGTTTGCCAACTCTGTATATCTGACGCGGTCGCGGAAGCCTTCCGTTGATCTGTTTCAATGTTAAATGAGCCATCTTTTCACAGTTCCATTCAAGATATCTTACTCGGGTCCCGTCGCGGAAGGCAAGTTCGGTTTGACCATCATTCATTGGAATGGCATTGGCAGGGAGGTCGAAAACCTCACGCAAAGATCGGTTACGTTTGCTGTCCTTTTCTTCAACACCCTTACCTGGCTTTGACTCACCCTCACTCTCGTCAAAGCGGCTAGACATCCATGCCCCATCACTCTCGTCATGGATGTCCTGTCTCCGAAATCGTCGCACATGTGCCAATCGGTGATCTGAACCAAAGAATTCCTTCCTAGAAGGCCTTCTCTTGATCTCAGCAATCTTCTCCATCCTGTCCGCCGACTTCATCGTCACATCTGAACGCTTTCGATATTGCGGGAAGACTGTATAGAAGCTGGTTTCACGCTTGATGTTATGGCCAGAGTTGGATACGCTCTGAGGCTGATGTGGCATGGACCGCTCAAAGGGCATGCATAGTGAATCGTTCAGTTTAGTCGACGGAATGAGTGCATTTGGTATAAACGGAGCTTTTGACGTCGATATGAGCAAATCAGGAGCAGCATCGGTTTGGACTGGCGTGGGTTGGGTAGGTTTTAGGAGTGGTGATAGTATCCGCTTATCTCCTCGAAAAGGTTGATTGGCGGCCTCCAGGGATTCAGTTGTTGCTGATGAGTTCCTTGAAATCTTTGAATTCGCATTCGGTCTAGGACGAAACGCCGCGTGCTTCTTTTCACACTGGGCCTTTACTTTGTCGTCAGCGAAAGTCCAAAACCTCTTCTTGCCTTGTCCGACGATTTTGTGACTACAGAATTCTTGTTCGCGAGCAAGTTTAGATGCAAGACTTCTCTCCCACCCTACTTCGATCTCTCGCAGATAAGGAAAAGTACTCGCTATCCAATCGATGATCTGAGAGGTAGTCAAATGTGCTCCATCTGCAGCAACTAGTGCTATTTGAGCCATTTCGCAAATATTGTAATGCTTTTCAGACAGGGGAACAGCTGGACTCTCCGAGCCAGTATCCGTCGGCGGTCTTGATCCGGACGAGGATCGCGGTCTTGTAAGCTTTAGTGCAATCGACTCTGACTGCATCCATTCTGTCACAGAAATACCACTCTTAATCATTTTGAAGTGATTTGATGAAACTGGAGCTGACTGGGACGAGATCATCGAGGCCTGCTTCGTTTCGGATGCAGGTGTACTTGTTGTGGCGACGAGAATGGCTTGCGGGCTGCTTTGTGCAGTTTCTTCGTCGGCTGGAGTAGCATTAGGTGTCTCTGGTATCTCTAGCTTGCCAGCCTCTACGATAAGCGACCGATTGCGGCAGTTGCGACTGCGTAAATTAGTAGATGTATAAAGAATGTCTCTGAAAATAGCTACCAGTTGCCACCATCCCTGCTGTTCTCTGCAAGAATGCGCTGTTTCCGGCATATTGAGCATAGTACCGTCAAGGGAGTGGTCTTCTCAAACAGAAGAGGTCCAGTGAGCGGCAAACCAATATCGCTACTGGCTACTGAGTTGTCCGCAAAACGCTGTTTTGGAGCAGATTCGGGTATGTCAAACTGACTTGAGCGTTGTGTGGGCGTATTAGGGACCTCTGTACGTTCTAGTATAGGAGGAGCATTGGGTTGCTGGATTGCTTGGCTATCCTTCCCTGATTTGCTAGAGTTGATGACTGGGCTGTTAAGCACGTCGTCGACCAGGAGGACTTTATCTGGTCTTCTTTTTTTGTCCTCTCTGCATCCAGAATTGCGGGCAGACGGTAATACAGAGACTGCCTTGGGAGCTTGTAGTTTAGCAAAGCCTGAAGACCCGCGGCTAAGATTATCGCTCAAACATTTTAAACACCTCCAATGCGATCTGATATTATTAGTCATCTTAAGCAACGTGACTGAAGGAAGTAACTCACTGTTCAATCCCGTCAATGAGTGGAGGGTTTCGACAACTGTCGTGATAAGCTCTCCCACACCCCGGACAGGTGATGATCGGATTGTAGTTCGTTGCAGAGTGTTTCTCGCATACACGACATGTAGGCTTGCTTGATGGAGTTTTCCTCGAGGGCAGACTTGAGCGGGCTTCATCGCTGTTTCTCGATTTAGCACTCCGGTTTAGACTCTCAGCATCTCGATCGAGATGAGGTGCCACGAACGAAAAAGAATTCCTTGAAGATTCGGAAACACGGCCGCCCTTATTCTTCTCATGTACTGGACGCGCATAGGGCGTGCTGGAACCACTCGAGCCTTAGCACATCAGCCGCTAGTGGGACTATACATTTGAGAGTGCCTCACCTACGCTTGACTTCGCGAAGACCCGGAAGAGGTCGTGTCGGTAGGGCTGTTGAGCTTGGTCGAGCTCGCGTGGGAATTGAAGTACTTAATCCCGTGCGTTGGCGTTTCAGAGGTGGTGGTGATATCCTAGCCGAAAGGCGTTCTCGCAGGTTACTGTAGTGGCTAGCCTTGTCATGGGCACCCATAGAGGTTTCCGGATTGTCGCCAAATGGTGCCCTCGGCCGGGCCTCGACGTCCTTCATTCAAACTGTTGTAAACAGACGACTCGGCTTGGTCTGTTCGTTGAAAGAAAGAGGATTAGCAATGTCGGATACAACAGTCAAGTTGTGGGTAGATTAAGGAAGAAGTTCAGGTCTTTTGTGAAGGCAGCATCTCGCTCCATTGGAGGCTTCTACTTGATACCATACTGCTAGCGGGTAGTTACATGCGGGCTGACAGTCCCGCGATGTAAGAGCCACACAACGGCGGCAAGCCCACGGAGCAGGACCAGAGGGAGACCATCGACAATGTGCGATCTGACCTTTTACCAGTAGTCATCATGTAATGGGAATAGTCGCCTTGAGCTTCTTGGGGAGGTAGTGCTACGTACTTTTTATACTGCGACAGGATAATACGCACGAGGCCTTCAAAGGTTGCCCGCCGTACAGCACGCGTCTAGCAAGAGATAGCGTATCCATGCGACATGGAGAAGAGAACAAGGACGAGAGCCTAGGTGCGGCCATACGGGCGGTGAGGGTATCATGCGAGTGAGGTTGAGAAGAAGCGGCTTTCTGTTTGCTTGTTTGTGGTCCAGTACACAAGAAGGCGCAATGACCAGAAAGAGCGGGTTTGGGGTCGACGCGTCGTCACGTGTGTTCTAGTCCTGACGGCCTCAGGCCAACGCCAGTGGGGCAAGCGCAGGAGGTGTCCTCAGCAGAAGGTGCTCGCTGATAGCTCCAAGCCCGCCAATTCCCACCCAGTGCACACCCGTACTGCTACACTTTGTAGCCATGGACTTCCTCAAGTCAGCAGTCGCATCTGCAATCTCAAAAGGTCCCGCATTTGGTTACACTTTCGGGGATCGTGTAGACCTCAACGACTCCATCTGGACACTGCACAACGGCACAAAGCGAGTACGGCCCGGTTATCTACAGTACAAGCGCTTGGGCTAACATCGCCCTGATAGGAAGATGGCTCCAAATGTAGTATATTCTCCTTCGACATCACCGCGAACAAGTCTCGACTACCCCTCGCCCGCAATGCACTCCGCAAGCTGCGAACTATGCGCCATCCCGGCGTCGTCAAGGTCTTGGACACAGTGGAGACGGAGACGTACATATACATCGCGACCGAAAGACTGAGTCCGCTGAGCTGGCATGTCAAGAGGAAGAGTCTGACCGAAGAGACAACGAAATGGGGCCTGCACAACATCGCGAAGACGATCAAGTTCATAAATGCGGATGCAACTTCGATCCATGGCTGCATTCGCCCAGCCTCCATATTCTTCAGCGAGAGCGGGGAGTGGAAGCTAGCCGGATTCGATGCGCTGAGCTCGGTCAAGGAAGACGATTCTATATTACCAACATACGGTAGTCTCATACCAGACGCAGGACGATACATGGCACCGGAGATAGCAAAGGCAGGCTGGGAGGTTATTAAGCAAAACCCTACACATGCGGTCGACGCTTACAACTACGGCGTTCTCATCTTCGAGGTCTTCAATGGCAGCTATGACAGTAGCGGCCAGCTGGTGCAAGTCAAGAGCATACCATCAAGCATGCACCAGTCCTACAAACGCCTCCTCAACCCGAATCCCAAATCTCGAATGAGTGTGGCGAAATTCCTTGATCAGGGGAAGCGAATAGGAGGGTTTTTCCAGACGCCATTGATCCAGGTCACAGATGACATTGAGAACCTTGGCCTCAAAGCCGATGATGAGCGAAATGAATTACTCGGGTCAGCTTTCTCGACTCTCACGCGTAGTGATTTTACTGACTGCTTCACAGAAAGCTAGACGAGGTTGCAGACGATTTTCCAGCCGACTTTTTCAAGATGAAGGTACTTCCAGAACTACTCAAGTCAGTAGAGTTTGGCGGTGGCGGCGCCAAAGTCTTTAGCACTGTAATGCAGATAGGGCAGAAGCTGTCCGACGACGAGTATGAAACGCAGATTACACCAGTCGTTGTGCGACTGTTCGCGAATCCGGACCGAGGCATACGCGTCTGCTTGTTAGACAACCTTCCACTCATGATCGACCATCTACCGCAAAAGCTGGTCAACGACAAGATCTTCCCGCAAATGGTCACTGGATTCACAGATTTAGCGCCTGTCGTCAGAGAGCAAACAGTTAAGGCTGTCCTGACTGTGATTCCAAAGCTCTCTGATCGAACAGTAAATGGCGAACTTCTACGACATTTGGCAAAGACAGCGAACGATGAGCAACCTGGTATCCGGACGAATACGACCATTTGCCTAGGGAAGATTGCCCGCAACTTGGGAGCAGGTGTACGTTTGCGCTTTCTTATGAGAGACATCGAATACTAACTCTACACAGAGCCGAGCCAAAGTCCTCGCAGCCGCCTTCACCCGCTCGCTCCGCGACCCCTTCGTCCATGCCCGCAATGCCGCTCTTTTGGCACTGGCTGCAACAGCGGACGTCTTCAGCGAAGACGACTGTGCTACCAAGTTATTACCCATCATGTGCCCTTCCCTTGTCGATAAAGAGAAGCTCATCCGGGACCAAGCACAGAAGAGTGTGGACATCTACATGACGCGCATCCGCAAATTTGCCGCGTCAATGCCGGATACCGTGCTTCCGCCACCGAGTCTGGCTGCTGAAGGGTCAGGAACAACGCCGCGAATGGGAACTCCTTCGAATGATACCGCTGGAGCTGGTTGGGCGGGATGGGCCATCTCGAGTTTCACGAACAAGCTGGCCTCGACCAGCGGACAGATACAGGCCGATGCTCCTGCGAATGGAGCCGCAGACCAAAGATCATCTTCTCTACCACCACAGGCAACATCATTCAGCAAACCTCCTGTTCCGCTCGCTTCCAAACCTGGCATGCAGCTCCACAGCGCCAAGAGCTCGGCTTCGATACCGACCGTCAGGTCGCCAGACCCAGCCGCCGCGTTCGACGATGAAGCAGAGGACTTCGACGATGAGTGGGGTGGCTTTGGCGACGACAATCCCAAGCCTCAAGACGAGGACGAAGACCCCTGGGGCACACCCGCCGTCTCGAAACCTTCGACTACGACCTCATACGACGACAAGGGCGAGCCGGACTTTGCTGGATGGCTTGCAGCACAATCGGGCGCTAAGAAGACTACAAAGCCCCCGCTGCCGAAAGGGTTGTCTAAGCTCTCACCAACTTCGAAACCAGGAAGACCTATTATCGGGGGAAGGGCGAGCACGACGGGATCAACGGCGACGAGGAAGGTTGTTGTGCCGCCGAAGAAGGAGGTCAAGAAGGAGCAGCCGAAGGCCAAGGAAGAGGAGGAGGAGGGCTGGGGTGATGCTTGGTAGGGCCACTGAGATGGGTATAGCAGCGTTCATGTGCAATCGAATATTTAGCATAGCGACGGCGTTGGACGATGGAAGGATTGAGGCCGGCAACTGTAAATTGGAAATGGAACATCCAACTATACTGGATCTCATCACACACACGATCTCCGAGCAATGCCGCAAACAACTCTACACACTAGTGGACAGTCTTCGCCAGAGTCTCTCAATCAGGAATCCATGATCAAACTTGCAGTACTGTTAGAAGTAGACGAAATGAATGCACGACAAGAATAGAAATCGAGAAAATTCATATCATATATATGGGTATCAGTCTCCCTTAGCTATCGAGAGCGAAACCTGCTCATTATGATCAATACAAATCGACTCACCGTCCCGCACCAGCCTGTATCATCTCCGGTGCCTTCTTAGCCCCAATCGCCTTCTTCGCGTCCAGAATCTCCACCTTGGTCAACCCCATGCCACTCAAATACTCGTTGAAACTACCCAAGATCTTCTCCAGACCCTCCTTGAGACACTCCCGCACCTCTTCCACTTCAGGCACTTTCCTCTGTTCTGCCTCCGGCTTCTTGAGAGTCGTCTGGTCGCTCCAGTGTATCTCGACTTTACTCATATATTCATCGATCTTGGTGATTGCCGTGGTGAACACGCGGATGATTTCAGGAATACCTTCATGGAAACGTCCAAGTGCATCTTGGCTGAGAGAGAAAACAGCGAGATTTGCAAGCGCTGTGACTGCGTTGCAGATGAGTGAGATGCGGGAAAATGGGGCGCCGAGGATGACTAAGTTTACGGTTCGGGGAAGCGATTGGGAGAAAGGCGCGCCCAGCGGAGAAGAAACGAGCTTGTTGTAGTAGACCGATGCAAATGAGCCCGCCTGTTGGGCACCTTCCTGAGCCTTCTGCACACCCTTCTTGATTGCTTCCCGGCCGTACGCTTGTTGCGAGTTGCCGGGTGAGCTATATGACTTCGCAATGCCAGCTGCCGCAGACTCGATGTGGTCCCATTTTGTGTCAGGCCTCGGAGGCAAAGCAGCGATCTGCTTGTCGGATTTCAAAGGCTGTGCGATCTGTGGTACTAAACCAACAGGTGCGGTTGGTAGCTGTTGGACGGGTGTTGCGGCTGGGTTGTAAGTGGGATCGAGGCCGATGCTTATGCGTTCGATGAGAAGTTTGATTTCTGCGAGACAGATGTCGGTGACCTGCTGGAAGGTTGGGCCCTTCTTGCGGTCAATTTCTCCGTAGATGGTCTTACGGCGATCGGGGAAGGCGTCGGTAATCAAAGCGAGCTCCCAAAATGCGATTGCCTGGTTAAGATTAGCTGCTGATTTAAGTTTGCAATGCTCCAGCCTACCTTTACAGCTTCCTTCCTTGACTTGAGGCCGTTTAGTAGTGTTCCATTGGGATCCTTCGAATCGGCGGTGATCGGCTGCGCGTTCTTCAACGGCTCCTGCGCAATGTACAAGTCGAATGCCTTGTTGACAAACTCCCACAGCAAGACAAGGAGTGCACCTTCCACGGCGAACATGGAACATAGCGGTATGAAGGGGGCCAGTCCAGTGGGTTTGGACGTCTTGGACAAGCTGACAAAGTACTTGCTGAAGCTGTAGTAGTAGTCCCAGATGACGTATCGTGGTCCAGCGAAGTAAAGAGCAAATCCACCAAAGGTAATAGCTAAGCTGAGTATGCTCGACCTCTTCGCCATAGCCAGAAACTGTAGGGCGAGGACTTGCCTGGGCTTGGGTGCCCTTCTGGGCGGTGCTGCGGCCGATGCGTCCTCGCGCTCCTTCTTTGGCTTCATAGCTGACACTTCGATCTTGTCGTAGTCCTTCCATAAGTGTATGCCGGACTGTGCGACAGCCAACAGAAAGAATAGGAAGTGCAGGTAAAGCGGTCTCTCGTTCAACTTAAGTCGTTCGTGTGCGCGCCCGTACTCTGTGAGAGCAAGCTTGTCCTTGCCCGTTCGCGACCACATATACACCTCGCTGTAGAGCCATGCCGAGAATGCATAGAAGACGAGCGTAAGCAGGGTCGACTTGCGCAAGAAGTACTTGTTGAATGTCTCGGCTGGTGTTTGCGTTTGTCGCCGTCCGACGTGCCACTGTGCAACGCGAAGCACGTAGATGATGAGCGCAGGAAGGAATATAAGGAGTGCTCGTATGCCCGTGGGCCCGATAGGAAACCATGACCATAGCAAGCTATCCCATTCTCCCATCCAACAAGCGATCGCATAGCATAGTATCAGTGTGTACCTGCTAGCCTTGTTGAACCTCCGGTGCAGAGCAGGCGTCAGGTAATCTCTATACGGGCGCACTTGAGCTCCGAGGGGCACAATCGCCATTGTTGCAACGCGTTGGGCTTCGTTCGAGGGTCGTGAAGGAGTGTGGGCGCAATTAGCTATCTCATAGCAGAAAGAACAAAGTATGTGGCGTGGCCAACAAAAAGAAAGGGACGAAAGATGCCCAATATTAGCTGTGAAAGGCAGCGCAACTTTGTCAAACAAACACCGTCGGCGGAGCTACAAGATGATCCTAGCCGACAGCTGCATGCTTACCTAAGGGTCCGCGCCATGTGCCCAGCCGCGGGCGTTCGTCATCGCCGCAGGCACCGCCAACCTCCAGGTAGCGATTGATTCACCATCCACCTCACAATCCTGGACTACCACAAACCTGCACGAGTCGCCTAGCTTAGAGGTGAATAGCACCATCCGAATACCAGCCAAGGACCTGATTGCCCTTATCCAGCGCTATGTCTTTCCAGCGTTCGAGTGCCCTTGAGGCGCAGCCAACGACCTTCCGAAGAGAGGACGACCCGCAATACGCTGACGACCCGGAGTTTCGCGACTTCGCCAGCAAGCTCTCTGACGACCTCTTCGCTCTCACACGAAATGTTGCCCGCCTATCGCAGGAAGTCACCAAGCTCGGGACCAAGCACGAGACCGCGCGTGTGAGGGAGCGCGTGAAGACGACGGCGGAAGAGACGTCGGACAAGTTCAAGGAGATAGGCGAGGGGCTGAAGAAGATCACCACATGGCCTGATGTTGGGGTATGACGACCTCTCGCGAGACGAGAAGACAAGACAAGGACATTGGACTAACAGACCGCAGCCCTCACAAAAGTTCACGCAGTCGAAGTTGAGCCGCGAGTTCAAGGCCTCGCTCACAGAGTTCCAACAACTACAAAAACAGGCCCTCGAGAAGGAAAAGGCCTCGGCGCAAGCCGCCCGCGTTGCCCTGCAAGACGTAACATCGCCCAGCGAAGAGCGCGGAGGAGACTTTGCGCAGCAACAGGAACAGGAACAGCTACGGTTAGCCAACCAAGACGACGTCGATTTCCAGGAATCCCTCATCATCGAGCGCGAGTCCGAGATTCGCAACATCGAACAGTCCGTCGGCGAGCTCAATGAGCTGTTTAGAGATGTGGCGCATATGGTGCACGAGCAGGGTGGGCAACTCGATATCATTGAAGAGAACGTCGAGGTCACACACGATGCATCGAGGGGTGCGCATGTGAATTTGAAACAAGCCAGCAATTACCAGAAAAGCGCGCGGAGCAAGGCCTGTATTTTGCTGCTTATCCTGGCGATTGTCCTGGTAATCATTTTTCTTGCGGTCTTTCTCGATTAAGTTGTGCTGATTCCGCAAGGGCATCGTCATTTTGTCTGTTTCGTAGGCGTTTGCATTTGTCCTTTGTTATACCATGGCGCGAAGCGCTTCGTTAAGAATTTACAGTTACAGCATGTGTAGTTCATGAGACACTCATTTCCTAGGTCTATAATCTTATCCTATCTTCCCATTTCTAGATCTCTTTATATTTAATTAACTCCCCTTCCCTTCTTTTTTGTTCCTCTATAGTCCACTAATTAGGTAGTAGTGCACTTATTATGGGACATCCTCAGTTATAAGAAGTGTTTACCAAACCTAGTGTACTTAGCTATCATTACAAAACGCTGCGATAATGTAACTTCGGTAGTATATATATTCTAGGCTGCAGCGGTCCGCAGTTTGAGGCTGAATCGCATGCACTGCCCCACCACTACATCAACTCACAAGGTACGCTCAACGATCAATAAGTAATGGACTACCCACTTCAGCCGTTTGTGTTAATCATATAGTCAATTAACTTTTTTTCGATATATGTTTCGAACCCTTTATCGAGCTGGCAACTCTATGGTAACGAGGTACGTAGCGCATGTTAAATATGGATAAGCTGTTCATTTAAGATTGTAGAAGCTCCAAGCAGTTGCACAAAAATGACAGACACGCAATCCTGGTCGCGCGTATTGTCGCGTGCGGATCAAAAGCGCAATGTTTGTGCCATTGATCGTAACGTGCCACAAAGTAGTGTCACATACCGATATCAGCCTCTGGAAACGGCCGAGAGCATACGACTGCTGAAGATTGATGGTGACCCGCCGTTTGATGTGCAGTACTCTATAGTTCATACGACGATCACAACGGCGCCAGACTACGAGACCCTCTCTTACGTCTGGGGAACACCAAATCGGACTAGTACTATTAGTCTGTACGACGGGAGTCTCCTTCGCGTTACGAAATACTTGAAGAGCGCACTTCCGCATATATCAAAGCACTGTCTGACGAGGTTCATTTGGATTGACCAGATTTCGATAAACCAGGACGACTTACTAGAAAAGAACCATCAAGTGCCTCTGATGCGAAGTATCTACTCTGGCTGCTACTGCGTGATAGTGTGGCTCGGTAGGCTCAGTATGCTTCCCATAGAGAACACTAGTCTTGAAGATATCTTCTCTTGTGTTAATGAGTTGGAGGTCCGCCGGCGGCAGGCTAGCGGACCAATCTCGCAAGAGCCTTTAGGTTAGTGATAAAAAAACTCAGGGTGAAGTAAAATCTGACCTTGAACTCAGACAGCCGTTTCAAAAAGATTGCGCAATCGGAAGAGGCGTCATGGGATCTCGCTGAAGATCTTCGAGACATCGTGACATCGCCGTGGAGTACACGAGGATGGGTCTTTCAGGAGGCAGTGCTTCCGCGGGATTCCAAATTGATTCTTGGGGAGCCACTTATCTACAAGAAAGGTGGCACGGTGTCACTCGAAGGGCTAAATCGGACGCTTACTGCCTACTATGACAACATGACTGCGACACATCTTACTGCGGACTACTCACTCCGTCAAAACGAGTTTCAGAGCTTCCTAGCTATCCTCAAAGGCTGGTCAGATCATGTCTACTTTTTTGGCCCGAGGCCTCCATTCGAGCATGTACTCTCACTGTACTCCCCTCGTGCGAAGACTACTTGTGCGCTGGATCAACTATACGCCTTTTTTGGACTGAACGATAATCAATTCATCAATCTGCCAATATCGTATGAAACCAGAATGGAGGATGCGCTTGTATCTACCACTCAGGGGATCATCCGCGGTACATTGCGGCTGGATATATTTGAATGTATACCCAGAATAGGCGTTATCAGCATAGACCTCCCCTCATGGGTTCCCAATTTCGTTCAGCCTAGATCAACAGCGCCTTTTACACGACCCGTTACTTATGGCGTATGGAACACGCCTCAACCATTGGGAAATATATGGCTCGGTTATTGCGATGCCCGAACACTCCACGCATACGGACGACGTATAGACACTATACAGGCTGATTTACTTGACGGTAATGGTAATGGTTATCCAACCAGTGACAAAGAATACATTAGAATCCTCTCCTACGCTTGCTCATTAACACCCAAAGACGCAGGATCTCCGACCATGGAACGACTTCTACGCGCACTCGTGGCTGGTGACCATGGCATACCCCTAAGGGGTAACGAACCCCTATCTTGGCAAAAGGAGGATGTAGATACCGTCGCTAGCTTCATTTCTGCTCGTATGTCAGATTCTCTGCTCGGGAATACGTCTGAACATTACCGGCAAATCAAGAAGCACCTCGAAGATTTTATGACCTGCAAGAAACAGACCATGTTTGACCGAGATCTCTACCTGACACGACTTGGACGATTTGCTACGGGAACACGGTTGCGACCTGGGGATGTCATCTGTATCCTTCACGGCTGTACCCACCCCGTCGCACTTCGAGCACGTAAAGCTTCAACATTCGAGGTTCTTGGGACGTGTTATTTAGAGGGCTGGATGGATGCTTGGAATAATGGAATGGTTGATTGGGACGTGCATGATACGGAGGAGTTTGTTTTAGTTTAACTTGTAATGTTTGGGTGGTCAATCTCTACTTTGTTGATGATTAGTCGCGAAGACAGGGTGTATATATGACAAGTTAGTAATGTAGAGTTAGTACACGCACGACCTTGCCCTCTGTCAGGGTCTGCAGCAAGGCAAGGGCTCCTTTTGCATAGAAGAATTGAAATAACATCTTCAAGAAGCTTTCTTATATATTTCATGTTAGGAAGTTGCTACCACCAAAGGTTAACAACATGAGAAGCTGTCACCTACAGATACAATATTTTGCCTTTCGCTTTCCGATTCACCTGTATTCCATCAAAGATATTCATCTCCAAAAGCCATCAGATACACTTCGTGGTGTTCTCCATCTGCCACATACTAGAAATGGCCCTCTAAAGACTCGTAATCTTTTCACGGATCACACAATTGTACTGATGCTGTTAGTAAACGTATTAATATAATACCGTCTTAAATGTTTCGGCCTTTGGGCATATCGTATGGAGACCTATTTTGGCAAGTCAAACTAATTTGTTACATGATGTAAACAATCTACTGTTTACGTGCAACAACCCCTATTAGTTTACATACCAGATCCCCCCCCCCCCCCCCCCCCCCCCCCCCTACCCTTCTAGGCCTTTCGTAATCAATAGATCCTAGTACATCTACCATGCTTCCGCCATAACTCCCGCTTATTCAATCCGCATTCAGTACGTGCATCGACATGTCCAACTTAATGGATGGATAGTAACGAGGAACGAAATGGTTTGTATAGAAGGGGATAAAAAGGCAAAGAGGATAAAGACTGGCTAGGTAGTGAGGAAGAGACTTGATCTCCCTACACTTGATTGCGGGCTATGATTTTCAAGATAGTGCCTCCACGGGACTCAACATATGATGGGTAGACTCGTCCTAGAACCATTTTCACTTCCTATATAAAGGTGTCTAGAGGCTGAATCAGCTTTAGCTACGGGTATCGACTCCAAAGTAATCTCCAATACCCATTCCACTCTACGCAGTAGTGACAGGCTCGCCCTTCTCATCGACAAGGCTCTCGTTCGTCCGCACAGGCCCCTCGCCAACACCAGTCAAGATGACCCTACTAACACCCTCCTCGAGCAACGCAATAGCCGGGCCCGCCTCGCCCTTGACCTTCTCCAGCGCCTCGGCGTTGGCTTTGACAGCACTGCCCCTCTCCCCTTGCCAGCCATCCTTCTCGTTCAAGATGATCTTGAACAACCCAGCAACGTCCTTCTCGTTCTCCTCGAGATAGTAAACTACGGCATTTGGGCCCGCATCGAACGTGTACGCTGCGATGATCTTGCCAGCCGCAGCGTTGATAGATTCGACAATCTTTATAGCAGCGCGCGAAACGTCGTTGAGGTAGAAAATGGGTGGGTACGTGTCGAGACAAGTGGCGTGGAAAGAGTTGCTGTCCATCATGGTGATTTTGCCGAAAGATTCAAAGTCCTTGTTCTGAATCGCCTGCTGCATCTCCTTCATGCGTTTTGGCACAACCTCGTTTGCCCTGCTCTGGAACAAAGTTGATGTAGCCACGGTAGTCTGCATGCCCGTCGTACTGCTCACGCCCTTCTTTGCGGCACTCACAACCAGGATGACGGCACGCATGTTTGGCCAGTGCGATGCCGGGGCGACTTCGAACGCTACGCTGTCACTTCCATCGCTGGCAGATCCTTGTTCCCAGCCTACGTATCCGCCAAAGAGCGAGCGGCATGCTGAGCCAGAGCCTTGACGGGCGATACGGGAGAGGTCGGTGGGCGAAGAGGGGAGCTCGTAGAGGTTGGCAATTGCGCGTACGAGAGCGGCAAGCCCAGCTGCTGAACTTGCGAGACCAGCGGCGGTGGGGAAGTTGTTCTCAGAGACAATGCGTAGTGGTAGATCTGCGAGCTTCGGCAAGCTCGCGTCCTTGGCTTCCTCTTGCTTCCTCAGCGCCCTGAGCTCGCGGAAGCATGCCTGCGTTCGGGCACCGGAGACATCTTGCGGTTGGCCGTTGAGGAGCAGAGTGTCCTCGGAGGGGTAGCTGGACGAGCAGGAGGCCGTCGTGTGGGTGCGGAGGTCGGACTGAGCGAGGGTGACGCTGAGGGACGAGTTTGTGGGGAGATTGAGCTTGGGGTCGCGCTTTCCCCAGTACTTTATTACGGCGATGTTGACCGGGGCGGTGGTGCTGGCGCGGTGAATGTCGGACATGTTGGTGTGTGACTTGAGTCTTGCAAGTCGAGAGTGAAAGGGGTTGAAGGTTTGGTGGGGTGAATTTGTTTATGCAGGGTCTTTGGCGGGCTGTTCTGGCGAAATGCAGAGGACTGACCAACGAACACAATGGCAGTTATAAAAACTATAAAATCCTCTTAAGGAGATGAGAGAGATTTCTCTTTCAACTTTAAAGTGAAGCAATAGAGCTAAGAGGACCTTGACCCCTCCAAAGCGGTGAAGACTACATCGTGAATCCGCTGTCCAATCACATGCCATCGCATTCCGAACGACCAATTCAACGCGGTCCGAGCTCAACTTTCTTCGATCATGGCCGTCACCACCCGAAGTCCCTCGACACGACACTACGAACTATACCTCTACCGCCACAATGTCCTCGAGCGACGACCCCGCTGCTGCATGCCCGGTGGACCACAAGACCCGCGAAGCATGGCTCGCCCAAGCCCGCGCGCAGAACCCAGATGCGCCTCCGAATCCACATAGCAGTACATCAACACCACCAGCCTCATCACAACCGCAAACGCAAACACAAGCTCAATCCCAAGCCCCCGTACAAGCATCATGCGACTCGTCCGCCCTCGACCAGAACACCAAAACCCCGACCCCAACAGCAACAGGCCTCCTCTCCCACCTACGCCTCGGCACCGACCGCGAAGTCAGCACAATACCACGCGCCCTGCCCTCACTCCCCGCCCAACAACAACCCCAAGACCCCTCGGCTGCCCCCGCGCGCGCCGCAAACAACGAAATAGACACGGGCTCGGACAAGAAAACAGGGAACTGGATCTACCCCTCCGAACGCATGTTCTTCGAAGCCATGCGCCGCAAGTCCTACGACCCCTCGGAAGCAGACATGAAGACTATCGTGCCGATTCACAACGCCGTCAACGAGCGCGCCTGGTACGAAATCAAGCAGTGGGAAGCAGGACGCGGGGCAGACGCATGTGGTGGACCGCGATTATCCTCGTTTAGCGGGTTGAGCACGAGTTTAACGCCGCGGGCACGATGGAAGTCGTTCTTGGGGTACCAGAAGCCGTTTGATCGGCATGATTGGGTCGTGGACCGGTGTGGGACGGAAGTCGAATATGTGATTGATTTTTACGCGGGAAAGGATGAGGGGAAGAGTGCGAAGGGGTTGAACTTTTATTTGGACGTCAGGCCCAAGTTGAATAGCTTTGAGGGGGTCAAGATGCGGGTAGCGAAGTACTGGGGGCTTTAACGCGGGGAAGTGAGGTGTACTATAGACGGAAACGGATGATGTATGTATATACCTGTACAGCATACTATACTTTGGCGAGGCGTTTTGTTTCGGTTCGTTTCATTTACATACAATATGCATTAGATGGGAGTACGTACGAGTAAGTAAAGTAGTCATGGACAGGAACTTCCAGGGACAAATATGAAGAATCCCCCACTCTTTCAAACGCGCCACCAGCTAAGATAAACAAGCAAGTTCAAGCCCATGCTGTCCGACGCCATAGACGCCATGCGAGACATTGTCCAATGTCAAAGTAGAAATAATAATAATCGTAGTAGCGGATCCACCTAGAAAGAGCGAAGAAGAAGTTGAACCCCCCAAAAAGAACGCACTCATTCTTGAATACATTCTTGTACACCAGGTAGTCTACTCAATGGCAACACCCAGTTTACGCAGTGTGTGACAATTCTTAAGGTCCATCTTGCGCGCCCTCTCCATCGCATCCTCATCTACAAAGAACCAACCCTGTGCATCTTCCATGGCTCTGCGCTGCTGGTAGCGCTCCGTCTGACACCGCACCTTAGTGTTATGGACATACTGGTATTCCGCCTGTTCATCCAGCTTCCGCCACTTCTTCGGGTTGTAGTCGTGTACGTCCTTTGGATCGACAAAATAGTGTACTTTTAGCCTACTCGACGTGCGCTGTAGCGTGTTGGGAGGGCGCGCGTGCTCTAGGACGACCGATGGGCCGGCTGCGGTCGAGGAGCCGGAGAACAAGGAGGAGAGGAGCGGGAGGACGAAGAGGAAGAGGAGGGGCAGGAGGCTGGTGAAGGCCGAGGACGCGCTTTGTTCCGTTTCTGAGCCAGCGGGCTGTGCGGTTCCGGGTCTTCTGCGTGGGCGGCCGCCGCCAAATTGATGGACGCGCACACCAGGGCCGCCGCCGAGGTTGAACACGAAGCCTGGTCCTGTGTCGAAGCCGCCTGTCGTGTACATTAGCATTTGCTATTCCTTCCAAGAAACTGTTTTCTAGCTTCAGTGGACATACCGAAAGGCCCGCCGAACGCTCCACCAAAGAACTGTCTAAACAGCTCCTCAGGCGTCATCTCTTCTTCCCCAAACATCCCCCCTCCACCTCCTCTCCTTCCAAACCCACCTCCGAAAGGACTCGCCCCACCGCCTCCTCCACCACCCGCCGCGGCGGGATTAAACCTCGCATCGGGATCTCCCCCAAACTGATCAAACTTCTTCTTCTTATCCGGATCACTCAACACCTGAAACGCCTTGCTGACCAGCTTAAACGCCTCGTCCGCGCCATCATACCCATTCTTATCCGGATGGGTGAGTAAACTCAGTTTTCTATACGCCTTCTTGATGTCGCCGTCTGAGCAGGTGGATTTTACTGCCTCCAGGCCGAGGATCTCGTAGTAGGCCGTGGGGCCGCAGCGTTTTATACGTATCACGGCGGCTTTTTGCTCGACTGTGAAGGCTCGTCCTGCGCTACCGTCGTGATGGCTGCGGCTGTTTGCCGAGCCGTTGCCGTTTGGTTGTGAGCCCGTGGCCTTGCCGGACATTTTAGCGGACGTCTGAGGTTATGTGAGGGGGATGGGTGTTAAGCGGGTGGGTGGATGTGTAAGGGCCGCCGAGGTGGCAGCGTTGATGTACGTTGGTGCACCGATGTCGTACGAATAGAGGAGAGTTGCGGCGAGGTGTATAGGATGCGCGGGCGCAATGAACGGTCGCAGGGACGGGACGGGGATGTAGTAACAAGTCTGCCGTCTTCTTGCTACAATCCGCTATCTGTTGAAGTTCGAGGAGTCGAGGCCAGTTTCCCGGAACTGGGTTGGCACGGGCCCCGCCTGGCCCTAACGTCATTGACCTTCACCAATCTGTGCTCAATCTCGCGCGGGCGCGACCATTTCCTAGAAAACAAACAACCTTTTGACTGTCATTTCACGAGATCCACCCTTTTCCTTCCCTCGACACACGCTGCCAGTAATCTCACCATGGCCGACAAACCAACTCAACAATCCATGCTTCAATCGCTGCGAAACTGGGGAGGTATGTTCCCTACACCACTTCCCTCACGTGCTCTCAAACTTCACAAAGAGACATATAATTCGCCTCATCCTCTAACACTGACTAGAAAACTCCATCCCCCCAACTCTCTTAGCGACTTTGATAACCGCCCAACACGCACGGCCCTTCCAGCCATTCCCCATGCTCTTCCCCCCGGTCCTGCTCTTGTCCTCGTATCTCAACTTGAGCAACTACAAGACGGACGCGGCGGGTATTACCGCGGCCTGGAGTGGGCTATATGCGATATTGGCGATGAGGCGGAGTCAGGTACGTTGTTCTCTATCTTGTCTTTGAAGTTTGTTTGTCTTCGTTCGGCTCGGTTTGGTTTGTCTGGTTTACTTTCTCTTGCACGGTTCGTTTGGTTTGTCTAATTCAGTTTCTTTGGTTCTTTATGTCTAGTTCAGCTTGTCTGGTTTAGTTTGCTTGATTTATTTTGTCTGGTTTGGTTTGGCTTTCGCAGTACTGTACCGTTCATTGCGTTGCAACACCACTTCTACGATTGCAGAGAGCTCTCCGAGCGTTAAAACCTTTTCTTCTCACTAGTTTGGTTCATCTGGTTTATCTGGTTTAGTCTATGTAGTTTAGTTTGTCTGGTTCAGTTTGTCTACTTTGTTATATCTACTTTGGTTTGTATGGCCTAGTCCAGTCTATTCTTATCTCTTCTATACTCATAAGACATCCAAGTCAACCCGATTGACAGAGCGCTAACCCTCCCCAGGGCCTGAAGAACAAATTCACTGTCCGGGGCGTAGTAAGAGGCGGTTCACTAGCCCTCTGTGCAGTAAACGTGGTAGGATGTGGTCTTGCCTACACATTTGGCAAGCGGGAGAAGGAGGAGAAGAAGACTGTGGTGTGAGATCGGTCTATCTATCTGTAGCAGGTGCAAGCGACAACGTGTATCATATTACAAGTGTAAATACGGCTGTAAAGTTATTGGGGGGATGGGAATATGACTGTAAACGCGATCACTTCAGGAGCATGCATATTGGCAGAGCGAATCTAGTCACGCGTCATGTCTTATTGGGATGACTCTTCGAAACCAACCAAAAGTCTGGACTAACTGCCTCCCTAACAAAACGTGACATAAACGATCGGACCTGACATGCTTTGGAAAATGCAAGTCTCTATCCGAGGCTACCAATGCTTGATCTGTCCCAAGTCTATCACAAATGCCGTTGCGCCTCAAATGACCGTGCAGCAAGTTTGAACTCCGTATCTTCTGTACATAGTACGTCCCCCGTGCGTGGTCATCCACCCCCTGGAGCCTCTTAAGATGTATCCATGGCGTCGCCGGCGGCAGCAGCCTTACGCTCCGCCATCTTCTGGGCGAGCAAGTTGGCTTTCCAGCTCTGAATCTCTTCTTGCAGCTGTGTGTTGGGAATTACGTCGTCGATTGTGAGTGGTGTGCGGTTGAAAGGATCGTGCGGGTCGCTGAGAAGATGGCTCTGGATTGTGCTTCGGTCAACGACGATCTTGCTGATAGGTAAGGTGACCGGGTCTTCCATAAGTGTGGCCAAGATAGGATCCGTGTACTCCTCTGGAATGTCTCCGAGATCGGCTTCTTCCAAATCTGCCAGGTCTTTCGCAGTCTTAATGCGCTCAGCCATGTCCTGCCACTCTTGCATCTGCTCGGGCGACTTGAGCTTGAAGCGCTGTAGGATCTTGTAGGCTTCGTCCCAGTACTCCGCGCGGTATGAGCGTCCATCTGTAGCAACAGAGTCAATAAAAGACTGCTTGCTCTGGAGATTTAGGTACACATCTGTCACTTCAGCCAGCATGTTTCGCGGGTTCCATCCATAATCTTCCGGGTTCTCCACCTTGAGGTTAGACTTCTTTGGACCCACTAGGGCTTCCAGGTTATAATCCAACATGTGTGCTAGTCGAACGACGACCTCTTTCTTGGTGAATGAGTCCGCGAGCGCTTCGGTGAACAGCTTCAACATGGCGACCGTCTCGTTCGTCAACTGCATGTAGCTCTTGGCTTTGCCTTGCGCGGCCGAGAGCTTCTCTTCTTGCTCTTGTCGCTCGTTCTGATCCATATCTGCCGGTGGATTCTTCAGCACCTTCGAGATCTCGTGAATGTCCTTGAAAGCAGTAAATGACTCGTCCAAGACGAATGTGACATCATTCAACAACAGATTGACGAATTGAACGAAGAATTCAAGATTGACCCTGGATCTCATCAGTATATACAAAGACATTACACTGTGGAAACATACCGCGCCTCGGTTGCGAGGTTATCCCGATAGACGGTGTTTGGCCAGATGCACTTGATGACTTGGAAAATTTCGTAGCGGATGTTGAACTTGTCGTAGAACTGCGTGTGGGCACCTGTGCTCTCACACTCTATATAGAACTTCATGAGGGAGTGGAGCAGGTGCTGCATGGCGAAGGGATGTGCAAAGAGAGTGTCGCCCAGCACTCCCTTGGATCGACCAGGAATCTCCCACACACCGAAGAAGAGGATGGTGACAAGGCCAGACTTGAGGTACGGGTTCTTGATATACTCTGAGCTCCTCAAGAGCGCAATGCAGATCTTCACCAGCTCCTCACATTGGGTGGTGGTGATGATATGTGGCATCACACGGGTGATGAACTTGAAGTTCCCGACAATGTCCTCAACAAAGTACTCTGGCAGGCACATGAATTCCACGGGTTGCTCGCTGGGGAGCGGCAGTTGAAGCTCTTTCTTTGGAAAAGACGCTCCTGGGGACACAAGTCGCAGTAACCAGACTATGACGTACCGCATCAACTGCATAGAGCGAGCCTGGGTGGTCTCGTCAAGCAAGACGCCCTGAATTGCCAGAATGCTGCATTTGCCCCGCTCGATCTGATCTTTGACTTTTCTAATATGGTTGTCAAATACCTGTAATTGTACTGGGTTCGACATGTACTTGTGTCGCTCTGGCTCCATTTTAGCCAGCTCTTTTTCTAGCCATTTCACGTCCTTTTGCAGACTAGACAGCTTGGAGTTGGCAGCCTCGGTACCGTAGTGATGAGCGGCTACCGTCAGGAAGAAAACCTCGCTAATAAAGTTGTTGGTGCCTTCAACCTTGTGGCTGTAGAACTCATCAGAGGTTTGTTGGTCAGCATTGATCTTCGTTTCGTCCTTGATGTCAACGCGTGGTGATCGACGCAGATAGTCAATCTCTATCCGGTCGATCTTGGAAAAGGTTGCGTCCATGAAAGGCTCGCATAGACGGTCTAGGATGACAGTAACGTTGACCATGAAACCGTCAGACGAGACCGTCTTGCTGTCCACTTGTATAGCCCGCCTCTTGTGGTTCTTGTTCACTGTCAACGCAAACCAGTCAAGTATCTTTTCCCGCGTTTCCTTATTCTTGATGAAGGCGTTTGTGATGTCGAGCAGTTCCTCTTGGTGGGTTTGGAGCGTCATGCGAACCGCTCGTTGAGCGTTTGCAATGAGGCTTTTATCCGTGGCTGCGGATCCGGAAAAATAGTTGAGTGCGACCTCACTCTGCATTGGAGACAGGCGGAAGAAAGGGCCTAAGAAAGTCCTCGTCTCGATGTGCTGAGCTTCAATATCGGCTGGCAAGAACGTTTCCGACTGACCCAAGGCAGCAATGAGCGGCGGGAAGCGGATGAAGACGCGTAATATCAGCATGTAAGGCTTGTAGTCCCCGTTCATGGAGACTGTTGCCAGTCTCCGGCTCAGATCTTCCATGGCGCCCACGAGGGCTTCTCTGATCGTCTCATCTTCGCCTATGCGCTGGCTAGCCTCGGTGAGGAAGTCGTAGCAGATGCCGTGCTCATCGTCTGGCCCCAGAAGTAGACGCTCGGCCAGTGGATTCTCCGCGGGCGTCTCCTCGCCAAACATGTCCGGCATAGTCGCAGCAAATATGCAGTAGCTGAAGCATAGCCGTCTGGCCTCTTTGGCAATTTCGAACTTGGGATCGCTCTTGTTGGAAATGCTCTTAAAGAGCTTCGACACGCGCTTCCAGCAGCCTAGCAAATAGTGCAAAGCACTGCCTTGCGACTGGCTCGACGCAGACTCGAGTATGACTGAGTCGAGCATATCGGTGGTAAAGCGGAGCGGCCTGGCCTCATCTTCGAGGTCGCCCTTCGCGTCCGCCGCGAAAAAGAGCTTGTGTCCATGTGTATCGTGTGTACGGTTCTCGTCCAGGGTTATCCTGAAGACGCCGCTGATATTTCGATCTTCCCACGCTTCTATGCTCACTTCCTGGGCCTTTGGGGCAGGCCGCGACAATGTGCCGCTGCTCGAGCGTTGAACGGGCTTGGGCTTGATGGTGATTTGGGCTTTGGGTGCGTCGTCGGTCTTTATGCCTAGCTGCGAGAAGGGGTTCGGGGGTGGTGTCGCTTGAGTCTGAGGTGGCTGCTGTGCTGAAGCGTCGACCTCTGTGGGCTTGGGTGAGGAGCTGCTGGGTGTTGAGGCATCTAGAGCCGTCGATGGCGTTCGTGAAGGGCCTGGAGGCGTGGGGCCGCCGAGCTTCGCAAGTCGCTTTGCACGGATCTGCGCGATATGCTCGTCAGCGGGTCTCTTGAGCGGGCGGTTGGGGCTCACTTTATCAGCGTCGGACATGGCGCTGTCTTGTTCCGGTGGGGGCGGTGGTGGTGGTGATGGGGGTTGGTCTGCCATGATAGCGAGTGTGGGAGGGAGAGAGGGTGGAACAGCGCGGTATTAATGTATATGTGGGGGGAAAGGAAGGAAAAGGCCGTTCGGCGTAAGGCGTGAGACGTGAGAGGGTGAAAGTTGGGGTTGATTGCTAGCTGAACCGCGGAACTGCGTAGAGCTTCGCGGAGCCCCGCCACGCCCTGCATCTCGCCAACTCACGTGTGCGCAGCTGGTAGAAGACGGGAGAAAAGATTTAGTAGATGATTATTCAGCAGCAGGTATTTCTGCTTATTTATGCACAAGTGGAGTTTAGGTGGCAGGTTAGAATATACAAACATAAGAGACTGAGCGTGCACCTGGACCTTGGTGCTTCTACTGTAGGTGTGCTTATTATTATTATGCTGTGCTGATGGTCATAGCTCCAAAGCCTCACGAGAACGTGCAACTGGCCTCCCCGCAGGATACGACGTGACGTGTGTAGGAGTAGACGGAATACAGAGGCAGGCTACTCTAGGTGTAGGCCTACGTACGTCGATAGCCGTCTAGTGGCACGCGGTTGTTCCCGTACTAACAATTCTAGTTGCACCGGACGAGAGAGACAGTTCAGACATGGATATAATAACAAAACAATGCTATACCAAGCCACCCGCAAACGCAAGCGAAGGGAGCTCAGTGCCCAAACGGCTCTTTGACATGACACACTTCAGCAGACCAGGCATCATCAAAGCCAGTAGCAGGGGCCAAATGGATGGTAGGCACCAGCACCAGGAGATGGAGGACGCAGGCTACTGGGTAGGCCATAGTTACCGGGACCTGCCGTGCGTTGGGAGGCGGGCGAGCGTCTGTCACATCAAGCAGCAAGCCTAATAACAAGCCTGAAACCCTTGTCCACGTCGTCGCAGCGGTGACGAATGCGCGACTAGATGGAGTGAGTGATGGACTATAAGATGGACTGAAGAGTGGAGGTTGTTTGGGTGGAGTCATGTCATGCTGCATGCAGTCCTGGAGGAAGAATAGGAGCACCATCATGGCAGCAGTTGTGCAGGGCAAAGCAAAACAAAAGGACGCGCAGACGAGTGCATGCATGTGACTTGACTTGGGGGTGCTTTGCTTTGCTTTACCGGTATCTTAGCACTATCTTGCCCTTCAAGCGCTACCCTGACCCTAGCCGACTCTGTCGCTGGCCCGTCTTGTCTGGTCTGGTCTCTCTCTCTCTCTCTCTCTCTCTCTCTCTCTCTCTCTACTTACTTCACTCGCCTCCCACACCACCACAACACAACACAACACAACACCCCGTCGCCTGCACCCGCTCCAACAACACGCCCTCTTCTCCACCATGTACGTACTTGTCGCACCCGTCTCTGCCCTAATTGCGCCGACCCGCTCCGCGCCTCAGCCACGAACTGCTCAGCCGCAGTAGCGGCACGACCCCGTCTGTGATCAAAGTGCCTAGCCACGGACGGCCCTGGAGCCCGCTGCCTCCTCACGACACTCTACTTCAACCACACCCTTCACTCATCACACTTGCTAATTCTCTGCTCTCCCAACAGCATCCTGATCCGCCTTCGATACCCAAAGCACCAGACCTTCACACATCGCCATGGCTGAGATCCGCCGAAAGCTCGTAATTGTCGGTGACGGCGCCTGTGGAAAGACGTGCCTGCTCATGTAAGTGCTGCCTCAGACGTTCCATGGCAACCCTTTGCCCCTTTGTGCACCGCTCAATAGCTAATCCAACATCCACAGTGTCTTCTCCAAGGGCACCTTCCCCGAGGTGAGTGCCAGCCGCGCTCCGAGCCTGCATCCCTGAGCTGCGTCAGCCTACTGGCTGCATCCCCGTCGCAACTTTTCCACGTCAACACAACCGCACACCATGACGCACATGCTGACATTGTCTGCCCACAGGTCTACGTTCCCACCGTCTTTGAGAACTACGTCGCCGATGTCGAGGTTGATGGTAAACATGTGGAGCTCGCCCTTTGGGATACCGCTGGCCAGGAAGATTACGATCGTCTCCGCCCGCTTTCTTACCCCGACTCGCACGTTATCCTGATTTGCTTCGCCGTCGACTCGCCCGATTCGCTCGACAACGTCCAGGAGAAGGTACGCTGCACAGGGCACGCGGACACTGACTGGTTGGCTGACAGCATCATATAGTGGATCTCCGAGGTCCTTCATTTCTGCCAGGGCCTTCCCATCATCCTCGTCGGCTGCAAGAAGGATCTGCGCTTCGACCAGAAGACGATTGAGGAGCTGCACAAGACCTCCCAGAAGCCCGTGACACCCGAGCAGGTCAGTGAACCCTGACATGACCTACTACCTCCTGCTAACCTCCACTGTAGGCCGAGGATGTCCGCAAGAAGATTGGCGCCCAGAAGTACCTCGAGTGCTCGGCAAAGACAAACGAGGGTGTCCGAGAGGTATTCGAGCACGCCACACGGGCTGCCCTGCTCACCCGGAAAGAGAAGAAGTCGAAGAAGTGCTTGATCTTGTAAGCAAGGTCAGAGCTTGATGTCCAAGTAGCGAGCCGCCGCAGCCGCGCCATGTTGAAACGGGGGAGAACAACCTGTGGTGGCTCTCGGGTGTGTAATGGTCGTCTGCCATTTCGGGAAGGGCTACAATGTGTAGGACGGTCGGGGTAGAAGTCGAGTCGCCTCTGTGCTGATCAAGGGCCTTTTCTTCCAAGCGGCTCCTATACGAGGCGTTTAGTGCGCTGGATCTTTTGTGTTTGGCAGTACATCATCTTGGGGTAGTTCATGATGGGTTTATCTTCTCTGAGCGTGTGGATCGAGATTGAGCAGCTATCGGCTTTCAGCAAATGGTAGGATCTTTCTAATAATGTGCGTTGTTTGGCTCGCGTCTCGCAGGCAGCTTCCCTTGTGCTCCATACCAATCGCTCATCTCTTTATGCCATGACTTTACTCACTCCCGTCTCGTAACTGCATGGTAAGTGAGTGATGTAAACTACATTAGTATTCGCTATTATGTTCTTATCTAAATAAGCAGCTGAAATTGTGTATAAATTGGGTTTATTCTTCTCACAGTTAAGAGTCGTGTGCATGTATGCAGAGGAAAGACGGAAGAAGAGAGGTAAACAAAGTGATGTGTCATGTTATGCAACGCTATGCTATGCTATGCCACGCAACCGCAAGCCTATGCTATGCAAATACCCCTATTGACCACGCCATTCTCCAGTTCCTATTTATCCAACGCCATGGCAATGTCATATCCATATCCTATATACGCAAAGTATTCCCTATATGAACAGTGAAAGTAACGTTACTCCCGCCACTGTGAGACCGAGTAAAGGAGCTGAAGCCCGTCCAACAGCTCCACTCTGACCATTCTGGCCCTGAGGTTGACCCTCGGCAGGGGCGGTAGGACTCGCTCCGCCAGAAGACGAGTTTGCAGTCTTCGACGCTCCCGTTGCTGATAGGGCATTAGACCACGTCTGCATCGTCGTCGAAGTAGAAGTAGACTCACCACTAGCCGCACTAGACATCGTCGTCGAAGAAGCCTCCCCAGTCTTGTCCACATCCTCACTCCCCTTGACCCCCAACCCAACCCTCTTCTCATCCGCGTCAAACACCGAATACACGTTCTTGAGAAACACATCGCCGACCAACCACTGCTTATCACTGAACGTCTGGCGCCCGATGATATTGCTCATGCACAACCCGCTCATGGCCCCACGCTCTATCTTCGCACCAACCCAGTCCGCAGTCGAGATGTTATACCCCTGCTTGTTGAACGAGAACTGAATGACCGCAGTGGCTTCGCAGGGTACACCGAACGTCTCGCCGTCTTGTTTGAACCCGCTGATCTGCGAGTGCATGGCCAGCGCGTCGTCCCTGGGCACCAGGATGTACGACGTGCCTGTATCCATGATTGCAGTCCGCCCGCTCAGACCGAGCGTTTTCCCATCCACGCCCGCGTCCTCCAGCTGCACTTCCCAGAACCCGCGGTCGTTGTCCACGGCCGACAGCCAGTTTAGCTCGCCGCTAAACCGGTCTTTGTTCACGGCGCCGAGATCCAGTTCGCCGTCTAGTTTGCCGTCTTTGGCGCGGCTGAGGTGTATGCCGTAGAGTTTCGCGCCGATGAGGTTACTGGTGGATAGTACGTCCATGACTTGCGGCGCGGCGATGGAGCCCGAGGTGGTGGGGGGTGTGCCGCGGCCGATGCCTAGGATGCCGTCCATGGGGTAGGAGCGGAATTCCTGGGATACAGTCGTGGCGAGGCCAAATGTGAGGGTGGGGGAGAGGGCGCCGATGTGCAGCATGTCTGTGGCGAGGGTGCCACTCACTGAGCCGGTGCCGTAGGTTACGCTGAAGGACTTGGAGGAGTCTGGCTACAATGGATCAGTTAGCACAACCTGAATCGACTTTCTGGAGTGTGTAAAACGTAACGTACCTTTACTGTGCTCGAGTCCCCCGCTCCAAACGTATTGTGCGTTTTGCATGCTGAGCTACTGCACTCTTGGCTCATGACCCATGTATTGCTCGCCGCGGTATCAAGCAGCAAATGATACTCTTCCTTGCTGTCGCCAAATGTCACGGCGACCATGTAGCTTATATCCCTGCCATCCTGGTCAATCGCCACGCTCTTCTCCTGCTTGGGGTCGTTGGAATTGACAATGTTGTAAGTGTTCTGTCGAGCTCGGAGAGGGGAGGGTACGCGGCGGAGAGGTAGTGTAATTGGTTGTACATTGTTGTTGGAGTTGGCGTTGGAGGTAGAGGGCGGGAGAGGTATTCGTCGCAGGCGGGAATTGGAATTGGAGCTGGAAGAAGAGGATTTGCTATCGTCGCCGTATTGGTATGGGTAGAATGCCGTGGCTGTGGGTAGTAGTGCTGCTGCTGCTGAGAATGCTAGCCATGTCGATAGCGATGTACGCATTATAAATTCAACGCCTAGTCGTTCCTAACGCCACATGTAGACCAGGTAGAATCTTGAGCTTTCTAGCCCCTGCTCCAGGTACTTTGAATACGCGTGCTATAGCAGATGTTGAATAGCGATTCGAAAACGTGGCGCGTCCAACTACTTCGTTCCAAGGCGAGATCTCCAGGTAGGCAATGCAGTGCTAAACAAACTCTAGAGGAAAGAAAAAAAACGGAGTAGAATAGAATGTCCAAATTAAGCAGGCAAGCATGGAAAAGACAATGCCACCCACCGCGCAGGAATGGCCCAGGGCGTAAGGCGGGAGTCCGGAGCGCGTTATGACCGTTCGTGTTCGTATCGTACCCATGAAACCGCCACCCCGAGCCCTGGTGTAGATCGTCGACCTGAACTGAACCTTCTCCACATCAACACTACGCTCTAAAAACAGCCCTCAAACAAGCCCTAAAGCACTGAAAAGTGGATACGGAGGGAAATGCAGTGAAGAAATATTCATGTTGGACCCGCACTTTTACCGCCGCCGTGGACGCAGCTGAGACGTGACGCAAAGTGATGTGGCATTGAGATGACGCCGGGGCAGCTGAGAAAGTCCGCCTGTGATGATGTGAGCGGAGTTTTGTGCGGGGCGACCCCTGGATTCGAGGGTTTGAAACAGCCCAGTGGCGGCCAGGCACGCCAATCATGGTCGGTAGGGGGAACATCTTGCACACTTTTTGATTTTCGATATTCGATAAGCTAGGACATTTGCGGAATGTAAATAGGACGAAAAGACAGAGATTCAGGTTCGATGATGCACATGAAATGCAGCTTGGTGTTATAAAAAATATTGGATATGTGTATTCAGCTTGTTCTATCTTCTATTTCGTCTAGAAATTCCTGGCTCATTCCTGTTCAAAATGAACTAAGCATTTTATGCCCAGAGAGATATCATCTGTTCAAGCTCAAAAGCTCCTCGACGTACTTCCGAGCATCAATCCCAATCCCCTCCGCCAACCCTTTCGGCCCCCATCCTGCAGCCGAGCCGCCCATCCTCTGAGTCTGCCCAACACTCCCCATTCCCAGGCCACTCCACATCCCACTTGCAAACCGGCTGCTGGAGCTCTTCGTCGTCATGGCCGACGAGTCTCTCGCCCGTCTGACTAGGAATGCTTCACGGAGCTCATCGGTATTGAACTGTACTGAAGAGTGGTGGGAGGCTTGAGATTGGAGTGCTTCGTCACTGGCGCGTGAAGGTGGCAAGCGCATCCACACGACCCACCAACCGCGACTTGTTTTGCATGTCCGTTCTACTTCAGAGAGGTTGCGGCGCGTGCTCGCTACCGTAGCTAGTATCTGGGAGTGGACGTTGAGTGCTTCCACTCGACTCCAGCCCAATGCGTTTTTACTGCTGCTGCTGAGGCCTGCGGCGATGAGTGTTCCTGGATCCGGAATGTTCGGGACACTGGAATGAACTGTGAAGGTGCGAGGATCATAGACGAGGTCGTAGATTGGCTGCGTATTCGGATCTGCGCCCTTTGTGGAGGACATGGTGGTATATGGGTTGGACGCGGCTGATAGCCGAGCGGCGACCCTGTTTGGCGATGTGTTCCTGTCAAGCGAGCGATGAAGTGGGGAGAAGAAATTGTGTATATCTCGGTAGAACGAGGCGATGGCAAGGGCGTCCGTCCGCTGACGAAACATGAAGGTGTAAATGAAGGGGCGATGCTGTAGAAGCAGTTAGTGAGAAGGGACACAATTGACTCGGGGTGCGTACCACGTAGACTATAGGCTGTAGCCGGAAGAGTTTACTTGTTGTCCTATGTTTGACGCCCAAACTCCTCTCGTATGATGGTGTTTGGTCCGAGTCAAGGCTGGGCGCCAGCAAGGAACCCATCGAGGAACCCTCGGGGCGATCCACTTCGACATGTATCGTCCGAAGCGCGATGCGATTGTTCCAGCTGCCATGATCATTCTCATCGTCTACACCCACGTCAAGCATATCGCCCTTTGATCCGATGACGAAGTAACCATCGTTCTCTTGCTGAATCTGTAGCCTGCGCTTCTCTTCGGCCAGATCCACGTCTGGAGCTGGCTCAACGTAACGCATGGCTTGCGGCGATGGTGTCCTTCTCGGTGTAGGTTGCTCTACGGCAGGCTGAGTCTCTTCCATGGTCCTTTTGCCACCCCATGCTGTGCCATAGCCAAGTGTCATGTACTTCATCCACATCTCGGTATCACCCAAAGACGCAAGCATTGGTTTCGAATCTTCTTTCGACGAATTCCCATCACGGGCATTGGCTGTTTCGACAGCAGCAGAAGCCCTGTCCAGAGAGCTTTCAGCCGCTTTGACGATCGGAGGTGGTATGCCGGGAGGCAGACCAGACCCAGACTGCGAGGGAGCTAGCTGTGGCCTGTCTTGCGGCGTAGCATCAGGCGTAGCATCAGGCGCTCTCAGTGCTGAGACCTCTGTCTCTGGATTCGGGTTCCTCCGTCGGCGTTTTCTCCGGTCAGCGGTCGGGTTCTCTTTTACTCCGTACGCATACTCTCCATGGCTGTAGATGGACTCCACCCAATGTGACAGGTCTCTTAGCGACTTGCGACTAATCACTCCCAGACCAGAGAAGACGACGCCATCTGCGGCATGGACGTTCTTTCCACTCCCAAGCCAGGGGTTCACTTCAGCTACATCGAGCGTCTTCGGGTCTACCGACGATTTGGCCTGCTGGAGAGGGGACGCCTCACCGAAGCGCGAGACCATGATGTCGACCAAGCCCTCTGTTCTGCGCGAAAAATCCTCAAGCACATCGCGCTCGCTGCTGCCCCACTCTTCTTCCCCAACCCCCATGCCTAGCTCGCCGCCTGCTGCCAGTTTCATGCCACCGTATATGTCTACAGCAGGGCTTCCGTGCAGGAGGACATCCCAGTTGCTCGCAAAGCGGGACCAGTACTTCTCGAGGATGCTGCAGAACTTTGTGCGGCCGTGCTTCGCGAACATGTCTCCAAGCGTCAAGCCATGGTGAAGAAGGAAAACGGATTGAGCGCGGATAAGCTGCTGGATTAGGAGCGCAGGGGGGCTGACTTCGCGCGAGGAGTATTCGATGGCTGGCTCTGTGGCTTTGCTACCTTTCTCTGTTCGAGGGGCATCGGTGGCGGCGGGGAGCTGGGTGAGATCGATGGACTGCAGTGGCGTCAGTCGAGCATACAACATGTAGGATCATGTACCTACAGCAAGTATCCACCAGCCACCTTCAAGCTCATGAAGCACAATGCGCGATTTATGTGTCTCTACTGAGTCGACGGCAGCCCCATTGGAGAAGCTCCTACTCGGCTGTCAGCGCCCACGCCCTTGAACATAATATGTCGAATGGCGTACTTTGCAAAGCCAACCATGCCCTGCGCGAGCCCGACTTGCCGTAGCTTCTCATTCTCCTCCTCACGCAGCTCCTGCTCTTTCTGTTTGTCTCCCTTGTTCAGCTTCGAGAGTGTTTTGGCGGCTTTGGAGTAGTAGAAGACGATCTGCTGGTGGAACGTTTCGTCTGAGCTGCCTAACGAGGGATTGTAGATGGCGAGGAAGGACAGCTGCGCAGGCACAACCTTTGGAATCGCCATGGAGGACATGCGTGCATACTCGAAGTGCTGCTCGCGATGGCGTTGGAGGTGGGCGCGAGAGTCACCCCGCGGAGAAGCCCTGGGGGTTCAAGATAGCGAGACTGCTGACACTTGCTGTCAACAAGCGGGTGTCTGGCTATTTGAACGCCATGGTTGCAGTTTAGAGACGCACCGGTATGTGTGTGGTTGCGGAAACAGGGGTGTCGCCGATGATCGTGCTTTGACAGCCCCGCAGATCCCGATGAAGCTTGATTCTAGATCGCGTTCCTATGGCTTTCCAGAAACACCATGCTCTGGAGGCTGCCGGCCTCCGTCCGCTCCTTAGTTCTCCCCACATGCCACAGATATAGCTCCACGGTAGCTTCGTCTCGAATCCCAGAACCATTGAGGATATTATTTTGTGGCTCCGATGAGTTCAGCATCGCGTCATTGCGCGCCTTGAATGGGGTCAAGCATGATGCACCGCAACTCATAGACTCAATCCATGTAGTCCACCGACCAGCCAAGCCCGCAGGACGTGGCCTGAGGACCCTACGAGAAGGTATTGGTGCGTCTCACTTGGACAAGGAATGCCAATTGACGCGAGACAGTACCCATCAAGCAGGTGTCCACCAACGAGCTCGCCCTTCCTACACACGCAATCGACACCTTCACTGGCTGGACACCTCCCACGCCTATAAACCTCGCCATCGCCGTATCCTTCGGGCTCTTCGTGCCCCCGCGAATCCTAGGTCTAGCGAGATACGGTGGCTTGAATGTGCACCCCTCGCTCCTGCCTGACTTGCGAGGTCCAGCGCCAATCGAACACGCTTTATTGCGACGGCGCGAATATACCGGCGTCTCGATACAAACGCTGCATTCGAAACAGTTTGACCGTGGCACGATACTCGCGCAGACGCCTGCGCCAGGCATACGTGTACCTCCTGGTCTGAACGCTGTGCTGTTAGAGGAGCAACTAGCGAGAACAGGAGCAGAAATGCTCGTAGACGTCTTGAAGACGCATAGATTCGCCCCTCCACTTGAAGATGTAGGATGGTATGATACTTCGGACGGACCCATCGACCACGCCCCAAAGATCACGAAGAAGGACCGCTTCATCGACTTTAGTGTCAATACTATTGAGAACATCTTGTCTATTCAGCACGCACTGGGGGACTCATGGTGCATTCTGCCTAATGGCGACCGCCTGATAATACACAAGATCGCAGATACGGGGAAGATCGATGAACGTGGTGGTGAGCCAGGCATCTGGGTACAAAAGGGCTATGACTATCCGCTGTTCCGTGATGCTAGTGGGAAGACGGGCGTTATACTGGAGAGCACATATGCAGGGTTCAAGGCGGGACAGGGAAATGCGAAGCTACTACGCATGTTTCCTGCTCAAGAAAGGGAGGCAGTGAGAGTGTTTGTCTTTAGACCTTGACGGGCTGAAATGGATGCAAACGGTGACGAGGGCAATCTAGGTAGTTAGACTACCCCTTTTGCAAGGATAGCAATGTTGAAACCTAGATTCGCTCCAAGGTGTAACTTCTCAGAGGACTCAAACCGCTCAGGTAGTATGCGATGATAGTACAACATTACTGTACCAAGCTTCTGTAATTTAGAAAAGATTATTATATTCAGCATACTACGACCTGCTCAGTCTGTAGCGTGATGGATCGAATCTAACTCTGGGAAGTATGCGATGGAAGGAGTATTGCTTTGAGAGAAAGTAAAGTCAACGCTAAAGCGGATCATACAACGCAGTAAGAGAAATCAGTATAAAATCATAGTTCAGGTGCTATACCCAGCACCTTAACACAGTATTAAGGCAGTAAAATTTACACAATACTAGGTCAGCTAAATAAATTATTAAAAAACTTTCAACAATTGCCATCAGAAACCTAATATATTATTATTTAAAAATTGTAGCAACAGAACTATAGGTTCTTAACAGTAACTGAGTTGTTTGGACAATGCTAGGCGGGTTAGATTAAAACTAGTAAAAGCATCTTGCAGCAAGCAGGAGTTTAGTAAAGTTTCAAGGAAATCTATGTAGCCTCTCTATATGTGGGGTAGTCGTCGTTTGCTGTGTGCGATGGAAGGAGTATATAACGATCAAAAATAGCCCTGTAAAGCCTGAGAGCTAGTCAAAAAGGATTTGGAGGAACAAGAGTGCATGCCTGCCTCAAGGGTGAAATCTGACCCAATGATGAAATTAGTGGGAATATATATAGTGGATGTTGCCTAACCATTATAATATTTGGGTGTCTTGAATAATTGTGGGAGCTCAAGCTTTGGTCGCTAGCTCGCTGATGAGGAAATACAACTACATGCTACTAAATACCCATATCTTACATGTACATTTTGTTACACCTTCGTGATGCATGAGAAATGCAGAAACTGCCCATTTTGTGGACACCTAAAGAAAGAGATGAGCTGTTGTTGTATGGTTATTTGTTGCCCAAACGGATACCAAGGGTTACGCTGGCTTGGGCTTCTTCTTCCCAATGTCGTAACCCCATTTCCTTAGAGTTTTAACGACCTTTGGAAGGACGGCTGCGGTCAGCGGTACCCTAAGGAAGATCAAGGACTTGTGCACAATGTAGGCCAACCCGAGCTGAGTCCAGATTGCTATCGCAAGGGTTAGCCAATAGTCATTGTTCGAAGCGGACGAGTGTTCATACAGGCATTCGCTCCGTTCTTTGCTTGCACGGCAGCCTCGTCGGCAGCCTCAGCAGCAGCGGCGGCGATTTCTTCTGCTGACTTCTTCCCTGCATCTGGAAATGCCAACCGTACAACGCTCCAGAAGGCGCTCTTGACTACATCCTCATAGTGGCCTATCCTCTCTACCCCTAGAAGCCGTACTGCTAGAAAGCAGAAGGGAAAGTCGATGAGAGACAGGCCAAGATAGACGCCCACCGCTGACCACCCGTACTCGCGAGATAACTTTTTTAGCCTTTGGGAGAATGATAGAGCTGGCTCGGGACTGCCGAGATGTGGGGTAGGGCCCTGATATTGCGAACTCGGTTTGTCGCTCTTGAAGCGGCGCAATCGGAGGTGGCGAGAGAGGGCAGAGGGCTGGGAGCGACGAGACCAAAGGACGGTTGACTGCTTGAAAGATATCGCGGAGGGTTGCATCGATGTGAAGAAGTTGCGTAGGAATGGCGCCGAGGGTCGCGATACAGAGCGCCTTGCGACGCTCCCGGACAGGAGCGGCTCGGCCCAGCTGCGCGCGAGTTGTGTCTTCATCGCACTTGGTGGCAGCGACTGGGCGAGTAAGATTCTACTCACTTGCACGTCGAATCAGTCACGGTCGTCGCAGGTGTCGGTTCATGAACTTGGCAAAGTGACGATTGTTGATGGCCTTCATTCTGGCCAGGGTCCAACACGGCGGAACGAAACGCCGTCCAGACAGGAACAGGCACAGCACTAGTCCACTACTAACTAGGTCAACCAATTTTGGCATTAAACTGCAGCAAAAGGCACTACCACAGCTCATGCTCTAATCACTCGTGCTCAGTCTTGATCAAGATCCAATCATGGCTGGCTCAGGCTAATCATGGCCGGCTCAGTCTCACATGGAATCCCGATGTGCCCCCTCCCTCTATACACGCACCTGCTAGGGGCAAAAGTTTTAGGAGAATCGTCAAGGGCGAGACTTATTGTTGTTACACAGAGGTGGAGAATGCCATGTCGGCTGTCCAACGCCAAGCTACTTTTCACCACCAATTAACTCTGCTCCATCGCTCTTTCTTCTTTTGGACTCTCCTATCAGGAAACTACCTAGCATCAAATGGCCATAACCCCACCGCCTTCTCCTCAGACATGCTCAAACTGTCATCCTCTTTCACCGTCTCGAGGTACTTCAAATACACGTCATGACACAACTCTTTCGCCAAATCATAAGCATCGTTATTGACCCATCCATCCGCATCGCATCGAATAGTCTCCATCAGTACATGTTTCGCATCCATGACATGCTCAAAGTCGGCATATTGGGCAGCATGGCGGTCCAGATCGTCAGCGCTGGGCTGATATGGACAGTGGCCTGGTAGTCCAAGTGTTTCCCACTCGCGCGAGAGCTCGATGAGTTCTTGCCGGAGTGCTGGCGCGCTGTCCCGCCACGAGGTGCCGCAGTATTGGAAAATCCGGAGCAGCGTCTCATTTGTTTGCCGGGCTTGCCACAATTTTGGTATCCAGCCGCGAAGACATGTTGTGTACATTTTCTGGTACAGGTCGACTCGTTCTAATATCTTCTTCGTCCGTTCTTCCCTTGCTGTGACATCGGCATTTTTACCCAGTTCTTTGGTGACAAGATTGTCGATGTGATCGTAGAGAAACAAAAAGTCGGGTGCATCCTGGGCATAGGTGAATGTCGGATTGATAGCCGTGAATTGCCAATCGATGAGCCCAGTAATTTCAAGAGTTGATTCGGAGATGAAGACGTTTCGTTTGTGAAGATCTGGATGAAGAAGAAGAGGTTCTGAGATATTTCGAATTCGCGGAACGTTGGTAAATTTGTCGACGACTTTTTCACAGGCTTCTAATAATTGGATATGATCTGGGATGGATCCATGGTACTCTGGCAGTGAATTTGGCATTGATTCCGGTAGGCGTGAATAACCATTGTCTAGAAGCCCTTGTGTGTACATGGCAAAATCACTCCCTATTGTGGTCAGTACTTCATACTTTTCATTTAGGTCGCTGGATGTACGTACAAGGGCCGTGGTTTGGTTGTCTCCGTTGATAGTTTCTCAAGCTGTCGGGAGCAAGCGACCAGTACTCTGGGTGACAATTTGGACCAATGACAAAGCCATCACAAATGTCGACCTTTTCGTGACCTGCTAGTGACGCATTGTTGAAGTAGAGGCTTCCGAATGCAGGAAACGACAATTTCGATAGTTCTTGCATGTATTTTACGAGCTTACGGATGATGTCAAGATGCTGTCTGCCGTTTAATTTTGGCCAATGGCTATGCAGCTGCACACCAGACACGTATTCCATGATAATGTATTCCGAGCCCACCGCATTGGTCGGGTCATCACTCCACGCCAAAATAGATGGAACTGGAATGTTCGTTTTCCTCTGAACTTGGGGAGTGTGAATAGAATTTTATACATGACCTTTAGAAAGGCTCAATCGGGTGGGCCTACCATGGGAAATGGTTGCGACTTCTGAACTTGTTCTCAACCTTGGAGCGCCTGCATGCTGAAAGGGAACTCGTGCCACGAGCTTTGTGTCGTCATCAAGATGTAAAATGAACGCTCGATTAAAGCCTCCTTCTAGCTTTTCGAAACGCGTTACGGAACTTGCACTGGGTCTAGTACTGATGGCAACCTTGAGGAGTTCCTGAAAATCAAACTGCAGGTTTCGCGTTGCGAATCGGTCGCGTTCCTTGTGCAGCCATCTCCCAGAGGAATAACGGTACGGGCTTGTATCTACTTATTTGAGTTTATTTTAGCATACATTTAAAGAAAAAGCCACATCATACCTTCCGTACTACTGGAGCTGAGCCATCTCTCCTGGTTCTTACTTGTTTGACTCGAAGATTTTGGCCTCGAAATTGTGGACGCTACTGGCATCGGTGTCGTGGTCTTCGCTACGGCAGGAACACGGCGAATGCGACCAAAGATATTAACCATGGTAAAGAAAACTGAACTGAGATGGACCAAGAAGCAATGAGTGGAAAGGTGTGTTTGAAGAAAGTGGGCATAGATTCTAGGAAATCTCGGTCGGCATTTGACGCGCTGGCGGCATCCACACGTGCCTAAAATTAGCAGGGGCCCACTTGACTCAAGCGCCGGGATCCTGGCCAACTCAGCAGTTTGTACCCACTAGATGGAGGGAAGAGCACCAATTTTGCGACATTCTAAATCTTCGAACCCGGAAACAATGTTAATTCCGCCGATTGCTACACAATGAACAAGTCACTTTTGAGCGCATCTTTGAAATCTGCATCCTCCTGGTAGCCTGCCAATCGATGAAACTGTATATTTTGCCGTCTTTGACAAAGGTGCTTCCTTTATGAAGATCTTAATGACAGAGCATGGGTCTGAGCAAGTCGTTTGCTGCAGCAATATTGAGGACATCATCTGAGGAAAATCCTCAAGGAGGTTAAGGTAAGCTAAGGGGGTGCTTTGAGCTGTGGAGAGTTTGACCATGCCACCAGCTTTTGGTGTTGCGAATTAGCGTATCCGGCTCATTTCGCAGTGGGCGATGCTGAGTACGAAACGACTTTATTGCTTCTATTTAAATGGCGGCCCTAGTTGTGGAATCTGTGAGTGCCCAGCCGAGCCAAACTACGACTCAAAGAGCCCTTCCATCAACCATGGATCGAAGATGAGCTCTTCTGCAGATGGCCTTTCTTCCGGAATCCAGGTAAGCATCTTCCGTATAAATTGTAAGAATCCTTCTTTATCTTCACCAACCAGTCTTTGTTCGAGGAGTTCGAGGTTGATTTCGGGAATGGGAATAAGGTCTCTCCACATGCCTGGAAAAGTAGTTTTTCGTTAGCTGAAAATCTTTTTCTCAAACTAGAGACTCTTGCCAAGTCCACTTACCATTCTCATCCCAGTAGCGAAGGCTGTTCTCCGTGCGAGTGAGGAATTCAGGGGGCGGGGGACCCAGGATTGCAATCATTTCTGCAAGATGATTCCCATCATCATACTTGCCATCCGAGCTTCTCCCAGTGAAAAGTCTATTATGTTCAAAAAGATCCCAAACCTGTTCATCTAAGTGTACTGTGTGGTAAAAAACAATCAAATACTCGAGAGAATAACTTACTACCATAGCAACATTCCAAATATCAACCGAATAGCTCCATTGCATGCCTAGGATAACTTCGGGAGCTCTATACACGTCGGGCATGATGTCGTCGCGATGGACTCCTTCGCCAAATCGAGCATCGCCGAAATCACAGAGAAGTGGAGGTCTAAAGGAAAGGGGGAGTGGCCGCGAGAGGTAGATAGTGCGTCCATCGAGAGGTTTCCGGGGGCTCGGATTATCGAGTTCGTTCTGTTCGTATTGTGAGAAAAAACTCTCATCATTGATACCCATAAGTAAATTGCTTGGCTGCAAGTCTAGAGACGAGTTAGCTGTTATCCAAGCCACGGAAAGCACTATGAAATCACCAGTATGTATGACGTGTGCGTCCTTATGAAGGAAGTCCAAGGCAGCTAAAAGTTGGCGAATCGAGACTCGTAATACTTCTTTGCTAAAGACTTTTCTCCGAGCCCGCATTTTGAGGTCGTGTAGGCTCATTCCTAATGGCTGATGGACTAAACAAGTATGTTTCCCGTCTGGTCCAAGAATCTCAAATGAGTCGAGAAGCATCCGGATACATGTCCGGCCGGAGTGATTTGACTGGGTTTGATTGATATGCTGGTAAATCGGAAGCTCTCGATGGACCTTGGAGCTATTCACGTATACTTTCAAAGCAATGTATCGGCGATCCCTATGAAATATAGATCAGCCCGGAAAATCATAAATGCTTGAGTCTTCGTACCCAAGATCGCGACAAAGCCAAACAGTCGAGCTTGAGCCATGGCCTAGCTTCCCTATGACCTGGTATCTCGTATTAAAGACTTCTCCGATACGAACTGGATAATATCTCTGCGCCTTGTAGTTCGGGATCAATTCTTCTTCCACTGAAATCGAGGACTCTATCACCTTGAATCCTGAACTGGGGAATGTTAAAGGTTGCGAAGAAGGCTGGAGTGAGGACGCCCTTCTATGTGGTGATGATCGTCGTAAAAGACGGGCAAAGCTGGGGGGATGGCAGAGATATGGCCAAGTGAATTGCGTGGGTAGGTTGCGGAGATGTAGAAGTTTATGGGAAGATGGATAAAGACAGGTCATGACGAGAGCATCCTCGAACCAAGCCCGAGGGGAATGAAAGAATGAGCATCAAAGGTTTCGGTCGTCAGCGAGGATGGAGGATGGAGAGGAATGAAAGCTTAAGACAAGGGCCAGCGAACTGTCGCTCACCAAGGTACTAGCCAGGGATCACCTGACACTGCGCCCCGGGGCGATTAGCGACGCTTGGCGACGTTGGGGCCCGCTCAGCTTGGCGCTTTTATCTACTGCGCGTGTAGCTGAATCTCAACATCTCGAGGCAAGACGTTGCCGCGCGCGAAGTCAACCCCAATCATTAGAGTGCCCGACAGATATTCCTTGTTCCTCGAATATCTGTTTGTTATTAGCGAGCTTAGTAAGGTCGGATAGTCGCATTAGCTTCTTCATGCAGATGCTGAGCTCCCACGCTGATACAGAGTGAAACTCTTGAATTGCAGCTTTCTTGAGCAATCTACGCTCGCCTCCAGTAAAGGTTACGGGCCTGAAATAAGGCCCTTGCCGCGAGCTACCAGCGCTTGCTCGCTAGCGTCAGATTTTCCTATCCAGCGAAGTCTCGCATCCTGCTTTTGTCAGCTCTTTAAATTTGGTCTTAGCCTGCGGTTGTCCGGCTTGTGTGTTTATTATTCCTAGGTTGGTTTTGACCTCCTTACCAATAAGTCTAATGCTGGATTTGACTTCAACTGACTGGTGCATTCTCGTTCTTAGCGGCCGATTGGGGCCCAATTTCAGACCCTCGTCATGCTGCCCAGGGCGGAAATCAGGCACAATCTCGCTAGCTCACGGTGAGCTCAGGTGGGCTCAGCCACTACTCAATCTGTTTACTTATTGCTCAAGTTACGCCCTATGTAACTTAAGGTCTAATCTAGAAAGAGCTTTACATAAGAGTAGATAAATTGTAGGTATTGTGGCTACCCGCTATTTCTTGTCGCATATGGCTCGCTCAGATTCACAGACGCTCAGAATCACAGAGGCAACGGAGATATCCGGAGACGGCGGCGACTCGGATCTACTATGTACGCTGAGTCGCTCCACGCAGCCCAGCCCAGGCTCAAGAAATCGCGCAGGCTCAAGAAATCCCCTTCTTATTGCCGCCTACTCGCAGCAACTACTGTTTTACCAGACACAGTCAGGACATCAGATGACGAGGCTTTATGTTGAGGTCCCGGGATTATGTGCGGTAGCTGCGATCTCGATTCAGCAACATCTAGTCTGTTCTTGCGGGCATGTCCCAGGCACGGAATTCAGCTTTACAACGATCATCCAATTGCGTTGCGGGCAGTGGCCGGGGGACGTCTCAAGCGTGATCGACACCATAACCTAACGTACAGAAGCGTCAGCCTGCATCAATCGGACCGTGGCTAAGAGCTTCCCCGAGAAGTCTCGAAGTGTGAGACCTGCAACCTCTGTTGCAGATGATATCCAAAACAGGCATAGCGGGACGCCCCCTGGCGGACAGCTCCTGGCGAAACGTGGGCGTCATGCAATGCATGCTCTCAACCCATCTTCGCCGGTTTTGTTCGGGCAATGGAAGTTCACTTTGCTATCTATCGATTGCCACAAATTGCGGTTACTTGCTACCGCTACCTAAGCCCTAGGACGAGGCCTAGGCTGTGCGGATCCTAACCTGCACCATGATCAAGGACTCCATGTTGGAACTCGTGGCAGCTTTGATGATCGCGTGCCGTGCGTCGCTTTGACGTCTCGGACTAGCATGGCTATATTTTATATCTGGTATTCTAATTGCGGGGCACGACGCGTAGCTTTATTATCGGCCGTGCAGGTCTGTACACCTGTGCGAACCTCTTTGCCGGTACTAGTAGTGCCGCTGTGGAACAGGAGGAGAGCATGCCGCAGATGTTAATCAGTACTCGACGCTATGGTCTCACAGCCTGGTCTCTTGGGTCCTGACTGTCATTATCCGGGCGCACATCGCTGTGTGTGGGGTGATGTCTAGTAATGAAGTGCATTCGAGTTGAGTGCCACCGCGTGGGACTATCTGTGGGTGGAAGAGAGCTCAAGTGTTAGTTTGCTGCGGACCCAAGCGGCCTCTAGCATTTTCTAACGTCTCACATTAGCCTATTTCGACCTGACATGGTCCCACATATCGCTCCGCTGCCTTTCAATCATCGACTCAAGTGCCGCCGCGCGAGATTCTGTTTCCTAGCAACTCCACAACTCCACTGCCGAACCATGCTCCTAACCAACGTCACGACTCACGACATCGCAGCATCCGCCTGCATGAGCCGTTGATCCGCTACGTATCTTACCCTCCCAGCATCAAAACAGTTCGCTTTCTCTCCGCCGCCGAATGTATGGAGCACAGTCCCAAACACGGCTCGGCGCCTGACTGCGGGGCCCTGTGAAGGTTCGTGGAGCGCAAACAAAGTTTTCGGCGTTCCAACAACCCTGCAACCACAGAAGTCTTATTAGACTTTGCGGTTGCGGGTATCGAGACGGAGAACATTATTCATCGGCCTAGGATGACATATATCCTCTTTGAACGAATACGTTGTCTTTCTTGATTGGTCCGGATTCTCGAGCAGTCCTCTCTGCACGCTGACGTTCCAGAGTATCGGACAGGGCTCCTCTTCGAATAGGAACAGCGTGGTGCATGTTACCTGGTAGCTCGGCTGAACTCTTTCAGTCTACCAGTCTGCCCCTGTAAAGGCTCGGCGCCGTTCGTCACTTCCTGGTGGACCAGGGTTCCTGGTCTCACGCATCCGTCGGAAGTTTGCAGTCTGGTGTCACACCCATTCCTTCGCTTCACGACTTGACAGCGCTCAAAGCGGCACACTCCCGGAGCCAACTGTTTGAGGCTTCGACCAAGCTCTCACCCTACGCCGCTGCATCGGCCTTCCCTAAGGATCTGCCTGTCCACCTAGGTGGGTTTGATCTCATTCTCAAAATGGCTAATTATATGTTTGGTATATATACTACCCGCTCGCTTTTCCCTTACCTTGTCTTACCTGGCGTGACCCCGTTCGACCATCTACCTTTCTTTTTTCCCCGACAGCTTCGCACCTCTTATCTTTGCAACTATTCTTCTTGGACTGCTCCTTCCCCTCTTGCTTAGTCTTGTTTTCGAGCAATATAACCTACATTAAAACGACATGGGTGGTAACATAGAATATATAGCAGGCTACGGATACCTCTCCCTCAGCCAAGCTGTTCACGTCGCCCAGAATAGTGAAGGTGGCGTTGACCAACGACTTGCTCAGTTCCTCGAAACGCAGCTGGCAGTAGTCTGGGCGAAACTTAGCGCGCAACCCCATACGTACATTCTACCATCAGACGAATTCGCGCTTATGAACTACTACCGCACCCGATTTGGCGACAACGAAATCGTGAGAAACGCAACGAAACGATTTTGGGACAATCACAAAGGACCTCAGTGATCGTGAGGCTCGTAACGTCCGTACCTTTCACGGTTACAAGGTGGGACCCCAACATCCTTGAACGAAGTCAGAGAGATTGACTTTGCCAGACAGCAGCACACATTCAAATCGGTATTTCAAGAACGGCGAAACCTGGAGTTCCTTGCTCGTTACTTTTAACGACGGCGTTTACGGCATTCTTTCTCGGTAGTAACGTCTACTGATCGACTCCTAAAGAAGCGCGAGGCAAGATGTACAATCAAGAGCAGAACAGAGATGCAGTGCTTGCGCGATGTAGAAAGCAGCTGCCAAAAGCGGATATGCGGGAACCACTTGCACGAGCGGCGGCTGGCAAAGGATTGCTGCATATCGTTTCAGTACTCCTAATGCTAATGACGATGATACGTTCAACCTTCGCTTTGCTTACGACGCCACCTCAATTATCTAATCAACGACACTCATTGACGAGTCGTGCTGCGAACGAATCATTCCCACTAGAATGTGTACAGGTTGCGCCTCCCATTATGAGTCCCACTGGAGGGTGTCAGCAGACATTAATGGTGCATACATTCGCCGCCTCCTACGGGCAACCCTTCATAGGCAAGTGATCTCTAGAGCCCCAAGGTGCCTTACCATACTTCAAGTCGTGGGCGACAGTATTCCTCTCGTTGACCCAAAGATATCTACAGCACCTTGCCACGAGCCCAAATAGTCGTGCTAACCTATCCGTCAGGCACATACAGTCCTCCAGACTGTGAATTCAATCGCATCACTTTTAACCTCATTGTTACTTCCGCGGGACGACAATTTGACAGACTCGCGCTTATGTTCTTCGATGATACCGAAATCTTTCGCACCTCGACAGCCGAACCAACGCGAGACGGGATTATCTGGACCTACAACAAGGATATGAGTAGCTACCTCTCCATGTTCAAGAAGCCACAAAAGATTGTATTTGACCTTGGCAATCTCATGGACGATACCTACACAGGCTCGTGGAACACGACATTGGCTGCGACTTTCTTCACTGCTGAAGATACGATAGAGCCTGCCGATGTTGTCATCCCCGTCTCGGCTCGACGATCGGCCGAAAACGCACCAAGTGGCTTTGTCGTCCCTGGGTCCAAAGCAGTCAATGACCTCGTACTACCGCGGAACGCGAAAAAAGCGGTGTTTTCCATCTCGGCATGTGGTCAGGCTGCAGAAGAGTTCTGGTGGAGTAATGTGCTCACTTCCGATACGCAGGTCTTCGGGAATCACACAACGCTGTATGGTCATTCGCCGTTCAGAGAGCTTCAACTCGTCATTGATGGATACTTGGCCGGAGTTTCATGGCCTTTTCCAGTGATCTTCACGGGAGGTATCGTTCCTGGTTTCTGGAGGCCCATCGTCGGTATTGATGCATTCGATCTGCGGGAAGATGAAATCGACATCACGCCCTTCATACCATTACTCAGTGACAACCAGTCCCATACTTTCGAGATTCAAGTGGCGGGTATCGATGACGACGGACGCGGCAATGAGTACATCACAACCAATATTGAATCGAATTGGATCGTGACCGGCAAAGTCTTTGTGTGGCTAGACAGTAACATTAGTTCTACAACGGGCACCCTCCCAAGTGTTTCGGCTTCAGTGCCCACGATCCACCTGCACTCAGCAACACAACACACCGTCAACGGCACAGTTGCATCTTTAGACTATTCTATCGAAGTATCCCGCAATCTCTACATCGAGTCTACCTTGCACACCTCTGCAGGCACCAAAAATGTCTCCTGGAAACAGGATCTCACCTTCTCCAACTCGGGAACTCTCAGCAATAAAGGCAACGATCAAATCATGCGACAAACAACAACAGGTAGCCACCTCTCTTCCTCTGGGTATTCTAGAACATATGAATATCCACTTTGGGTCATCTCATCTATCAATGAACCCCCAGGCGGCAACCTCACTATTGATGCGAAGATGGGGCGAGGAAAGTACGTCCAGGAACTTGGTGATCTAGCCTACCCAAACGACTGGAAAACGTTCGACTACACTCGCCTGCCCTCAACCCTCTATGGCAAACCAACATTCAGTGGATCCAACGTGAACAACTGGCAGAACGGTACAGCATCGTATCTCTCCGTCCCAGCGCAGAAAAGATCATACGGTTCAGGCAGCACGGAGCAACTCCTCTCGCTTAGCGGTATAACCGATGGCCCCGTTGCGGTGGTCCAAGATGGTACGCACAATGCCGCAATGCATATGGCACAGCAGCGGGGCGAGGAGCTTTACCGGAGACGAATGGTTGCGACGAATGGCTCAGTAGTGGTTGATGTGGAGAGCTTCGGTGGCCAGGTGCGCGAAAAGAGCACGTACGTCGCTGCCAACCAGGAGTACAACGATGGAGGAGTACATGAGTTTGCGATGGAAGGAGTTAGGGCTCTGCTTGGGCGGGGAGCGTACGCGATGATGAGATGGCGCTAATTAAGAGCTTGAAGTGGAGTGAGATTTGCATTAGGAAAGTGAGTTTATCGAAAGCTATTCGTCACAAGGTTCGAGCTATGGCAACGCGCATTTTAAGTTTGGCCACATTGGGAAGACGTGAGCGAAAGAGGACTACCCTTTTGGCTCGCGTTTAGAAAGGGTTGTTACACTGCGGTCCTCCTAGGCAACACTATCCAATTGCGTAGATGGCACCGCATGTTTTGGCCTGTGCGTGCTAGGTCGTTGCCTACGAGACAGTGAGTTAAGATCTCTCCATTGATCACCTGAGTGTGGCATATCGATCCCATATTAGAATTTCCACAGCGCCTGCATATGTCAGTCCATTATTTGATGTGCTACTACATTATGGTGCACCATCGATATCATCCGATAGAGGTGATCCATAGATCATGTTACATATTTGTCTCCGCCACCCAATTTAGGTCCACATTAACGATATGCAGCATTGGGGCGTCATTCTGCACCAAATTACTGTGGAAGCGACAAACCTCCCTAGCTTCTGGAAAACACAACATATGTTCCACAAAAGTCCCAACTATTGCAAGCGAGCTGTTTGCGAAGAACGCTATTGCTCCACCATGACCTCGCTTACAGTGTCAGACTTTATGGCGAACAGTTTATGGAGTCTGCTCCGCTCTAGAGCGCTCTTGAGTATCATCACATCAAAACTACTCCCAGTTACTCACCCCACGCCAATGCGTACTGAACTCTCAATGCATTGAACATCCCGGCCAGATATCTAGTCCTGTCCGCCACAACGGGACCACCTGCAGTTCCTGTGGAGACTCCGAGCTGGTAAAACTGAGGGCATGACTAGGTTACTGCCACTAGCATCCGGCAAAGCGATGCCGCTCATAGCGCTGATTAATTGTACCCATGCTATAGATTCCTGGGTGTGCTTAGTAGACTGAGCTGAAACCTGGTCGAAGGTGGATGGCTGGCGAACATGTGGAGATGGGTATAGAATAGCTATTATAGTTCAATATGTCATGACTATGCATTCCCCAATCTTGAGTTCATTGAAGTGTTCCTGGGCTACACAGCGCACTTACGCCAAGTCAATTTCAATCTTTAACCGGCGGTCTTACAACCGCCATCTGTGGGCGCTTGGAGCGGGAGATTGGCAGATCTCTGCGCAGGATGCATCTTCTTGTTACAAGCCTGGACAACGAGGCGGAACTGAGTCGGAGATGTTACTGCTGAATCTCACCACGGGACGACTCAGGGTAATGCACGCTATACCGCTTCGCTTTTATGAGCCGCTTAATAGGCTAAGACGCATTCAGGAGTGAGTTTCGGGCTTACTTCAAGTAGACAATGAAGAGGACAATCGCTGGTCGGAACGATGCGCCCGAAGTGAGTGGACACCGTGACGAATTTTTCGCTTTATGATCGGCGGTGCATGGCCCTCCCCATGTGTATTTCCAGGAAACCTTAAACGACGTGCGCCGGCGCGATAACATGGATGTACAATACCACTAAACTCAATTTTGACCGGCGTGGCCTGCGAGTCATAACGGCCGTCGCCCCCTGTACGCTGTCCGCAGCAACGCCCTCACCATGCCGTTTGTAGACCTCGGACGGGAAGGCAGATGAAACCATGACGAGAACTTTGTCAAGACCTCGCTATGCGGAGGAATGATTAATTGACACATGTAGTGTTACCCAAGGTCGCTCTGGTATGGCGTGAGGCGGGGCGTTGCTTATCTTCCGCACTCCCGGTATGCAAACTTTGAATGTCAGGCTGGGTTGAGTGCATCGGTTAAGCTGTGGACGAGAATAGATATTGAAGATTAACGTTATTTTGCGGTACGAGAACGGCTGGCTGCTGTATCACGGCGAGCTCCAAGGACCAATGCACCAATGAACATGCGTCCTCCAGCATCACATGTTCCCGAGGGAAGGGGAAGCTTTCGTGATATTCGTGATATACCTCGAGTAGCAGCTGTGTATGTGCGCCAGCCGAAACTCGCTTCGAGTCACAGACAGGTCGTGTGCTTCATGCACGTAACCGCGAATATGGAAACCGTAGTGCGACCAGCATGCAAATCTACAGTGGGCTTGACTCTAGCTGAATACCATCTTGTACCTATGCTCTTTTATCTTTGCAGTCCTCACGCCATCACGCCTTCCTCGTGGATACGAGCCGTTGAATGGCTAGTAGGTGCATGTAACCGGTCATGCATGATATCCCTTGCATTCTGTACGACATAGAAGGCCTCCTATCGTTCGAGGGACGTGCCATTTCCTCCGGGCATGCAGAATACGATGGAAGAGCACACTGTAACATGAGCATTAAGCTGACGGTGGGACCGCGAGCGAATATTCCATCAATTGAAAAAAAAGAAAATTGAATCAACAGTAACAGATCCTGATTCGGCAATTTTTTCCCGATGCCTAGGGTCCAGGTGATTTGAAAACTGACTCGGCAGCGTGAACTGGTAGTGATTACGAAAAATGGGGAATGAGGGAGGGTATATGTCAGCTAGAACCAAGGCACTGTGTTCCAGGTATACGACGCTCCCACCGTTACAACCCCACGTGGAAAGCCTGGTATTCTCGGCAATAAGCGCCTACTGGGTTCACTGCGCGGGTAAGGGAGACATGCAGTATATCGTGGCGTTCCCTTCTGGTCCTGTTGCATGCTTAACCGGTTTCTAGTCCACACTTGAAACACATTGAAATGATAATGAGGTGGCGTATCGTGCAGAGTACGTGGGAGGTCGTGTGCGGTTCGTCGTCTTGACTTGAAAATTGGGTCTCTGTCGCTGGTAAGTTCCCTCATACCAATCTGTCTTCCTTAAAGCTACCGAAAGACCAATGAACACGCTTTCAAGAGCAAATACTAGTGATCTGCGGTTCAGCCCATGGCATCGCCATTACTATTGATAATGCAGTGCACTTCGAGGATGGAACTTTCAACTCAGATACTGCAGCCAGAGACATACAATAGAACATAACAGGGTGGCTTCAAGTCCCGATTACTAGCACCTCGATGAGAACTTAGACCATCGGTCCGGATACATTAACGGATTGTTGCAGGTTCCTTAGTATGTGCCCGACGCCCCCAAGATGACTTGCATCTGACATGCAGCAATCACGAAGCTCCGAAGGCATCCAGTTTCACCTCGCGTCGAGGCCAATCTCAGAACTGTTCGCTATGGCTAGGAGACGCTGTCGTGCTCTTTCATCGCCACCTGGTCGCGATGACCTTTGATGATGTGCGTCATATCTATCCCACTTGCGTTAACTTCTGACGCCCCGCTTAGCCGACGCGCCCGATCATCCGCGGGGCGATGCATGCCATCATGGCTTCAATCTTCTATATAACATTTCGACCAAACATTGAAGAATTTGTCGACGTTGAAGAGGACCCTACTTTTAGCAGCAAATCAAGACCGTCCACACACCAGCGGCTACAGCTGGAGTAAAGATAGAGAACGAGGGGTGGCTGTGGGTGTTGGGGGCTATTGTGTGCGCCTATGACTCGACATGATTAACGCCTGTTGACGCCTTCCACATCACGTTTGCCGCCCGTGACCCGTCATCCGCCAGCCTACTCTCATCTTCCTTCATGTATTCACGCCTTGCCACCGACCTACGGAACTTCGCCAGGACCGTTCCATGAAGTGCTATGACCTTTCCACCGCCGTCAAAGGTCGTCGAGGACGATGACAAGGACTTTCAGCAGTCTGACCTTAAACCCGGCGATAAGCCCGAAGACGCGCTAGCTGCCAATCGCGGGGCTATTCGGATGCCTTCCCCAGATCCGTCTCCCATCTCGATAGACGACTCGAACAACATACGACTTGGTCGCTACTCAGAACATGTGCCGGCTCATGGTGATCGTGGACATGCTTCGCATTCGACAAACCCTCCACGGGGCTTCAAAGGCAGAATACAGCTGTTTTGGGTCGCAAACAAGGGACTTGCCCTCGTGCTTATATCACAGCTGTTTGGCGTTTTGATGAATGTTACAACCCGGATGCTAGAGATGGAGGGGAACGATGGTAGGTACTTAGTACGCTCTATTGGCTTGAGTCGCGCTGATATTTCCTCTAGGCAAAGGCTATCATCCTTTCCATATCCTCTTCGCAAGAATGAGTATAACTGTACTCTGCGCATCAACTTATATGTGGTACAAGAAGACGGAGCACTTCCCTTTCGGTATGAGAGAAGTGCGCCCGCTTCTGGTTGCTCGGGGTCTTCTCGGCTTCTTTGGGGTTTTCGGAATGTACTGTAAGTGTCACTTCTCCACGTGAAAGCAAATGGGCACAGTAACTTGTTGAAGCTCTTCCAGCGCAGAGTCGCTAGTTATTAGGAGAGGCATTCCAAGCTACTTACTGCAACCCTAAGGAGTTCTGTAAGACCTACAGCGAAGCGACGAAGCTGACGATTCGCAGATTCCCTACTGTTCCTTCCGCTCGCCGATGCCACCGTCATCACATTCTTAGCCCCAAGTCTCGCCTGTTGGGCCTGTAGCTTCCTAATAAACGAACCATTTACGCGAATGGAGCAAATTGCTGCATACGTATCCCTTTTTGGGGTCGTATTAATCGCAAGACCAGACTCGCTTTTTTCCATGTTCTCACACTCCGATGAGCCAGTGCCTCCTGCTAGCGGCGATTCGGACTTTCTACCCGCTCCGAATGGAACAACCACCTCGCCCGATCGCCTCGCTGCAGACTACGATGCCGTAACACCAACTCAGCGAGCGACGGCAGTAGGGCTCGCGATGTTGGGTGTTGTAGGCGCAGCAGGTGCTTATACAACCCTTCGGTGGATTGGCAAGCGAGCGCATCCGTTGATATCGGTCAACTACTTTGCAGCTTGGTGTACGATCGTGTGCATTGTAGCCATGTCTACTATGCCGAGTGTTGGCTTCTTGCTCCCCCGATACCTGAAGGATTGGTGTTATTTGATATTCCTCGGCATATGCGGTTTTATCATGGCAAGTGTCTCCACTCTGACAATTTACCAGATACTAATGAATCGTAGCAGTTCCTCCTCGCAGCCGGCCTGCAATACGAAAAATCGTCGCGCGCAACGAACATGGTGTACATGCAAATGCTCTTCGCACTTACATTTGACAAGATGGTCTGGGGTACAACACCAAGTGCGCTATCCATTGTTGGTTCGTCGCTTATTCTGGGGTCGGCAATCTATGTCGCAATGAACAAGGAGGACCCGAAACTAAAAGTTGAGCCGAGGGAAAGAGGGGATGAAGAAGAAGGACGAGGTTTGATGTCCCCTGATGCTGATGACCAAGGAAGAGTCGACAATACCGAAATTCCGATGAGGCCGTTACGATAATGACTTATTGTGGGCAGGCGTTGCAAGGAAAAGGCCGACCCGAACTCGTTTTAACAAGTCAGGGCGACAGAGCAGCGACATACCCTACGGGTACAGAGGTTTAGACCGGTGACTATAGAGGCTTTGCTCTTTTGGCTATACAGCGAACACATATTCACATGGCCATTACTAACGAGGCCAGAAACTTTGCGAGCGTTACTGAGGCGATATTTTCAGCGTCAATAGATGATAAGAGCAATACCCAACCAATTTTCTCGAGAATCTGAACCATGTCGCGTTAGTGCTATCATACTAATTATAGTGCCCCGGGCGCTGTTTCGCCGGTATCTTACCCCACTTTGATCCCCACAGCCGGGCACGAGTGCAGAGATTGCAACAAGTCAGCGTGCTTAACTTCAATACAGTTTTATTTGATTATAGATTATATCTGATAGAAGCACCCAAATTGCCATCAAAGACAACCAAGTCAAATGCCACGACGCAATTCCCAGCGTTTATCCTCCGTGGCGCAATTGGCTAGCGCGTTCGACTGTTATTTACTAGCAAATCGAGAGGTTGAAAGTTCGAGCCTTTCCGGGGGAGCTCCTTTTTTTGCACTTTTTCACGCTCCTCCGGCTTCATTGCAGATACGCAGTCATTTAGTTACCTGGATCCTCGGAGCGCACAAAGGCGAGCGTCCCCAAACAGTACCTCATGCACAGGCGTGCGGCGGAACATTCTCCGGCCTTTGTCCTTGTCCATGCATGGGCTTTTGCTCAGCGCCATCTAGGCTAGCTCTGTGTCGCACGCGCGAAATCTTTTTTGCTGTAATAGAGATGCGGACCTTCACCAGTCTTCCCAACGAGCTTCTTCACTCGATTTGTTTCTACACATAAATTGGCGCGATTCCGAAACCGAAGCTATATGGTCTAAATGCCGAGTTAAACAATGTATCGCTCCTCCAGCTATGTTGCAGTCGCGTACTCATTCTGTACCGGTCTGTGAACCGAAAATCGGACAATAAAGCGTCTCTTTTATCTCTATGGCGCCTTACAAACAATCCTGAGTCGACCACGTCTGGCGGACAAAGTCAAAGCTATTCCAATACAATTAAGCCTTCAAGCGTCAATCGAACTCGCTGCCACAGAAAGCAACCTCTTATTGGAAGTGCACCAGAAGTGCACCAATCACTCACAGCCACTGCTGCTCCAAGGAACATCTCATCGGAAACTATGGGCATTATGAGATGGTCTATGTTCTTGTATATCACCCCCCAAATGTCGAAACAGTACATGTCAATATTGTTGGATATGGGTAGAGGGCGTGCCGTGGCCGAGCTTCAGAAAAGCTGCTCAGCCAGATGCAAGATATGTACCACCTTCAAGCTACTGCACAGCCAGTCAGTCGACCTCTGGGGAACTTGAGAGATCTTGAGATCGCACACCATAAAGTCCAGGCTTACATTCCTCTGATGTCCACACGGGAATTTGAATTTGAGGTCGCGTTTTTATTGTCACCAGTCGAATCCGTGCGCATGAGGACACGCCAATATTCATCTCTCCCTCGGGTGCCGCTTATACCGCCATGTTTGGCATCGAATTTAACGATCCTCACATTGAGATAATACCGCGTGGATCTAAGTCGTCTCCAAAATATCTGTAAACTTGCCAGCAGATTGAAACAATTTGCATTCCTCACCCAAGATCCGCTAACTCTCTATGGTGGATTACTACTTGGGCGCCCAGAGCTCGATGCAGGTCCCCTCGTCCGTCAGCCGACACCAAAACAGGTACTGGAAGCCATCAACTACCAGAGGGACACACTGGAATACTTAGAGCTCGACTTTTACGACTGGCTCCAACCAGGATTCGAAGCGCTCTGAGGGCACGATGAAACCGATCCGAAGCAGCGACACCTTACATTCAAGCAATTCAAGAACATCGAAGTGTTGAACATCGGGCACGACCGGATCGGCCCGCCACAAGAACTACCTGGAAATCTCGTGGCGCTCACGCTCACGCTCACCCACCGACTCAACAAACCGTGCCTTATGGACGATCCACTGCACTACCCTAGAATTGAACAAAACAATCGGAAGCTCATCTTGGAGAATGTCTGTCCCAGGCTGCGTACGTCAAAGTCGGGCGCTTCTATCCATTCCGCTACTCGGACGCTCGTGTGTTCGACTGGCGACGCATTAGTAAGGATGCATGGGAGGATTTTGTGTCTAGCAAAATCGACTTCACAGATCCTGGATCTGAGTTTGAAGAGGAGAGACGCGAAAATATAGAGAGCCAGTTGGATACTTGGTGAGATAATTGGTGGCAGACATGGCTTGCTGACAGGTGGCCAAAGGAGCTGGAGGCGGACCTCATGAGACGGGTTTCCCGGGAGACAGCAACAAGCCGGTTTAGTTATTTGGTTAGTTATGGGGTGCCATTGATGGAGCTTTCATTGTTATATTACCCAACAGGCTACATAAGTCGCACTTTTGTAGCAAAGTATGTAGATAGAGATAAATTGATCTAGAAAGGGCAAACATTCCCAAACCGATCAGCCCACAGGGTCCCATCTGCGAGCCAGTTGAGATTGAAAGGAACCTGGGTCAATCACATAAGTATGTGCTCTATCCGCTAGTTCATGGCTGCTCGATCGGCTTGATTCCATGGGTACGATTCACCTCACCACTGTAGACGCTGTAATAGATCTTGGTGGCATTTACACGAGCGTCGAAGTATGAATAGTTTTGTACACACAACAGCCTCTCTTCCGAATATTCCATAACCGGCCTATAGCGCGTATCTAAACTCACGGTTCACCAAATCCGTCTGATCTAAGAACTCGTGGTTCTCCTCCAATTTCCACTCTTCAGCCCTGGCATTTTTCTCCTCAACCCTCAACCGGTTCCTCCTCACAAACAGCCATCGCATCAGCACAAGATCACACGTGATTAGAAAGTACAGAATCACAATCGACACCTTCGCCGGTAGATACCTTGGTGAATCTCTCGCCTGGAATGTCTGGGGGCTGATGATGTTTCCAATGGTGTACGCCATGGTACCAATGACAGACACGGTCACCTTCTTCGTTGAGCCAGCTACATTAGATGCTTGGAGTCCAAGGATGGTTGTCCAGCCGATGGGTATGCCACCGGACAGATAGTAGCCAATGAGGGCAGGGACCTTGTTCGTCGTGGCCATCAGTATCGCGCCGATTATGGCGGGGATATGAATGGCGATACAGGCATAGAGTCTTTGTTCTGTCTTCATGGCGATCCAAGTGCCACCGACCAAAGCCACAATCTCGTACGCTCCTAGCGGCGTCACAAGTAGAAGCGATTCTTTCGACGTGTAGCCCATGCCTTTCACAAGGATATTTCCGAATGAAGTTGCAATTGAGTTGGGGATGTTTGCTGCGAAGATCCAGAACGCATACAGCCAGGTCATCGGATCTGTGAGGGCTTCACGGAACTGATCCCACTTAAACGTCCGACTGCCAATACCCTGCTCGTTTCCACGGATCCGCTCGACATGCAAAGTCTTTTCTTCTGTCGTTAGGAAGCCTGCGAACTCAGGCGAATCAGGCATAACAAACCAGAAGCTGATGCCAATCAAGGCCGTAAGAAGACCCAGGAACAGGAAGATAATCTGCCATCCTTTAAGTGCTGCATTTGGATCGCTGCCAACATGATTCGCGACGCCGTAGGCGAAGTAGCCTCCGAACATTTGCGCGGCGCCGCATACCGAGAACCAGATACCGACGCGGAAAGCTTGCTCGTTTCGCGTGTACCACTGCGACGTGAAGATGACCCAGGCTGGGACGACAGCAGCTTCTGCCGCTCCTAGAAGGAACCGACATGCGAGAAGCGAGGCATATGACTTGCATGCTGCGAGGGAGGCGAGGACGGTTCCCCAGATGGTAACATTGACAGCGACGTACTTGGCAAGCGGGAAGAGCTGTATAAGACGGATTGTTGGGAATTCAAATGCAAGTTGACTACATGGTACGTTAGCGTTTAGTATTGTTGATAATTGACGAAGAGACGCACCCAAAGAAGAAAATCGAGGCCACCCAGTTAAACTGGTTTCCATGCAATCCCGTATCCTTGATGATACCTGTGACGCTTGCGTACGAGATGGCAGTCTTGTCAATGTATTGGAGGAAGTAAACAATGCAAATCAGCGGCATGATGTGAAGATCGATTTTCCGTAGTAGCCGCTTGTTCGTCTCCGCATCTACTGGTCGTCGAACGCCTCCGGTTTCTTTGAGTAAGTTGAGCGCTGCATCCGCACCGGACTTAGGTGTGATTGGAGCTTGTGGCTGAGACGTCGATACATGCACCTCTTTGCTATCGTCCAAAGGTGCCCCATCGCGTACGTGCTGCGATGGCGTGGCTGAAGTATCGGCCATAGTGGGATTTGGCGTAAGGAAGCTCGAAGGAACAGCTACCGAGCAGAGCTTAATATTGGGCCCTACAGGTGCTTATAATATACCCTCATGCATCCCTCCTATGACAAGGTGAGCCAGGTACCCGGTCTTATCAATGGTGTCATCCTAGGAACTTCATGACTTTCCACCACAATCCTACACTTGACCTTCAACAGCAGCTTTACGCGAAGCATCTCTAAATGCCCCGGTTTTCCTGTGCTTGCCATCGGCGGACGACCTGGATACGAGCACTGCGTGAAAATATTGGCACTGTGGTTCGTTCTGAGTGCTATCGTTGGGAGCACGCCATAGTATGCCAGTCTTCGGTTATCACACGTTACTGTTTCTAGCCTAGGGGCACCCATAAGCATGAAGCACGACTACTGTGAATGTTATATCATCACAAGGATGGTATGAAAGATACCACCTTGTCGATGGGTTTCCAGAGGATCGTGGGGTGGTGTCTGGTTTGCTTGATCGGCAGCTAAAGCGCTAGGTGCCACTCCACTTGGGTGATCACTATCACGACATAGTGTGGAAGACTAGGCTCCAGGTGCAACAGCCGCCTAAGCTTGAGTAACCGTCTATAATGATATGCGAGATAGCTTCAAGTGCACGCAAGCCAGCACGATGCAAGGTATGTACGAACGCAATGAGACCCGAGTAGCCATATGTTGGGCAGCCAGGTCAATTAAACGCTCACGAGGTCGTTCTTGGAACATTCTTAGAGGGCTTATATCGAAGTTGGATCGGTTCGAATAAGCGTGACAAATTGGTTCCTGTGCGATTGAAGGATGAGCTTCAAACTCCGGTCCAGCATAAAGCGCAATATAAGATGCTGTAGGGCTTTGTATGAATGCCTTCTTCTACGCGTACTGTGAAGGCAGGCCTAAACTATGCTAAAAGCCTGCCCATTACATCTCGATTGGAACGCCGCCTGATCGCCGAGACAGATGTAAGCGGGCATGAGCATATCGTAGGTCGTTATATGTTGCTGTGCCGCGAGTGCTAGAACTCGCAATTGAGGATGAAGAGAAAGACGGAGCTGTTCAAGCAGAGAATTTCGCGAGGATCGCGCGTGCACGTGTCCCGCTAAACCCTCTTCGTTCGAACCTCAATCCATGGATATCACCACTATCTGGCGCCCATCTGGAACTCGACAAAACAGAATCATGGAGTTCCTCGCCGCTCTAACAATCCACGCACTTCGATCATGATCGCTCTACTTGTTCAACTATGCCTCGTCCATCCTGTCGTCTCTTCCGCCTACCGACCAGCCGTCCGCGCCGCCACCGTTTACTCACCATGTTCCTAGCTCTCTTCACAATCCTGACATTTATAACTCCCTTCTACATCATCTATAAACCGCCACACCTGCTCATCCGGTACTTCCAACGCCGTTGGCCAGATGTTCTATGGCACGTGCCCACGCACGAGAAGGTTGTCGCGTTGACCATCGATGACGCCCCATCAACGCACACGCAGGACATTATCCAAGTGCTAAAAGAGAATAACGCGACCGCAACTTTCTTTGTTATAGGCAGCCAGGTGCGCGGACGAGAAGATGCCCTAGAAGATGTAGTAAGAGCAGGACACGAACTGGGTAATCATGCTATGCACGATGAACCGTCACGGTCTCTGCGTCCTGAGACGCTGGCTTTGGAACTGCGCGAGGTCGAAGGATACATCAACGGCACCTATACGAAGTTGGATTTACCACGTCCTCGGCGGCGATATTTTCGCCCCGGTTCTGGATTCTTCAGTACGCGGATGCGGTTGCAGATTCAAGAGCTGGGCTATCGACTCGTGTTGGGCAGTGTGTATCCGCATGACCCGCAGATTTCGTATCCAGAGGTGAATGCACGGCATATTTTAAGTATGGTGCGCCCGGGGAGCATCATTATATGCCACGATCGCCGAAGCTGGACAGTGCCGATGTTGAAGAAAGTGCTACCGGAGCTGAGAAGGAGAGGTTATAGAGTTACAACCGTGACTGGATTGCTGGATGCTGCCGCGAAGAACAAGGCGAGATGAGGCTTGCAGATGCTTTAAGTTGTTCTGGATGGGATGTTGTCCGTACCTTATAGCACATGTTTCGCTTGTAATACGACGAAGATTCGTAAATATTGAACGCGGCGTTAGGATACACTTCATATACCCTCGAACGCGAAGAAATCAAAAGTATCATATCGAACATTCATTCCATTTCGCTACCATCTATACATCTAAAGTGCCTTCCTCAACGCACTCCTAAACGGGATAATCTGAATCTTGCTAATATCCCACACACCACTCTCGACATAGACGTCCTTCTTCACCCGCTCTACGACTTCCTCTCTTGTCTTCGCGCCGATAAGCATAGCCGAGCCCTTCATCTTGGGGGGATTCGTGTCGCCGGGTTGGATGGGCTCTTCGAGCATAGCGCCTATTGTTATGTATGCGTTAGCCACTACTAGCAACCTCGGTGTGAAAACAAGGGAACTGGGGACGTATGCAGAGGACGGGGAGTGAGAGGCAAGTTTGGGAGTCGTTCGTACCACCCCATAACCACAAATCGTCCCTATCGCTCTTCAAGCCCTCCAAATGCTTTGGTCGCACTGATATCCGCTTGTCCAAGGCGCCCGCAAAATCCGGGATTATGACGAGCCATTCTTGAAGCGGCACGCTGCTGGTTGCTGCCATAGTCCGACGGAAATGTGTTGGTAGGCTACGCGAAAGTCTGAGTGTGCTTGCGAGTAGTTTGATCGATGTCGAAGAGGTACGGATGAGAGGACGGAGAGCGAACATATGCTGCAGCGGTTGCTTATAAGAAGCAGGCAGGGCGTAGTGGGGTCGGAGAGGGGAGAACGCTTGGATTCCGGTAGTCGGCGCGCTGTAGGTACCTGATGTCAGCTCTTCGTTACGATTAGATTAGAAGATGCGGAGGCATACCTCGGAGCTACAATAGCAATTAATTAAGAGTTCCGGTGCGCTTGTGGGTCAACTCTTAGCCTTGTAGTTGCAAGGGCGCGTTGCGGTGTACTCGTAGGGCGCGTCTGCTTGTCTCGGAAATAGCCGCGGTTACGGAATCTTGAGATGCACGAATAGAAAGCGGAAGCACCAACACATGGAATTGGATATGAGCAGGTCAAATTCAGGTGTGAAGAAACATCAATTCGCTACATGAATCAAATCCAGATCAAATCTCATAAACTCACTCCCCCCCCCCCGCGGTAACCAACGCGTTCAAACGCGAAATCCTCCAACGCCAGAGCCCGAACATTACAAGACAAGACATTTACTTGTCTTACCGGCATCTAGTATGCATCCGTATAAACATCGTAATCATACATGTCCACCTAACCACTGCACATGACGCAGGACTCAGGGTTCTCTATTGAGCAGGCAAGCGCAGCATCGGCGTAGATATCTCCATCTCTTGCTTCGCTTTCATCTTCAGCATCTTCACCCTGCTTCATCTTAGAAAGCACTTCTTCGTCTGGCTTGCTAGCAGGGTCAGATGCGAGAACCTTGGGGCTGTCACCGTCTTCAATGTCAGCCTTGAATGGTTTGCTCGCGAGAGCATTCTCGGTAGGGCCAACCTTGCTCTCCGAGGCAGGAGGCGGGGTAGCGACAGGTGTAGGCACACCGTTCGATTCAAGACCACCATTAGGCGTCTTTGTTGCGTACATCGGCCTTGGGGCTGAAGATGGAGTTTGCGATGCAGTGACGGGTGAGTTTTGGAATCCAGGCTGCTTCCTCACTTTGGGGAGGGCTTTGGCAATGTTCGTATCCTCAACCATGAGAGCTTCTTGATCAACGGTAAACTGGATGGGGGCAGACGCGGCCATAGTACGAAGGTAGTACATGCCCGTCTTGAGACCAAGCTTCCATCCTGCGAAGTGCATCGAGGTGATCTTGCCCATGGTAGGCTCCTTCATGTGGATGTTAAGAGACTGAGACTGGTCGATGAAAGCTCCACGGTCAGCGGCCATCTGGATGATAGTTCGCTGTGAGATCTCCCAGACAGTCTTGTATAGGGTCTTCGTCTCTTCGGGGATGTTGGGAATCCTTGCAATGGAGCCACCCTCGGCGATGATACGATTCTTCATGTTCTCGGACCACAAGCCCATGTCGACCAGGTCCTTGAGCAGCCATGGGTTGACAACCTGGAACTCACCGGCAAGTACTCGGCGGGAGTAGATGTTCGAAGTGTATGGCTCAAAGCACTCGTTGTTGCCTAAGATCTGGGAGGTGGACGCAGTGGGCATGGGTGCGATAAGTAGAGAGTTGCGAACACCGTGCTGCGCAATCTTCTCTTTCAGCGAGGCCCAGTCCCACAGATCGGTAGGGGTGACGTTCCACATGTCGTATTGGAGGATACCTTGAGACACAGGCGAGCCTTCATATGTCTGATACGGGCCGAGCTCCTTTGCGATGTCGCAGGAGGAGGTGAGGGCCGCATGGTAGATTGTCTCGAAGATTTGGATGTTAAGCTTCTTAGCCTCTGGAGACTCGAATGGCAGGCGCAGAGCAAGGAAGGCATCAGCAAGACCCTGCACACCCATACCAATAGGACGGTGACGGAAGTTGCTGCGACGTGCCTCCTCGACAGGGTAGTGGTTAACCTCGATGATCTTGTTCAGGTTACGGGTAACGACCTGGGTGACTTCGTGTAGCTTCTCGAAGTCAAACTCACCACGCTTGTAATCTACAAAGGATGGGAGGGCGAGGGAGGCCAAATTACACACAGCAACCTCATCGGGAGCGGTGTACTCTACGATCTCAGTGCAAAGGTTGGAGCTTCGAATTGTACCGAGGTTCTTCTGGTTGCTCTTGCGATTGCAGGCATCTTTGTAGAGCATGAAAGGATTACCAGTCTCTGTCTGGGCCTCGAGAATGGCATACCAGAGTTTCTGGGCACGCACCGTCTCGCGACCGCGACCCTCCTTCTCGTAGCGGTGATACAGCTCCTCAAACTCGTCACCGTAGACATCGGCGAGGCCAGGAGCCTCATTGGGGCACATCAACGTCCACTCGCCGTTCTCTTGGACACGCTTCATGAAGAGGTCAGGAATCCACAAGGCGTAGAAGAGATCGCGAGCGCGGACCTCTTCCTTGCCGTGGTTCTTGCGAAGGTCCAAGAAGCCGAAGACATCAGCGTGCCATGGCTCGAGGTAGATGGCAAAGGCACCTGGGCGCTTGTTGCCACCCTGGTCGACATAGCGAGCAGTGTTGTTGTAGACGCGGAGCATGGGAATGAGGCCGTTCGATGTGCCGTTTGTACCGCCAATGTAGGAGCCAGTGGCACGGATGCGGTGCACGTTGAGACCAATACCGCCAGCAGTCTTGGAGATCAAGGCACAGGTCTTGAGTGTGTCGTAAATGCCGTCGATGCTGTCCTCCTTCATGTCAATGAGGAAGCAGGACGACATCTGAGGGGATGGTGTGCCTGCGTTGAAGAGTGTGGGCGAGGCGTGTGTAAAGTACTTCTGCGACATGTAGTCGTATGTCTCAATGGCCTTCTCAATATTCTCGCCGTGGATGCCTACAGCTACACGCATAAGCATGTGCTGTGGGCGCTCGGCCACCTTGCCGTTTATGCGGAGGAGGTATGATCGCTCGAGCGTCTTGAAGCCGAAGAACTGGTAGTTGAAGTCGCGGTCATAGACAATGGCCGAGTTGAGCTCCTCGGCGTGGTCTTGCACGATCTTATAGACAGAGTCCGATATCATGGGTTGGCTCGTGCCGTTCTTGGGGTTGACATAACTGTACAGATCTTCTACGACGGCGGAGAACTGCTTCTTGGTCTGCTTGTGGAGATTCGACACGGCGATACGCGCGGCAAGGATGGCGTAGTCGGGATGCGTCGTGGTCATGTATGCGGCGGTCTCGGCGGCCTGTAAATTGTTAGTAGCTGAAGTGGGTTGGAACGCGTAGAAAGAGACTTACCAAGTCGTCCAGCTGGATGGTCGTCACGCCCTGGTACACGCCAGAGATGACCTTCATGGTGATGGCGGCCGGGTCGACATGGTCTGGATCGAGGCCATAACATAGCCTCGACACTCGTGCTGTGATCTTATCGAACTGCACGCGTTCCTTGCGTCCATCTGGAGTGCTTTGTTAGCCCTAGCGACGATATGCTGCACCAGGCAGAGATTGAGAGCAGCCCTGAAGAGGCGTTACATACCACGCTTGAAGACGAACATGTTGAATTAGTAAAGGAACTATGGGTATCTGGGTATATGAGGAATGGGTGAAGGGTGGAGAGAAATTGCCTGGAGGGGTTGGACGGTACACTTAAGTAGCGACGCGTCGAGAAAACAGTGCACGTTCTCGCGTAGCAGCGACGCGTTGCTTGGTCAGAAACGAGCGAGAAGCTAAAGTGGTTGCAAGGTAAGGTGTGCTTGGACCACCCATCGGCGAAATGCTGCACCGGCGCCCGAACTTTTTGCGGCCGAAGCCAAACCATCGCGTGCAGTTCGTTGATGTCGTGAAGCTATCCAGCCTATCGCTTTCTCTTTTCGCCTAATTTCCTAGATTCAATTACCTGCCATGGCGGGCGGACACATGAAATACCGCCACCTTAGCCGGTCGTCGTCGCATCGCCAGGCGCTCCTGCGAAACCTCGTCACGTCCCTCTTCAAGCACGAATCGATAGCAACAACATGGCACAAGGCCAAGGAGGCACAGCGCCTGGCGGAGAAGCTGGTCACATTAGGAAAGAAGAATACAGAAGCAACACGGCGGAGAGCGCACCAGATATTCTACGTAGGATGCACCGGTGTCCTGGCACTATCTCTACTGACGATCACTAGGAACCGAATGAAATGGTACCCAAGCTGTTCGGGCCCATAAGAGAGCGCTATGCGAGCAGACCCGGTGGTTATACACGTGTCCTCCGTATTGAGCCGATGAAGGAAGACCAGGCAGAATCAGCCATCCTGGAACTTGTCGACGGACCGAAGGATATGCGCTTCGCCCTCACCGCGAAGACTCTAGCGCGATTACCGGCCGATCGACAGTTCACACCAGGGGTAGCAAGTCACGTCAAGAAAGTTACGCAATTCCGCGAAGATGGCGTCGAGGATTTGCGGGAAATGGTCGAGCGAATGCGGGTGGAACAGGACAACGGAATCGACAATAGGATATTACCAGCGCCTAGGAAGGTTTATCCAGAGGAGAAGATGAAGAGAGACATGCACTACTTTGAGGACGTGGACAACTACAAGCTTCCCAATGCGCTGTCAAAGCGGAAGTCAGGGAGCAAGCAGGAGGAGCAGCAGCAGTTGGAGGTAGACATCGTAAACGAGGAACCCAGCAAGCAGCTGGCATGAGCCCAGTGCCATTATCATGTACCATACCAATGTTCACATACGACGTACTATACCCAACCGCTTCCTTGAAGCTTACATGGAGCACAATCATCTCTTAGTTACCTTTACTTGAATAGTCGACGACGATCATTGCAAAACTCTCTCACCTCCAACTTAGGCACGGCACCATGCGGCTATATATGAGCCAGATACCTGCAGCTTAACTCCAACCACCAACCACCAACTTCCGCTCGCCGTCCAAGCCACCATACTCATGGTATCTCAATCGACGATGACACCGAGCAGGCACAAGGACCATAAAGGTACTCGGCCTCGCATTTCGTGAGTGGTCATGCATAACATATACCACAATCCTGAACCTAACGCCAGACAGCGCCAAGGACCCGAAGCTCGCCACAATCCTCGTTGGACCAGCCGAAGAGAAGTTCGTCATACACGAAGAGCTTCTGACATACTATTCCGGGTTCTTCCGCGCAGCTTTGACCGGTCGCTTCAAAGAGGCTGAAGAGAAGACTGTGCATTTGAAGGACGACAATACCCACATCTTCGAATTTTTCGTGCACTGGCTCTATCATCAGCGCTTCCCCGTCGCAAATGACGCTGACGAGCTGTACAAATTGTGGAAAGGAGTCTCGAACAACAAAGAGGCGCAGACGAATAACCTCATTCGCCTTCACGTCTTCGGTGATACATACGACGTCCCCAAGCTGAAAGTGTCGACGATGACCACCCTCTGCAAATATGCTCTTAGACCCTGCAATGATGTCGCACTACCCAAGGCGCACATGGTTAGGTTTGCATTCGAAAATCTTCCGGAGGGTTCCCCACTTTGTACCTTTCTGGTCGACACATACTGCGACGAGGCGACCAAGTGCACCTGGACGGGTTTTGCTCAGGAGAATTGGCCGTCGGCATTCATATCGAGAGTTCTCTGCCAATACACCGAGTATGCGTTTGGCAAACGAAGCAAGAACGACTCTATCTGTTCGTGCGACTATCACAACCATAAGACGGATGAAGAGCGACGCTCTTGCCATGAACACTGGCGGCGGAGAAGGAAGCGTTAGAAACTTTACTTGGTGAGGCGTTCGCAGTGGCAAAGCTATGCTTCTGTGGTGGACTAGACTACAAGCTACATGACAGACTGTGATAGGGCTCGTCGCCTGATCGAGCGGGGGTTTCTGACTGAAGGGATGCAGGCGAAGCAACCGGAATTTGATTTTATGGCCATTACAAGTTTTCAATGGGTGGAATATACAAGATCCATCAACTGAGCTGACACTCTTCTGCCTTGGTGAAGAGGCTGTTCTGGGAGTTGACAACTACTGTCTTCTCGAGGACTGCACCAGCGGCTTGCTGGAAGGCTTGGTGGGCCGGATCACTGCCTACATAGTGATCCCGATCTCCATTCGAGTAAAATCGTGGCACGAAGGCGTGAGTGATTCCGTTCTGGTGCCGACAATTAGCCCGCATGAGTCAAAGTTTCTAATGAATAGCAAGAGCGAAAGTCCTCTTAATTTCTAACTTGACCTTGGAAGTCCCCATATAAAATCGCAACCTGTCCCGTTTGAGCCCACGTGAGGGGGATGCGAGCGCTAGCTTCGACCACATGGCCCAAGCTCCTCTAGCCGTGACGTACCTGACAGCAGCGCGACAGAATCACATCGAAGAGGCCGCAATTTCATCATGGCAATTTTAATTTCATCATGGGGAGCTTTGGCGGTGCACAGTCCAGACGCCTGCAAGGCAAGCAGGTCGGCTTGCCCTCTTTGAGCCGGCTGAAGCTGGATTCTCGCGCCATCTGTGGGGGCTTGGCGTTTTGACGTCACTGTTCGTCAGGTGCAGGCGGGAGTGCAGCTGCAAGTACAAAAGCGTCGAGCATTCCTTGTCTCCTGCCATCCACCACCTCGCACCAGTACTCCGAGTCAACCATCTAATCACACTCGTCCATCTCCAATTCCACATCTCCATCACAATGGCCAGCCTCCACTGTACGTACCCTCTTTGTTCACCACTGCGCGTTGGAACTGCCCGCGGACCTGTTGTCGTACAAGGCAATTGCGCCGTGTTTGGCAGCTCCAGCATCACAACAACGAGCTTTTGCTAACTCTGCATCTCTCAGACCTTCCCCCCGTTAAGCCGTCAGCCATTGCGCTCGGCACGGCCTTCAACCACGCCGTCTCGCTCGCCGTTCTCGGTCCCGTCTTCGGTGACGCATACCGCCGCGCACAGCAGGCCAACTCCAAGGAGGAGTACTTCCACACCAAGGAGGCTTCCACCGCTGCTGCCTCGTGGGGTAGCTCAATCCTCGGCTCTGCCGTCCAGGCCTACGGTGTCGGTGCTCTGATCAACGCCACTGGTACTCTTACCTACAAGGGCGCTGCTTACCTCGGCTCTTTGATCTTCTTCGCATCTGCTGCTCCCTCGGTACGTCATCATTTACAATAATGTTTGCCTGTTACCATTGATCTAACAGTCACCAGATTGTTTCCCAGGTCATCACTGAGAAGCGCCCGCTTGACACCATTGCCATTGGCGCCGTTGCCCGCGTCCTCGAGACCGTCGGCCTCAGCTTGTTCCTCACCTACTGGGGAACCCGCACCAACCCCTTCGACTAAGCGTCTCACCTGATAGCTAGTGAAGGAGTTTGGGATTCTCATCTTGGCGGCTTAGATTGAGTGTTTCAGTCACAGCGACGATGGAAACGACATGAACTAAGAATAGCCTTGATATGGCTTGCTTCTATTACGAATGTAACATTACCTCAATGAACTGTTCAAACTTCATTCGCCTGTTCTCCCTGCAACCTTGATGTCTCCATTGTTCGTGATGAAAAGTTTTCGCTATTGATTGTGTCACGACTATCAGTTGTGTGCCATTTAGTAACTTCCCGTCAGTGATGACGGAAATATTGCAACTTTGACGCAACGAAAGGCTCAGGAATGCTCCATCAACGAGTCTAAACAACATAATAGGCCGTAGAGATGTTGTGTATATCAACTATGAAGCGACGTGTACCTGATCGGCGCGGGGTCCCAACGTTAGCCTGTGCCTCTACACTTCTGTACCACTTCAAGGGTCTTACCATAGACCGTCCATCTTCATCACAGCTCCACTAATGCTCCGATTTTTTTTGGAAAAAGTTGTCCGATAGAAGAAAAAGTCATCGTGTTCGCAGCCCAGTTGGTTTCTAAATTTGTCACATTCGTGCAATTTGATAAGGTTGCATAGAGATTCTGCAGTGTCGCTTGTGTTTTGTTCTTTCCTCAAATCACGACACAAAACAGCATGCACTGTCGGCATATGGCCGGCTGATATACGAGATAGTGAACAAGGCTGAAACGAGCTGAAAAGCCTACGGGCCATAGACGTGGGGTCCAAAGTGGTATTGTTTTATCTGGCTCGGGCCTACCGTTTGCAGGATGACTGACCCATTCCTATATTCACATCATATCTCTTAAACATTGACCTCTGAACGCGCATAGATGTGGCGTAAATTCGAGGGACCTAGCTATACCGGCTTTTCGTCCGTGGACGAAGCTATGCATAATTGCACCACCGTGGATAACAAGGCTAGCACAAGAGCCGGATGCTGGACAGTTCTCAACTGTGTTCTGGCCGCCGCAAGCCCCCATCAACAAGCAAAATTCTCAGCGGCGGCTACAATTCTAGGCCTGGTATGCCATCATGCAGTGTAGATAATCCGATGCTGCAAGAAGCAGGAGCTGATCTTTTGTCTTAGCTGCCGACAGTACTTTGCCTTATATCAATATCGACCGACGAGCTTCTGCAGATTCATTGCCGCTTCCCCATACTAGCTTTATTGCTCTCACTGTCCAACCCTTCCACCATCTCCACAAGTTTATCCTCAGACCCGGTCAATATAAGACCTCTGCACGCAGAGCGTTCTTTGGGACTCAAAAAGCTTCTGTCGTACAGTGTTCGGCTACCCCTTGGCAACCAGCTTTCTCTCACGCTCTTGTATCATGATGTCATTCTACATGTGCTGGCTGCGGGTTGTGTCGCCCTTATCGCTTCCCAGACCTTGGTTCTCGGCGTGAGAGGCGTGGTTGTATTTGCATGCTGGACCTGGCACAACCCTTTCACCTGGTGGGCTGCAGGGGGAATTCTCCATCTCCTCCAAGCCCTCACATGGCGCCTCTGTCTTGGTCCGATCAAGCCTTCGTTAGTGGATCCATGGACGCGGTGGACGTCTTCCATCGCGAGTTGCAAGTCAGTCCTTGCAGTGCGGAGGCCGCGGATTGCAAGAGGCTTGGCTTTGTTCTTCCAGGTCACTGGACTCATGAACTATGTTTACGGTACTGTGATTCTATCCGGGATGATGTTAGTGAACCCATATATCGCACTGCGAACCGTTGCGGTTATCGGACTCTCGGGGTTGCTTGCGAAGCTTATTGCGATGTGGCTATTAACCATCTTTCCGGATATTGAAAGCCAATACATTGAAACACTGGAGAGCCACGAGGGACAGAAGCGGACGTCGTCGGAAGATTGCGATACTACTAGAATCATGATTGTAGATGGGGAATAAGAGCTATCTATACGGCACTTGTGTGATATTCCATTCTGGGTAAATAGTGTTGGAACATAATAAACATACATCAGTCCTTCCTCCGCCACGTCTTCCAAGCCTCGACAAAGCTCTTCCTGTCCCTCTCAGCCCCGCCTTCACCACCCAATCCATGTACCACATGACCAATGCTACCCAAATCCAGAAGCGGCACCATACTCGGCCGTCCATGCGCACACATGAAGGGGAAAACGCAACGCGACAACTCCTTAAGCAAGAGTTCACACTGGTCAAGACCGAGTTTGTCGTTGAACATGATCGCTGAACGACAGGCGCGCGAGTTGATGAGCCCTATGAGGCCTTGTGGGCACGTAGCTAAACGTCTGACCCAATCTGAGGCATCGGCATTCTCCGTGGAGGACAGAGAGAGATGCGGATCATCAGCGTACGTCCATACGCTGGAGCGAAGGAAAGAGAATAGGACTTGCGGGTCGGATTTGCAGCGCTCGGAGATACCTGGCGGGAGCGTTGTCACCGACAAGAGAGACTGAGTCTTGTCTGAAGTGCCAGGTCGTGTCGTGGTTGAGGACGAGGGCGATTTGACCACGTCATAGAGGATGCCCCATGCTGCGAAGCGTGCGGCGTGGGTTTCGAAGTGCATGCGTTCTTGAGGAGATATAGTGAACTGTATCGATCTCGCGAGTGTTACGGATGCGACTTGCGCTCTGTGGCCGAGTTTGGATTGGTAGCTTGAGCGCACGCTGGTTTCGGTTAAAGGAGTGCAGAGTTCTCTTAATAGAGATTCGACTTGGACGCGTTCATCTGCGGCGTGTTGGTCTACTAGGACCAAGAGCTCACCACCGTTTGGCTTTTGCCCTGGACTGGAAGTAGACGCGCCCTGCATTTTAATGAGGATGAACTTGTCGTCTACCTGTGCGATGACCTCGGCTTCTTGTAGACCCTGCTTCGATAGACGACTTGCACCAGTCGTTGTGGCTGCTTTATCCATGTCAAGGTGAGAGCATTGATGGCTTGCCCCTTCAAAGCCATTTCTCTCGAGGCTGACCTGTTGAATGCGTTGCTCGCTAGGTATGAATATCGGATTATCCCATGTTTGCAGCACACTATCCAGCCACGGTGTCTTCTTAGCGAGCGCTGTTGCGGGTCTTGATGTGAGCCGAATTGAAGTGTTGAGCTTCTGCGTGATCCCAAGTGTCGATGTAGCGGAGTGGGTTTTCGGTCTCGCGCGAGCATCTGGCATGACACAGCCTGTACGTGCATTCAATGTATACGTTTGTTTAGTCGAAGGGTCAGCCCACAAAATGGCATCATCCGGTTCGTCATCGTCGGCACAGGGCCCAATCGCTGCCTCAGACGGCTCCTCGCCGAGTGAACACGCATTGAACGCACCTCTAGGTACTGGCTCAACCTCGAAATTGGAGAAGCCTTCGGGTCTTGTTGGGAAGGCTGGACTCCGATCTACATCTTCACAGTCCAGTTGTGTTGCTGCACCTCTTCCAATAGTTGACTTCGACAGAGTGGGAAGGTTACTGAAGAAACTCGAATTTGCACTCTTAATCCGCGACCACTCGGCAAAGGCCCCATTTTGACGCTTTTCAGATGGCTCTCGTGATGTGACCGAGGTGGGTCGCTTCCATTTGCAAGTAGCTGAAGTCGTAGACTTAGGTATGGCCGTTGCTGAGCGGGTGGAACTTCGCGCTCCTGTTCGAGCTGTTGGGGCAACTTGATCTTCTGGTAGCAACAGGCTGCCGCCTTGGACAGACTCACTCGGAGCGGGAGACGCATGGCTGGGCTGGTTGCGGCTCTTGCGGGACAGTTTCGGCTGAAAATGATGGACAGATAGCCACTGCGTGACCATAGCACTCAAGACCTCGATAGCAGCCTGCAAGTTGGTTTCATCCCTTGTGAGCCGATCTTCTGAGAGCCTCGCTGCATGATCACTGTTGAGTGAGATTCGCAGGTGGAACATGGGATACCTATCGACATCCTTCCGCGATTTCAGCTGCCAATTGGTATACTCCCCGTTCTTGAATCGCTTGTCTGCTTGACGACGCACAGTTTCCAGATCGTCAACATCCACACCGTCCTCGACAGTACCAAAGCTAGAAAGAGCAAACAGTCGATTCACCACGTCGTAGAGCTCGTTCTGCCCGGACTCAGCAGACAGTGAACGGATGCCAAGAGAGATATACTGCACATTCTTACTTGGTGCTGGATCGAGAGAGATGGCGCCCTTTATGGAAAGAGCAGAGGTGGAGGCAGCGGCTGGCACCCAGGACGCCCACTCATCGATCGTAATATAGTTGGCCTGAGTCAGAAGGTTGAGCATGGAGGAAAGCTGGGCTGAGCGTGGCTTGTCAATGCCCTTGTTGTACGTCCTTGTGGCAACACTTGAGCTGGACGTATTGAAGTTGAGAAGCACTCTGTTGTCGCCATCTCGGATCTTCAAAGATATAACGCCTCCCCAGCCCAGTAGTAGACCTGTCACATGTCTCTTGAGGCTGTGCCACAATCGATCCACCTCCGCCTTTTGTTCCGTGACCATAGACCGCTGCTTGACCCGCACTGGAAGGTTCCCGAACAAGTTCCGGACCGTGACTCGGGTGCCATGCTTGCTGTGCACTTGTTGGTTCGTAGAAGCTGGCAATCGCCTCTCCGTGGCTTTGGAGTGCAGGAACGTAATCGAGTTATGCGAGCGATATTCATGGTGGCGCGAGGTGATGGTCATAAGAGACATTGCGGCGAGCGCGGCGAGGAAGGCACCATTGCGGCCGAGGAGAGTATCATGGGAGTAGTATTTGGAGGTGCCTGTACCTGTTGGTATCTGTGTGTACAAGGCGTAGCGAGAACATACAATGAAGCTTTCCTAAACCGCCTTCGTCTGTAAACTCGACTGGGGATATGCCCAAGCCATTGTCCTCAATCGTGCAGCCGCCACGCGCAAAGTCGACTGTAGCGTCGATGCTCGATGCTTTTGCGTCTAGAGAATTGCTCAACAGGCCCAGTATCACTCCAGTGAGCGACACAATAGCTGTCGAAGACTTGACCTGAGCGATGACCGCGTCGGGCAGGGGCAGTATGCTTCGTCCTCGAGCATTCGCACTGGTTGCTTCCTCGCACACGTCGTCTTCTTGTGTCATGACGCAGGCGTGGTTCTTCCATCCGTCCCCTCGTCAGTCGGCGACGCGCGTGTCATCATACCGGGGTAAAGAAATTCTCCGTGCGTTTATGAAGATGTGCAATCGGCCATCTGGAAGGTAGAAAGTGGAAACGCATCATCGCCTTGGCGGGCTGCAGGGCTGCGGGTGCGCCGGGAAAAGGGTCCAACCGGAGCTATACTTCGTACACCAACAGCTACATCCACCGCCCTTTCAACTTGGACAACAAACACACGACTACTCCCGAGCCTGCCTTCACCATACGCTGGGGCAATTCACAGCGTACAGCACACGTACTTCACTCCGCTGTGCTGCCTTCAGACAGCGAACACGTCATAGCGTGAGCAACTACAGCCAGTCGCCTGCGGGTTGGATATATTACCTTCAGCCGCCGTGTCATTGCCCAAGACATAGCACGTGGAATACATCTGGAGGCTCAGCGCGAATTAGCCCGGCGCTTGAAAAGCATGGCCACAGCCGAAGCTGCTGCGAGACCCCATGGTACGTCTTGGAAGTCCATATCTTCTGCGCACCACACCCACACCACCTAGATGACGCATGCTTGAAAGAAAATATGCTGATACGCACACCACTAGACCGGCCGTCGTCGCGCAAACGGCCCTTCGCGGGCTGGATGAAGCGCCTTGCAAATCTCAAACCCTCGTCGTCAGATTCGCCCAGCAAGAAGAGTGACACAACGGCGTCGACCAAGGTCAAGAAGTCGGCTGCGAAGAACAACCCATATCCCGAATCTGGCTTCAACACGAATGCGCCCGCCCGACGCTCCTTGTCGACTTCTGGCACGCCACGATCGAATGACAGCTACACGTCAGTCGAGGAGAGCACATTAGGCCAGCGCCAGGCCAAAAGCAACAAGTCAACAGCGCCCACCGTCGCGACGGTTCCAGAGACTGTGCGCTCAACGCGCTCCAAAGCCGAGACGGGCACCAGCAACTTCGTCAACGGAGGCAGCACCTTCTCGTCCCCCCACGGATCCGAGCACTCGCTCACCACGACGTTGACGACAATACAATCCACCGCACCTTCCAACATCCTCAATGGAGGCCAGAACAACGCAACCATCTCTGGTGCGTCGCCTGTACACTTCTCCCACCAATTCCCCACCTCGGCTCCGCCGTTGGCCATCCCTCCGCATCTTGCTCTCCCGCAGCAACAGCCAAATTCGTACCAAGGTGCAACGGCGAACAACATCCTCACGGACAACGCCTCCATCTTGACACTGGCCTCGTCGTCGAAGCGACGCCGCCGAAACTCGCTCGACACGAATGCATCTGTTCGGGCCCTCGCGCCGTCGTCACACTACGGGGGCAGCCGGGAGTCACTTCCCCTCAGCGTGCTGTCGGGTAATGCGGATGCCATATACTCTCCCTCCACCAGGCCCAGCAACGTCGGTGGCTTCGCGAATGCAGAGCGGGCGAGTGTATATTCCGCGTCTGGCGTAACTGCTCCCGTACTGCCCAGTGAGCGCAACAGCTACTATGCAAACAAACAGGCCACCGATGGACTCAGCATCCGTAGCGGACTCTTGGGTCATGGCCGCACTGATAGTATCAGCAGCATGCGAGCCACCCCCACCAGTCCTCTCGCAAGCCCACGGGATGCTGTCGCCCCAGGTAGGATCCGACAAAGTTCAGAATGGAAAGAGGCGAGAGAGGCAAGTGATGAGGACGACACGTCGGCGAGTCCCACCGTAACGGAGCAGGAGGACAAGGGAAAGGCGCAGAATGCATGTTTGAAGCCATGAAGGGATACTATGGCATGGAGCCCATAATTATGGCCCACACAAGACCACGGCCGGGCTGGGCCAACGCTTTGAGCAGCGACAGGCAGTTGGCGAAGTTGATGGCACGGCGTTGAATTTGAGATGGAACAGGTCATGGCATCGCCCTTTGGATTCTTCATCATATACCCTCGGCATCTGAATGAAGCCCTTTCACCTTTGTCTTCGTGTAAACAACTATTTCTGTGTGACGAGTCCCAGATTACTAAATGCGGAATACCCTATCGCATGGCTGACCTAGTACCACACGAGCTGCCCGAGTACTCTACTTACCAACCCATCCACCATTGACTTGGAAGTAACACTGCCACTTCCACTATAACTCCCGACTCGGGTTGTATCAGCGAGTTCATGTCACGCGCGATTCCGTAGTTTCTGAGTCACCATCATTTTCTCATTCGACTAGTAAGCAGCCAGGTAGATTAAGTGGTACGCCTTACATATCGGACGTTATCCACTTTGCAGGTATGACAACCATAATCAAACTGCATCAGATTCTCTGAAAACTAGTGCGCTCAATAAAGTATAGCACCGCATGGAGGATGGTACTGAGGCATGCAGTGTGCTCGCGAAGTAGGGCCTATGTCGACCTTCGAGCTCTCAGGAATGACTGAATTAACAATAAACGAATACAGACTTCTATATATGCTATCTAAAGCAAAAAGAACATAAAGCATTACTAAAACAGAATTTTAAACTGTATGACTTCAAGACTCCAGTCAAATGCAATCATCTGCACCAGGTCTTAGCCCCTGTTCCCGATTCTACCCAATGGCATCTATCCACGGAATGAAACAGCTCGCTTCACCTCGCCAGCAATCGCTTCTTCTCGCTTGTTTGGCGCGATTGCTTTGGCTTCCTGAATAGTGACTCCCTTCGGGACATCCTTCACATCCAATTCTTCGCACGAAGTGCTGGACTTATCCCAACCAACACTCTGAAGGGAACCCTCAGAATGGTAGTTGTACTTGCTGCCATCTGCTAGTGTGGCTCGTACGACGCCATTATACTTGCTGTCAAACTTACCCGAGACGGCCCATGCCTAATCAATAGTTAGCTAGAACCAGCGATAGCTCAACTAGGGCGTAGGAGCTTTGGAAATCCTCTTTCCAGCACGATGCGAAACTTTTCCTGTGATGTATCTTTGGCCGTACCTTCAATTGTAGTTTGAAGCATGATCCACGCCTTTTAATACCACGTTGATATCTCATTAGTGCGAATCTTCAAAATATAGGGGTTTTACGGTCCAGTAACCCTAACTACTCCCTGCTCGACGTGTACATTCTCTGTGATCCAACCTACAAGCCTGATTGGTGACGTAGAGTGACATAGGCTTCGATGTGGCATTTCTTGGGCCTGAAAAGACGTAGCAAGTGAGTAGAAGAAGTTATAAAACTCTTTGGGATTCATCCCAGCAAACCTAGATAAGGTGATATATAGCTATCGAAGAAACTGGAATAAAGAAGTAAGGAGCGTCAGCTGTCCAGTTTCATATGCGTCTGATGGTTTGTTACCAATCTGTATTGCTAGTGTTCAATCATGTAACTAAGCTTCTCGGCTTTGGCGTTCGGCCGGATGCAGTCAATACAGATGCGTTTTCACTCTTTAACTCCTTCATTATTCAGCTCCGCCGTGCTCTATGGTTGCGCTCTGGATGCCAACGATAGTCGCATTGAAACCCGATTATCACGGGGAATGGTTAGACCATGCATCCAATCCAGCCTATCCCCAATTTCCGACAACGTAGTGCTGAGCATCTGTGATGGCCTGAGCTGGTTTTCTTCAAGTAGCTATACGATTTGACCGAGAGCCAACTGAACTTAAAGTCCCCTTCTCTTCTCCTGGAGAGCACTTGCGGTTTGGCCTATGGTTTACTGGAAAGTGAGCATTATAAGAGAATCCATGGCTATTAGTAACTACTACTCGAATGATACAGTCTCTAACTGCCAATCTCCGCCTGCGGCCCCGCAAAATATGGAATGTCATTCGGCAGATCATACGGATCCCGCAACGAATATTGATAATAATCACTCGCTTTAAACACCTTCTTACTATTGACATCCAAAAGAGCCTCCCCTTCCGTGTGTTTGAACTTGATCCAATTCGCCTTGATTGACGCATTCGGCCCTGCCACTAGTGGATCAAATACCGTATCGTAATATGAATGCTCCACCAGCAAACTCGTGTGGCCTCTCGCATATGTCCCGTACGATGTGCAGTTGCGAAAGTAGTTGTTGTACATGTGGCACATCTCCAAATTATCGGCTGAAGGGTTTCGCGAATTTGTAGAGTTGAAAAAGTTGTCGTTGATGGTCACTTTAGCGGTTATGTTGGTTGTCCAGCCAATTCCCAGGGCTTTGTTGTGCTCGGAGAAAATGCAACTGGAGACAGTAATGTAACTGGAGTCGCGGCGTAAATCGATCAGGCCGTCGTTCATGCGTGCAAACTAGTGAAATTAGATAAATATTTTGGGAAGATTAGAACTAATGAAGCGTATGTACTTTCATGTGGTCGATCCAGATGTTGAATCCGGTGTCGACTTGTATCCCATCCCAGTCCTCACCCTTGCCCGGCCAGTCTTCTGGTATTCTTGTGTCCGAGACTTGCAGGTTGCGTAGAATAATGTTTCGCGTGCCTTTGACAGCGAAACCACCGCCGACTAGCCCAGAGTCCTTTCCAACGCCGATAATCGTCTTGTGACTTGCGATCGGGATTTCATATCCTCGTGTTTCAGACTTAATAAGTCCATTGACTCGAATGATGAGAGAGCCATTCCGGGAAGCGTAGTCCTTGAGTTCGTTCCAGGTGTTCGCGAAGACAGTGCGACCGCCCTTACCGCCGATTGTGCCGCCGTTGAGGGATGCGAAACCGTGAGCTGATTCGTCGCAGTGTTTGCATGTTGTGTTCTGCGAAGCTGCACCGGTTGCGAATAGAAGCGCGGTAGCGCTCTTTTTCCAGAGCATCTTAGAGACCTGAGATAGCGAACAATGCGATGAGAAACCGCTCAAGTATGCTCTGTCCTAGCGGGCCCTACTTGTTTTCTTATGTCATATGCAGTTCCCAATTATGATCAGATTGTGCCCCGAGGAGCTCTCCAACCCGCGTTAAAACAAGCCCAAGACATTGGCATGATACTATCATGCACTTCTTCGTATCTGAGATACTCACTACGCCCCCGGAAAATATTGTCCATGCCGAGCGATGGTGTTGTACACTGAAGTGAAAAATGTAGTCCACCAATTGCATGCGTTTGCCCACATATTGCTCGAGTCCTTGTATATGATCTTCAGGCACCCAGCCGTAATCGTGTGGGGTGCACCTGATAATGTTTTCCAGGGTACCGAGTGGCGGGGTTAAGACTAGAGGCCAAGAAAACGAAGCAGAGAATACGAGATTAGGCTGAATGAATGTCTTGTCTCCTAGTGCCAACGCTTCCATTTGCTTTGTTAGGTCTTTATCATCAAACAAACTTGGCATATGCTGGACAAGCACCCAAGAATTCCCAATACGAGTCGGCTGTCGAGGTGATCTGTAAAAATGATCGCGCGGTATAAACAGGATGTAGTCCAGCCAGGCGTGCATGCACAAATACCACATCCCACGCTTGCGAATGCGCCTCTATGTGATCATGGGCAATAGTTTATGACCGTGAAATCATATTAATTAGATGCTAATGATAAGCCAATGCAACTAGTCGCAAGCATGTTGTATCATGTTGACTAGAATCAACTTTGGTGCATTGCATAGTACTCGTAGTTTCCTATCTCTTTGGCCATTGCAAGTATGGTCCAAACACCTATCGAAACTCCGCATATGCGAAATGGGCAGGGGTAAGAGTTGGCTGAAGCTCGCCGAACGAATACAATCCAAGCATCATGCCGGTAAACGGTTGCCCGATCTCCGGGCTCCGTGTCAGAACCTGAGTATCCACGTCCCCTAGCCATGTCCATCTCCCTCCGTCTAGAGCACCGACTTCTTGAAAACCAAAGCGATAGTTTGTTGCGGTGCAGTCTATGATAAACTTGATCTCACTCTTTTCAGAAACGTCTTGTTCTACTAGCTTCCCGGTATTTGTAGGTGGTGTGAACCTGACGACCCTCTTATTTTGGCCTGCGTCCTGGTGACTACGGACACCAATGCTTGCAAAGCAAGTGTAGTTCCACCAGACCACGGTTCCAGCTTCCACTCGTGGGATCTTCGGCTGGAAGTCAAGTTGAGTTTCCCAGACTGTTGGCCAATGCTTTTGCTTTCGTAAGAAGAGTGTTGGCGCTGTAGGCATAGACAGCGTGTATGGTCCTCCATGCAATGTTAGGTGACCTGGCCGGGCTTTTAACGAAAAGTCTTGTCGTACGGGTGTATCTACAGGGAGATTAGTATGTGTGGTGATGCGAGACTGGATTCACTTACTCTTCCTATACCACCCGAGACTAAGCTTATCGCTAGTGAAGTCGTCTCTCCACCGCTTATCTTCATTAAGCTCATACGTGTTCGGTCCGCTCATTTGTAGGGTCACGGGCTTGCCTTCGTTGAAGATAGGCCAGTTCTCTTCCCACCGAACAGGCAGCAGCAGTGACTCACGCCCGAACACTGACGTTCGCCAATGATCACCTTCCTTTCTCGGTCGTACACCCAAACACAGCGCCCACCACTGGCCATGCGTATCTTCTACAAGGTCGCAATGTCCGGTGTTTTGGACGTCATCATCTGTGGTGTTTCTCCAGAGTGGGTTGTGGGGTGCTTGCTCCCAAGGGCCAAACGGGCTGTCCTTGCTTCGAGCTACATATTCACAATGTCCACTCTCGGTCCCGCCCTCAGCCGTGAACAGGTAGTAGTATCCATTGCGTTTAAACAGATGAGAACCCTCTGCAACTCCAGAAGGCGATTCTCGGACTAGTTTGGGCGTAGAAGTTAGGGCACCGGTCTCAATGTCGAGGGTTGAGATATGAATTCCAAAATCCTTTAGCTTCGACTCCGGAGAGCGGTCTACCTTCCTGTAGGTCGATGATAGGTACACAAGCCCGTCGTTATCCCAAAATAAGTCGTGATCGAACCCAACTTGATCAAAGTAAATTGGATCCGACCACGTGGTGTCATCCCAGATGTTGGCAGTCTTTACATAAAATCCTCGTGGCCATACGCGATCATCGGTCTGCGGTCTATACCTGTCAAAAGAATTGGTGATTATATAGTAGTGGCCGTCGTGGTAACGAATCGTTGTTGCCCAAACACCACCACCAGGCTCGGGTGTCTTGATATCGAGTTGCGACTTACGCGTCAGGGCGTGACCAATCAGCTCCCACTTGATCAGATCCTTGCTGTGGTAGATTGGAGCTCCAGGGAAATACTCGAACGTTGATGTAACGCAGAAATAGTCTTTGTCGACGCGGATGACGGACGGATCAGGATTGAATCCTGGCAGGATCGGGTTTGTGAAGGTACCCATGGTCGAAATGTTCTTCCTCGTAAGTTGCGACGCAATGTCCCTGAGCGGAATGAGGCTCTGACGAGGTCGGGAGGCGCTCGACAATGTCCTTACGCTGTAGATTTTGCGGGAGCTTCTCAAACGAATCGTCCTTCGGTATTGCTTTCCCGGAATCTGCAGATCTTCTTCACAGGCTCGTCAAGGCTTCAATCTTTACCCGCCGGGTGTGAATGTCGCTACAAAAATCTCCATTGTTGTAGAAGTTGGATCGGGACTGTCGTAGGATCACGGAGTGGAATTTCCCTCGAATCAGACATCAGGTTGTAACGACTCATGGGTTCTCAGGATTTCGTGGTAGTTGTGGGTGTGAAGATGCCACCGGCTGTTTGCTAGGTGCTCCTCTTGGCATTGCGTGCACCGCCAAGTTGGTAGGGCACGTTACGCGCTAAGGAAATACCAGCGAATAGCAGCGAGGGGGCAGATAATGCTCAATGAGGGGCAGCCTTGGAGGGCTTGGCACAACTGCCATGGCGAATCTTGGACATCGCGATGGACAGAAACATGCGCGTTGCACCCTTTTTGGACCGCTTCTCGAGGCGCGATATATCAAGAAGGGATTACCATGGCGGTTTCCACTCATCGTCCATCTTTGACACATAGTTGGCCTTGTTTGCAGTACCATTTTAAGCTATGGCGAAAGGCAACCAGTATGCCTGGTATGTGTGTATGGTAGTCGCGATGACAATGATTCTGTATGGATATGACTCTTCAACGTTCAATGCTGTTCAAGGGTCTAAGAACTGGGTTAAATACTTCCACAAGCCCTCACCAAGCGTCGTCGGATCCATCAACACAGCCTATAATGTTGGCGGCATCGTCGCTGGTAAGTTCTAAAATTGAACAGACAAGTCTACGACTAAAGCCAAGCAGGTGTGTTTATGTCGTCACCCATTTCAGACTACTTTGGTCGACGCTGGGCCATAATCACTGGATGTGTAGTTGTCATCATTTCGACTTTCATCTCTACGTTTACGCCGCGCAACATTGGTGGCTTCATCGCTGGACGCGCGATTGTCGGAATCGGACAAGGTATCGCTCTTCCAGCTGGGCCTACTTACATTAGCGAGATCGCGCCTGCTGAGAGTCGAGGCAAGATCATGAGTTTTTGGTATGCTCAGTGCTAGATAGCGGCGTGGAAGGGATGCTGACGCAGCTATGTAGGCAAATGAACTTTAGTGTCGGTAGTTTCTTGGCTTACTGGATCAACTTTGCATGTAGCAAGAATTCGGCAAAGCTTGGTGACTGGGACTGGAAGACTGTTCAGCTTTTGCAGTTGCTGGCACCCGTAATAATCATCGTGGCCATCTCCTTCTGCCCGGAAAGCCCAAGATGGTTAGTGAAGAACGATCGTTTGGAGGACGCCGTCAAAGCGCTGTCAGCAGTTCGAGACGATCCTGAAGTCGTCCAACAAGAGATCAGCGACATCACACGAGCATTGCAGTTTGAGAAGGACGAGATCTCTTCCGGATATGCCGCGTTGTGGAAGGACAAGTCCATTAGAAAGAGATTGTGTAAGTGAAAAGGTGTCAAGCTCAGAAGGCATATAACTAACAATCTAAAGTGCTCTGCATTCTCCTCAACGTCGGGCAGCAGCTTACCGGACAAGGATCGCTCAACAACTACTCCACTAAGATTTACCAATCCGTCTTCAGCGATAACAGCACTATTCAGCTAATTAATGCTCTTAACGGTACCTTTGGTATCCTCTTCACGCTCAATGCCACTTGGACAGTCGACCGATTCGGTCGCCGATGGCTGCTACTTGTCGGTGCGGTCGGCATGGCTGTCTGCATGTTGACCGCAGCCGCAGTAGTTACGGAAACACCGGGCACCTTGAGTACAGGGAAGCCTAGAGGCGTCGGTATCGCCACTGTCTTCCTGATGTTTTTATTCGCATTCTTCTTCAAGCCCTCGTGGGGCGCGACCGTCTGGATCTGGACAGGGGAAATTTTCAGCATGAACGTGCGTAATCAAGCCATCGCTATCTCGTCGCAAGCCCAGAATGTGGCAAATGTCTGCCTACAACAAGCTTTTCCGATCTTTCTCGCAAACGAGGGTTTCTATGCCATGTACATGTTTGGCGCTATTAATGTTGTTCTCTTCGCTTACGTTTGGTTCTTTATCGTGGAGACTAAGAACGTCGAAATCGAGGCAATGGACGTTTTATTCGGAGGCGTGAACCACGTCGACAATGCTGAGCTCAGCAAGGGCGCCGTCGAGCAGCTTGAGGTTGCGACTGCAACGACTTTGGTTATGGAAGAGCCGAAGTCAAAAGTTTGAAACCATTGAAGCATTGTGGGCCTGACCCGGGTGAATTACAGCACAGAGCGCAAGAGATTCAGGATAGTTAGCCTCGGCTTACGCTTTCGTGTACACTTATGCATCATGAGGAGGAAGAGGAGGTAGTAATGCTGGCATATGCTATGGAGATATATGAGGTAGTAACAAGAGAGGACTTAGGGAGTAAAACAGACTTTGTTCCTTTCTACTCTGATGTTCAATACGTCTCCGTACATTTATCGAGGCTTTCAGAGGGCTTTAGCCCCCCTGAAGAAAATAGTATGCTCAACCGTCACCAATGCTCTTGAAGACTCGTGATAATCATGTATCTTGAAACATTTGATTTCTACTCGACTTCTGCCATCTTCGTAGCTTGACAAGAGAATGATACCCTAGCCTGACACGATTTTATAAAGCCTAGAACTACGAAAGGTAACGACTGGAAAGGCCCAAAGAGACCATGCTTCATTTCTCCAAATACCCGTGTATCATCCACTACCATCACAGAGCCTCACCCAATCTTGCTTCCAATCTTGCTTAAGTACGTCAGCTATGTAGATCGATCAAGCTTTTAATCAGTCGCCTGAGAGCTAGACAACTTACCAGAGTGTCTCCGTAGTTTATCCGCGGTAAGAAGAAGCCGCATTCACAACACGATTGGAACCAAAATTCATGCATCTGCCAGCCTGAAAATCGCCATCGCCTCCGTCTGCCCAATGGCCCCCAAAGGATGTAGTAAGGTCACCGCAGTTACCAGGAACGAAAAAGTACGCCTTCTGGTGAGGGCCTCCGTAGACCTTTGGCTTGTAGGACTTGAAGCCTCCCATCCAAGTAGCGCAGGTGTTGTCCCACACGTTAACTTCGCGGGACCCGCCGGAGCAGTTGTCGGAGTCGTAAACGTCTATGACATAGGAGGAGCCTTGAGTGACGAGGGTAAGTACGGTAGCGAGGGCGGTAACGGCGGTGGAGAAATGCATTTTGATGAGTGCGTCGATGTTGAGTGCTGTATATGTGGGATGCTTTGAAGTATAGATGAAAAGTCGAGCAGATGTGTTGTTTGATTTGAGAGTACATAAAGGTTGGCTTTATATACACGATGTTAAAGCCTTGTAGCAGATGGTCGCTGAATATAGACTCAGCTCTCTGGAGGACTTGACTAACTAGAGGCCTCTCATTATGGACTCCGAGATTATTGGATGAATTCATAGCCTCCAGAAGGCTAGATTAGTCCCTCACTAAGGTGGAGAAATATGCTTGAAAAGCTCTACAACCAATTGTTCGCATTATTCTAAGATGGTCAAGGATATACCCTGGAGGTTTGTTGTTCAGATCCTCTGTCAGCGTGGATCTCTGATAGTAGATAGGATACAAGATTACCGTGTTGTTTCAAAGTGGCGTACTACAGAAGACCGCGTAGTGTTTCTTAGCGAAGCTTTACATAATGTGGCTGATTCACCATAACTGTATACTCGGGTGCAATGTTGCACCTCGAAGATATTAGCCACACGTTTTGATGACGCGAAATCTGCTGTTCTACAGCAATCTTCTTCCAAGAGCACCGAGGGGAGCATGCACCACCTGTGAATTGTCTGCGGAATCCGTGATCATGATTTGTAGTCTCGCGCGTCCCTTTTGCCTTCTCCCTATCATCTTGTAAAGTTCAGCCTGCCAACCGAAGTATAGAAATAGAAAGTGGCTCCGGGACCCCCAACAACTAGTTTAGAATAGAGAGTAACCAGCGAGAAGACAATAGGATTGGTCCTGCCTAGCGTCCTCAGCTCCCTATTTGTTAGCACCAGCCGTGAAATTATGATAATCGCACAGTGTCAGCGGATGGCTCTCCTGAAATGAGTAATACAGAATCATAGTATCCAATCACTCACTTGAAACTGGGGAAAGATTGCATCTACCGGTGAAGGTGTAATGTTGCACAAGGCTGTCCGCTGACGAGGCAGTCAGCGCGTATGGAGATGTTGACAAACACTAATAACGCGAGGAGAAAATGTACTGAGCTTCAGGGTTATCCAGGCTGAGTCGCAAACCCCTCATTTTCGCTCGATTGGATGTTGCGCAGCCTGTTGCCTGGACATGCGTACGGCTGAAGTGGCGACGCTACATTGGCAGCTGAATCAGCCTAGCTCCACTAGTTTTGCAATGCCTCTCTGGCCAAATGCTAGAGCGCTCTCTTTTGTGAGCGCTGAAACAGCAAGAACATCCTGTGTGACAAGAATAAGCTGGCGCAGCTTAACCCCGCTAGAGCCCCGTGATCATCGATCAAAGAGATGATGTTATATGATAGCATCTCGCATCGCAGCTTTGGATGATAAACGTCGACATGCCCCGTATTTGTAAGTCGTAATGATTCCCAGCAATCACGTTGAACAGGTCCTTAATGTCGGCACTTTCTAGAGTCGGTAACATAACGCCGCACGTTACATTGATTGTACACAACACTATAGATACCTAGACAAAGTGACCGTCACAATCGAAGTTTCCATTCGTCCGGAAATTACAAGCACTGGGCACACCCCCACCCCTCACATCGACATCGTTGATGGTGATGTTACTGCAGCTGCCTGCTCCACAAAGAATATAGTAGTCCCTCCCCTTATCTGTAGCAGTTCCAGTGATATTTCGTATCGTGATATCTTTGATAATGACTCCATTAGTGGGGTTGCCGGTTGGACCGCCATTCAGATAGTCCTGCTGGATATCAATGCCGTAGATTGATATGTTTTCGACGCGGATATTCTCGAAAAGGATGTTGGAAATGAGCCCAGTAGTGTTGGAGTTACTCTTGATGCGTGCACCATTCTCGGAGTTAAGGACAACAGAATTGGTGAATGAGATGTTGGTGACGTTGTTGTCTGGAGAAGTCTATCGTTAGCCGAAGTCACTCATTATTTGTTTTGAGAGAAACGACATACTTGACTTCCCACCAACAGAGCCGATGGAGAGACCATGGCTACCGTTACAGTACATGTTGTTGACGAGGATGTTGTTGCCACTAGTAACAGCGACACAGTCATCTTGGTTAATGACTACGCTGTCGCGTACTTTGGTGTCGTTGGTACTTGCTAAGTCAAAGCCTAGATAAAACGGTAAGGTTAGCAGCGTATTTCAAATGGGAAGGGAATGTATCAGCTTGTAGCACCCCCGGTTATCCTCATCGTCCCTAATGATACCTGGAAGTCACTCGACTTGCTTTGGGCCGTTCAATGATAGCCGATTATATGCCATGGGTTCTGACGTACCGTCGCTGTTGTGTGAAGCAGGCAAGCCGTTAGAGCGGGCATTTGGTGCATAACCAGCACTGTTATTCAGCGTAATATGATAGATATCAATCCCAGCACTATTGCTGATCGTAAAGCAGTGAACGGGGTAGTTCTGGATGTATATGTCGTGGACAGAACTAGACCCAAGGACTTTAGTGAGCTCGATGAAGTGATTAGGTCTATCGGTATTGTCAGCAACCGACGACTTGTATAAATGACATAGGTTAATCAAGAGGAAACTTACTTAGCAATGCCCCCATTGCTACCGAGACCATCCCACCATGACTGGCCGTTGCCGTCGAGAACAGCACCCTCTGTGGCTGTAATCTCGATGTTCGTGCCTCCGACCTTGATTAATGGGTAGTTTGCATCGAAATAGTCCCAGAAGGTCGTTCCCTTGAAAGTTACTTTGGTTCCAGTCCTCAATTTCGAAAGGTCGATGGTCGAGTTTCCAGGAACAGTGATGCCATCGAGGATGATGGAAGTGCAAGCCGCGGTAGCAGCCGGAATTGCTGTATATGTTGTTACGTGGCAAGCATCGGTGGATGCAGGTGTAGTTGCTGACGCATTCGCGGAGGTAGAAGCTGATTGAGATGTTGAGTTTATAGTCGTGCTAGTCGCCGGCGCGATAGTCGGCGTGTGAGGCGACTGTGATGGCGAGTTCACGCTCGTAGTTGCGATAATTGTCTCTGAAGAAGTTGATACTGGGATGATTGTGGATGCGCTACTGATCGCGGTGTTTGGCTTTCCGCCATTCAAGCATGTACAAGCGCTCGAAATCTTGGCAGGGGCCGTGGCCCACCGTGCGGCGAATGCGGGTATAGTGTGAGTTGGAGCACGAGTGTAGGCAGAGCAGAATGGTTTTGCGACGAAGCTGAAGAGCTCCAAGAGCTCAAGACAGGCATCTTGGGTGCACGTAGGTGCTGCACGCTCAGGTAGGACAGCAGCGTGTCCTGCAATGGCAAGCGCCAGTATGGTAGAAATGCCTACTAGAGGTCTAGATTAGATGGTGCAATTTCTCAATGGGAGATGCGTTTTAGTACCGTTTGCTCGCATTTCGAAACGTTTGACAATATGTAGACCTTAGAAGGAATGAGTGTAGCGATAGTAGACTGTCCACCTATATATCTTTAGCATCGCGGGGCTCTAGACGGCTGCATGTTCCTATTTTCCCGCTTGGTCTAAGCTTGCCTTTACGGCTTCCTGTGCGCAGACACTCCTCATTACCTCGAAGCCTCGCTATCGCGGCCCACAAGCTCAAGCATCCTAAGCACTATCGCCAAGAGTAGTCAAGACTCCCAAAGAAATGGTTCAGGACCGTTTGCGCCCCACCACCAGGTGAACGGGCGATGGCGATATTACGGGGACCAACTAAAAGAAACCTGGCGCAGGGCGCCATTGAGAAGCCTTTCGCGTACTTCGACCCCGGTATGTCCGCGGTGCAGATTAGAGCGGTAATTTGCTTGGTTGAAACACTGGGGGCGATGCGCCACTCTAGACAGTCCGGGGAGCCCGCAACGTTGTTTTGCGGAGAAATGGGGTTCCGTCCACTGCAGTAGATGTTCTTGATTTGATTCCAGAGCCGTTGATGCAGGGGGACGGGTGGGAGTGGCAATATAATGAATGAGATCGCACAGCTTCCGTTCGTTATAACAGCGCGTGCTCGGACTGATCCAATTTCCCCAACACATCCGACCGGGCCTTGCATGATATTTAGAAGAGAACAAGATCGTGCACGACGAATTAGGCGATGACGAGCGACTAGCTCGCTTAAAAATGCCTACGAAGCTTGACCCACCCAATCTTCGATACTCATCGCCAGAACACCCTGCACTCCACCTCTTGGGTCTTTACGAAAATCTCATAATTTACCGGGAACAGATCCTAGATTCTCAATGCTACGACCCTCCAACCCACTACCTCAGAATCAGGGTACTTAGCCGCATTAGCGAACCTTTCCTCTGGAACATACACCGTCTCTGACAGTCGAACGGCTATGATCCATCAGTTGGATAGCGGCATCGCGAGCCCTCCGATAGGATACTGCTTGTCTTGTTTTGTTAGTTTTGTAGCCTTACTGATACTATACGTAGGTGGCTAAGGTATCGCTTGGATGTGTTGATAGCAGAAAAGCGGGGTAAAAGCATGTGTAACGAGGTAAGACTTTAGAGTATATCACCAGCAAGGTTCACAGGCAAAGGCAACTGATTTCAAACTGCGACAACTTGCCCCAAACATAATGTATCACTTTATTTCCATCGCGCTGTTTGTAGCTAATTCCCCCATTGCCCTTGCGTCATCCGTACTACACTCTCCAGCCCAGATAGCCTCTTGGGAAACTCTGGCACCGATTTCTCTCTTCGCACGACAAGAGCACACAGCCGTATTCCTCCCGCCTTCAACCATCGCAATTTTAGGAGGGGTCATCCCTGCGAATACCTCCGACCCGCCCGTCGACACTACGTCGTTGATGCAATTTTACTTTATCCACAACAACACCTGGCTTACCAAAGCCTCTGTACCACGGGCTTTGAACCATCTCAATTCCGCGGTGGTCAATGGCAAAATTTACGTCTTAGGCGGACTTGCAGATGCGGGCGAGAAACTGCGTAAATGGCGTGCTGTGCCTGATTCGTGGGTCTACAGTCCATCGACAGATTCGTGGGACAAATTACCAGGCCTACCTATAAGAGAAGCGCGAGGCAGTGCTGCAGTAGGCGTCTACGATAACAAGATATATCTCGCGGGCGGGCTGATCGATACTGAACTCTTTCCTAACGGCAAAGAGCATGCTGTCCCCATCGTGTCAATATTCGATACCATTACTGCAACTTGGCTCCCGGTTCCAAAATCCACACAAAATATTCCAGAGAGTCGTGATCATGCCGGTGCAGCAGTCGTAGGATCGAAAATGTACATCCTTGGTGGTCGGAACGGCGGGCAGCTCCACATTCGAGACACTGTCTTCGTCCTAGATCTCTGCAATCTTAAAGTGGGATGGAGAACTAGCTCGGCGAAGATGCCGACGCCGCGAGGTGGCGTTGCGGCAGGTGCGGTGGGTACTAAGATTTTCATTTTCGGTGGAGAAGGTAACACAGCTGCCAAGAGCGGTGTTTTTGACCAAGTGGAGGCATACGATACGCGAAGGGATGTCTGGGAAAGCTTTGGAAGGATGAGGTTACCAAGGCATGGAACGTATGCGGTCGGCATAGGCAAGAGGGTGTATGTCCCCGGCGGAGGAGTAATGCAGGGTGGTGCACCAGTGATGAATTTTGACGTCTTTACGCCTTATAAAGCGAAAACATGACGAGGAATAAAGAGCAAGCTTATCTTTGAGTAGTTAATTACGCGATGCATGCGACCCGTTGGCTCATGCTCTGGAAGGAAGGGTAGAAGAAACCCTCTATTCTGTTGTCTATCACTTATCTTGAGTTCACGCTTCGCCCCGGCATGGTCTTCAATCTCTGCATTACCTATCCTCTCACATGCTTGATTATCATTACGGATTGTAACGTAGTCCCCGAATTTCTTTCCTGCCGACCTTAGACCCTCAGCTGATTCCTGAACAGTTAGCGGATGGCTCGCACAAACCGCAAAAACATTTACAAGCTATCCTAACTATGCGCCGGGAACAAGCTATTCGAGAGAAAGGGCGATTCATACGAACCGTTGACGAAGACCTCAGTAGGGCGTATTACCCACGTGAGACCTTGTGATGAAGATCAAAGGCGTTCTGGGTTTCCGATGCTACCACTCGTCCAGATACGGTAGCTCTAGCACCCTTCTTGTCTTCAAAGGGCTGGACTAATGAGGACGGATCACCGTCCTCGCGAGCTTCCATCTCCACGTCCGAATCACTCTTTGCCGACCTTTTATCTCGCTTAAGGTAATAGTGCATGATCCAAGTGAAGACAATGAGGGCAAGAGCACAACCCAAACAAAACGAATAACCCTTGCGGTACCGAGGCGCCTCCACGGTAGGATACGTAAGTAAAGGTGTCCAGGCGGTCGACGACTGAGATAGTAGGTTGATAAGTACTAGTGTAAAGCTTCTCTCCTCGGGACTGTCGCGCAGCAGGTTATTGACCCAGCCATGAAACACGCTAGACAGTGCATTGGACCAGTACATCGTCGCGAAGCCGAACCAAAGGGCGGGTTCCGGGACGGTCCATATGGTTAAAAAGATGAGACCTAAAGCATTGAACGCAGAACAGAACGTGATTGCCCACGCTGGTCCAAGGAACATGTCCGAAGCAAAACATGCGATGAGCGTGTATGCAATACCGAGAGCCGGAGAAATTGTTCCAAGCTCATTGATTCGTGCCGGACTGTAACGGCGGAGCGATTTGATCCACAGCAAGAAGGATGCTGTGTTTTTGTGGATACCGGCGTTCCAAAAGAGCACATCGGTGGTGACAACGGTCCAAAAGCGGAGAGAAAGGAGTGTTCTCTTAACGTGGCCAAATTTCATCTTGCCATGTAACACGTGCCCGTGCTTCTCAAGACGGTCGCGAGCAACTGCAATATCGTTGTCGTTGACAACCCAGCGGTTTGGTTGGTCGACAGTTCCCGGGATTACAAAGAAACCGAGGATACCGACGGGGATCGTGATTATGGCACAGATGATGTACATCCATCGCCAGCCTTCCATACCTGCCATAGGTTAGTCGTCATTGCTTATATTATATCAAAGCCCTAGCACCTGCTTACCGTGAACACCTTCGAGTCCTTTAGAAGCGCCAGCTTGGATAAGACCGGCTGTAAGTGTACCGGCCCCCAGTCCAGTGTAGAAGATGCCACCACGACGGGCAATCTCATGCCCTCGATACCAAGAACCTACGGAAGCTATTAGCATACATGCAAGGGTTGAAACTGTGGTCGATATTACCGAAGACATAGTGCATTGCAGGAAAGAATGCAGCTTCGAACCAACCGATCATGAAACGATACGCTGCTAGTTCGGCATATGAATGGACCCGGTATTGCAAGAGTGTGAAAACTCCCCACAGGATATCGCATGCGGGGATGAGCCACTGAATAGGGATATAGGTCATAATAAACCTGCGTAAGAAATCAGTAGCTGATAAGCTGCACCCGAATACACACGTACAAGAAAGGAATCTGGCCCAGCACGGAGCCGAGCGTAAACAGCGTTTGTAACTGGACAAGCTCATTCCCATCAAAGCCGAGATCCTCCTTCATACCAGCGACGTAGGCATTATTTAAGTTCGATTGATCGATGTACTTCACCCAGTAGCCCAGGACAGAGTACGGAACCAGAAACATGTCGATCTTGGTAATGAGCCGTCGCTCTTCCTTGGTGTCGTCGTCAGAAAACCATTTGACTTTCCACCATCTGTCCCGCGGGATAGTCGTCGCCTTGGGGGTTCCTGGTGCCATGATCAAATTGATTCTCTTAGGTTACTTCCAAGTTAATCAAAAATGTAGCATATTTGTGTATTTAAGGTGCCGCGACATCAAGTCGAAGCCGCTAGCATTGCGCAATGCGCCCATGCTGATTTGCAATCCACCCCAAGCTACATCTTCGAGCGTCCGACAACGGAATTCTTTATACAAAGGCGCTTAATGCGATGGAATGTTTGCGCTAAATGCTACTGTGGGATATCAGCCCGACGCCTCCTCTTGGAATAGCGATTCATGTAGTATGAAAGATACCATAAGGAGGTAGTTGATACCCCTGGTGTGTTGTCGCATGGCTAAGCAATGACGTGCTAAGTCCCCACAATGTTCAAAGACCGCACATACTAAACTCACCTCCCACCACTGGCATTGTCATGGAAGACCGACCGTAGCTGCTTTGCAGCCACACCTGGGCATTCAGCCATCACTAGACGTTGCACACGTCCTACTTATCATTATAGGATCCTAATGTTCATACGGAAATCATATATTTGTTGAGACCGTAATTTATAGTCCTTAAATTGGCATACGAAGCTGAGATTACCCAACAGTAAGGTTGCCTGGAAGCTCCTTGAGCCCTATACTGAAGTTAGCTCTCGAGGACCTGTCGTAAGAATGCAAGAACATACAAGTCGACGAACCAATATCCTCCTTTGCCTGTTGGGCCTTGGTACAGGCAATAGCACTTTTACCCGACTGTATTGTCAAAACTTGGTCGCAATACTCACTACCACATTTGCTTCCAAGAGCATCCATGCCACGCTGAAGCGCATCATCTTTCCAGCCAAAGAGGTAGTCGCCATGCGCCCCATAACCGGTGCTGCAAAGAAGATCAGTGCATGCATGGCATTGATGGAGATGCTACTCACGGATCACCAAAGCTGTAGACGAGTGGCTGTTTTCCGTTCTTAAAGTACTCCGGGTTTGTGAACTGGGAAGTGTCGAACATGATCTCATACATGACCTGAGGAATACGAATAGGATGCGTACTAGGGCATTTATCTCCAGCAAGCGCGCTGTTCCCAGGTGAATACGCTACGTGGCTTTTGTGGTCTGGGCTGTCGAGATTGACTCCGTCCCAACACGAAGGAAAGATGATGGTAGCGCGAATACCTCCCGGACATGGTTTGGAGGGGAACCCAGCAGTGTCGCTAGAGTCACAAGGTGCGCCGTTGCCTCCCATAACTGCTTCACTCTCTTTCAAGCAGCGGTGGCAGATTCCTGGATACGTGCCGCTTTTGCTGCGGAGTGTCGGGTCCCCAGCAAGCATACGAAAACCCTGTTGCAGGTCAGATCATCTTACTGGAATATTATATCTACTTACTGGCTTCGGCACTGTTGTCTTCTTAGAGCTGCCGCTGAAGGGCCGCATGTAGTAAATTGTCAGGCCGCCGTCCTGCTCGAGTAGGGTCTTATTCTGACGGCCGTTCGCCTTCTGTGGAACGCGTTTGAAAGTTCCATTCTCGGGTGACTGGAAGTAGATTGATGCGGTCCAGTAGTTCGACGTGTCCTCCTTATACAAACAAGAGGTACAGGACGACTGTTTGGGAGGATCAATTGTGTAAGGGTCCATCTACAGTTTGTTACATTCTATTCTATTAGATTACTCATGAGTATGTTACTGTAAGGTTGAAGGAGTTTCCTCCAACGATTTGACTAGATTCAGCAAGACAGACTGTTAGCATAATCCACTCTGAAAGCGCGGAAAACCATACTGAACACACGGATGTATTCTTCGAAGTAACAAATAAGATTCTCTCGGAATTACGTACTGCATATGGGGGGACGGGTTCAAGCCGGGGGTGACCAGAGGATCAGTTCGCTCAACGACAAGCTGAGAACAGCCAAATCGAATAAAATCTGCTGCACCAAGTTTCGATCCTTGGGCAAGGGCTTCCTGTGCCCGTAGCACGAGCAGCGTTGCAAGCTGCCAGATCATGACTTTTAGGCTTCGTGTTGTGACAATAATTGAGATGTGGTGCGTTGCGCTGGATGGGAGAAAGCTACATTCAAAGCTAGGTCCACAGCTGAGGTACAAATAAATCAAGAAGTTGAATGAGAGCGATAAGAGGAACAACAGCGCCTCGGCAGATTATTTGCAAGTATCTGAGTAGTATAAAGTCGTGGGGCTAATGACGTTACTCGACGCTGATGCACTTTATTCCATATTGCACTTTTGCAGCCAACCTCAACTGCCGAGCCACACCTCCTCTACTCAATACCTAAGAAGGTTTAATATTAAAGCATGGGCGTATATTAGCCGAAGAGTAGTTTTATTAACATTACTTATCTTTGCCTTTTTCTTAAGCAGGTCCCCTCTTCATGATGCCCGCTTAAACCACCAGTTTCTGAGACCGCCGTTGACTCCCCCTCGCTTTTGATAGTCCCTGCTGACATTTGTATTGTGCGCTGGGATCTACAGCATCACAGCTTTTCAGAATGCGCGAACGTGTAGGTGCGGGTTCCTCTAGACTCCAGCAAGACTTGATACAGGGACCAGCCTGTGTCCGTTCTCTAGTTCTCATTTCCTGGCTCCGCCTGAATTCTGAACAAGTCACTCTCGGGTGCTTCTTTGCGCGTCGTCGAGAGGAATTCGTTGCGAGAAGACGTAATGTAAGCCATAAATGTGGCCGGCAATTGGACGGCGACGCAGGTCCGCAATCGGAACATGCGAGTAGCAGGTTATACTCGTCGGAGTGTCCAGTTTCGCGCATTAGATCTATAATACGAATTTTCAATTGCTTTGCCAAAGAAAAGATATGGGACAGAACGAGTTATCGACTTGGTGACGGCGGAGTAATCCTCACGATGAAGGCGGTATACAGTAGACCTTGTCGTCGCATCGTGAGTAACAGCCGAAGTCACATTACGACTTATCCTACAAGCTTCGGTCAGAGCAATCGATGAAATGTGGGATTTTAGAATCTGGGGGAGCGGATGTCCATATAACACGCTAACAAGAGGGTTGACCGGATCAACCTCAGCACGATCTCTCAGCTCAACAGAAGTCAACAGAAGTGTGAACAATTCGCGCGGGCCTTGGAGAACTCCGAAGAGGTTTATCGTCTTTGTAGGCCGGCCGCTCTACCACAGTGCCTTTGGTACCAAGGGTACGGTTGACTGGCTCAATGTTCCATAAAATAGCCAGTTGTAGTGTGGAGCTCAGCTTAACCAGCTGGTCCATTTGGTCCACACTTGGTATAGTCAGGATCTGGGACGCTACAACCTGCAAAGGCGTCAAAGGCATGTTGTCTCGATCATTCAAGAATCCGAAAGCTTTCTCTACCTTTATCTCGCCTCTCTGAACACCTGTGCGCTGTACTAACAGTATCTGCCCACCTAGGCGAAGGATCCGATCAAAGCCCGCCCAGGATGCCATTTATTCTACGCGGCTAGCCACGCCTCGCCCGTTTGGCCTTGCACTGGTACGCAAGACAGGGCCTACTGTAGCCACCACCATCATCCGGCTTACCCGACGCCCTCACGGTCTCCTCCAACCAACGCCGGAACGTACCAACAGGTTTCGGGACATAATCCACCGTCTTCATCATCACCCATTCTAGTTCCTTGAATGCTTTCATGTCGCCGTATAGATCCTCAATTGCACGCGTCGTGTCGGCCTTGATCGCGTCGTCGACGTCATCACGTGCAAGTGCCTCTTTGTAGGCCGCGACGGTCTTCTTTACGTCCGCGGGGTCCAAGAGGAGAAATTCTGGATCCTCACTTGTGACTCCGATCTCGATGAACCTTGTCGCGGACGGCCATTCCTCGAAGCCGTGTGCGCGCTGTAACGGTGCCGTGCCGTCCGAGTCTTCGACTAGTTGCAAGGTTGGATTGGGATCAGCTGGGTAGAGGCTGCTGATGGTGACGTCCTTGGCGCTGCGTAAGGGTGCGGTGAGGTTGTGACCGTCGTAGACTGCTTCGAGGCCGTTGGACGCGAGGAGGAATTCTTTGTAGTCGTCTGGCAGAGGAGACATCTTGAGTCGATTCTCGAGATCTTCAATGTCTTTCAGTGTCGCGGGCTTGTGCAGATAGCTCTCTAGCGGGTCTTCACGCATCTCTTTGTAGAGAGGCCTTGCATTCTTCTTCGTGTTTTCTGCGAGTATCTCGAGTAGCTCCTTCATTGGCTTTCCTTCGTGGTCGGCCTTCTGTCGCCCGTTCTCGATTCGTGTGCGAACCGTCTCTAGCACGTCCTCTGCTGTAGCCGACAATTCCGCGCCGTCTACGCCTAGCTGCTGCGCGACAGCGCCACTGGCGAGAAGGGGCCAGATTTTACGGTGCACTGTGAGGGCGCCGATGTAGTCGTCGAAGTGCTCTGCGATCTGGTTGAGCGCTTTTACAACTTTCTCATCTTGTTGCATCTCGTCAACCTCTGTCTTGCCTGATTGCTCGCATAGTTCGACGGCGATGGCGAGACAAAGAGCAGGATCTCGTTGATATCGTTCTTCCTCGCAGATGAGCTTATTGTACTTTTCCTCGTTCATTGGGCCCGATGGCGGAGGCTCGAGCTCCTTTAGCGCCTTATTGTTTCGTGCTGATTTGGGAACGGCAGATGGCCAGTCGCCTGTCTGGTCGAAGGCAAAATTCAAGGCCTCCACCTGTCTGAATCCATGCTCTGTACGGTTCTGCGAGAGGAGAAGATCTGTGATCTGGGATGCGAAGTCGATTTTCCCCAGGACGGCGAGTTCCTCGGCTAGTTGCCGGATTTTGTCGTAAATGAGAGGGAGGGATGGACTAAATAGAATCTCATCTTGATCAAAGTTGACCTTGTTGCTCATGTTAAAGTTTTGGCGGTCGCAATATGTGAGAAATGTGGTCGAAAAGTCGGAAAGTTGACCTGGTAACCAAGAGGAGCAGAGTGGTTTATACTCAGATCTCACCTGTGGCTTGGCATGCTCTGACGTCATGGCCAGGTGTTGTCGGCCCCTTTCACGCAGAGCAACAGAATCTATTCTTACATCCATCTCGTCCCATGCAAGACAAGTGATCGAGGGATAAGACATAGAGACTACTTTTGAAACCGTCGTAATCTCCGATTAACACTAGGACATCTTCACACCTTTAGCGGCTCATCAGTATCCACCGGGCGGGTGTAAAGAGGTAAAGAGCTTGTTCTGAGTCTCTGGCATTTCTGACATCATCCTCGCATCGCGAAGGGCTGGGCATATCCCTGCATCGTAGCAATCCGGGGGCCGGGTGAGGTCATGAAGCTGAGGTCGCAGATTGTTGGGGGCCAAACGCGCACGTTCGTTGGGACATCGCATCTCCCGCCCTACAAATCTAAATGTCACAGTAAATATTATGTAATAGGAGCTACGGTAACGAGGTACCTATGGTAGCCTAAGAAACATAAGGACAATACGTAGCAACATGGGCACAACATGGTTCCGAGGTATTACCCGAGCAGTTACTGGTACCTCCATACTACTGCATCACTAACTTGCCTGTGGCCAATCTTGGACATATTCGCTTGTTTTCGGTCTCCGAATAGACTACAGCCACTACATGATTGTCAGATCATACTTTTCTAGTACCTAAGTTCACATGATGCACGCGATGAACCTCTGAACAGTAGGTCAGGGTCCAGAAAACAGGTACAGGTGCGCAGTCGCCTCTAACCACAAAGCCACTTCATAGGAGATCATATGCGGCGTCTTGCAACCATGTGCGCCACACTCGTCAAATTCGACATGCATCTCACATATCTTGCATCTTCCATTCCACTATACGTGTAAGAAAGCCACAAAAAGATTATGATGAGATTAAAATTAAGAACTTCGTCTGCTCAGTGTAGACGTTGCACTTGGGATAGTCAACGACGCAATGATCTGTGTAAAGGTTTATGTTTGACCGATCTATTCCGAGAAAGCACTATAATACATCGCCCTTGCCGCAAGTAGAAGACAAGACATGTCTAAATAAGCGAGAGAGAGTGTGGAACCAAACATATACACGCACACCTTAGTTAAAACCACCCGTCTCTCGCTCAGGAGAAGTCAGACTCGTCCTTGCAACCAGCACCGATCGACATGCAGTAGGACAAGCAAACGCCCTTGAGGTTGACCGTGTTGTACTTGCCTGAGATGCCGTTGGTGTCGCACGTCGACTTGACTACGAGAAGTTAGCAAGATTGCTCGAGAGAAAAAGGCCCAAGACCCAAGATACGGTGGTCGCTTACTCTTATCCCCTCGCTCAATCAAATCGTTCTTCTTGAGGCCGGGCACCGCCTTTGTCCACTTTATGCAGCATCCAGTCTTTCCGGTCGCATCATTCTTCCAGCAGATCTGTTGGGCCCCTTTGACCAGTTCTGTATCTTTGTTTCCGTAGAGGTCATTGATAAGCTCAGAGCAGACCGAGTTGGTACCGCCGTTTTTCTTGCCGTCACATTCGGGCTTGTCTAGGGCGGTTTCGTGGCAGGTTTTAGGAGGGCAGGGTGGCTGAAACCATCCTCCGCAGTCCTTTCGCGGAGCTAGGGACCTCTTGACTTCTCCGTATTGGACGATGGAACCACCTTCGCGCTTCTCGGACTTCAGCTCATAGACGCTGGTCTCATCGGGTCCAGCGGTAGGAGAAGCCATCAAGCCGGTTGCCATGAGGCTGGCCATGAGGAGAGTGACAGTTGAGAATTGCATTGTGAATCTGGTATTTGGCTTTGTAGAAGGTAGAGGTTTGTTGACTGGTATCGGAAGGCAGAGAAATGTTGAAGTTGATTGAGTTAATTGACTGAATTGGTTGTTGAATGTGGTTTGGGTGTTGTGATGACACTAGAAGAGACGGCAAATCTTAAGCTTTTATCTTCTCATCTCTGCCCCAAGGGCTCGCGTGATGAGAATGAACGTTGCTATGCATACCCTGGGAACAAGTTCTTCCAAGTCTTCATTGTCCTTCGCCGGTGTGCGTTTACGTGTCTCACCCAACTTTGCACAGCCTGTGGGTATCCCGCCGAAGCCTTCGTTGTCATCGCAGTATCGCTCGCATTCCAAATTCCTGCCCCACTATGCACAGCCTGGGGATACGCTGCCACGAGTTTGATTGTGGTCCGTTAGGCTGTGTTGCTTTCTCGAAGATGGTCGTTGCCCAAGAGCCGTGCACAATCTGAAACACGCCCGGGTGCCGATCACGGGATCTACAGTTTCACAGCTATACACCTACAATAAGCCTCGCTTGTTCGGCTAATGGCCACGCACGTAGACTTACACACCGAGACCTTATGGTACGCCTAAACAATGCAAACCCCTCCAAGGCTGTGTAGCCTCCTCTGCGTAACGTACCTGGGGCCAAGACCTACTGATTTTCCGAGACTTCATCATGTTAAGAGGATTTTCAAAGCGCCTACGCCCTAGTTGAGCTATCGCTGGTTCTGTTAAGATAGATTTTTGAACAATGCACACCCCTGCACGGCTGTGAAGCTCGTCCCTGCTGCAAAGTCCAACCGGTCTTCGGAAACTTTCTGGGTGCATCACAATTCCCTTGGATTCCACCGGGCAGGCTATTTTGGAAATCCACAGGTCGGCATTGTCGCATACGGCACCGAGAAAGGCCGGGTTGGAAGATGCCCACTGCTCAGAGCAAGTAATAGGAGGCGTTCTCTTAAGAATATATAATTGCGAGGACCTTTGCCTCAACTTCGTCACCATCCAAATTATCTATTTATTCTTAGTACAACTTACGAAACCCTGTTATACCACACCTGTTCCTGCCAGCTTAATTCAATCCAACTTCTCTCGAAAACTACACACGTCACAAAATGCTCTCCCTCAAGACTTGCGCCATTATCCTGTTTCTTACTTCGTCTATAACAATTGCTGCACTAGTTAATAATGTAACTCCAAACCCTCTCGCTAAGCGCGTAGAACCTAAGTCCGGCCCCGGGTTTAAAAGTTAACTAAAGAATCTTTAGATTAGTATTAAAGGCTAGAGGGACCTTGCCGAGATTAATTGCTATATTATGCTTTGTATCCTTAGCACTAATATCTTGTAAGTTTTCTACGCGAGGAAAAGAGTCTTGCTTATAGCTTACAACAAACTCAACAGTTAGCAAGGGCTCAACTCAGCTTATAGCGAGCAGGAATATAGAAAAGCCGGGGCAGCAAACTAGCTATTCTACAACAATAGAATTAAAAAATATAGTACTACGCGGGCTAGCACGGACACTATTAGCCTAGAAAACTTCTCTTGAAAAAGTATTGTATTGCAGAATAGTTAATATAGATATTTTACAGGCAGTCTATTTCCCTAACAAAGTAGTAAGTTAGTAATAGCTTTTGTTTGTAAGGCTGCAATTTCTGCTAATACTATTTAGTGCAGAAAGAATGTATAACGGCAGCATATAAAAAAAAGGAGGGTAGTAATATTATTAGCTACAACAAGTAGTTCGAAATTAATCTTCTTAAAAAGTATAAATTAAATCTATCCCTTATTGCTACGCAATCCTACTAATATATTCCAGGCAAGCACTTTTTGGACTAATGTGCACAGCGTAGTTAGAGAAAAATTACAGTATATACAGCAAAAAAAAAAAACTCAATATTCTAGGGCAAGTAGGCATTGTTCTTACGAGTTTAATATATTATTATATTGCGGGCATATACTACTACGCAACGCAGAAGAGTTAGAAGTATAGTCTAAATTTAGTTAAATAGGATGTTAACCCGAACACTCTAACCCCTAGGAGTATTATATTGTTAGACACTGCAGTAGTACCTAATACTAGTACTAGACTTTATGCATTTCCTACATTAATAATAGAAAGCAGACTTTAATATAAGCGCTAGATTTTTTGCACACTTAAAAATACTATAATAATAATAAAAAGCAGTACTTAATACTAGTATTAAATTGTATAAGCAGGTTTAAGCCTTGCGTACAAAAATAATACTTAAGTAAAAAGTAGTATTTAATACTAGCGCTAGTTTTTATATAAAAAGTAGTATCTAATACTAGTGCTAAACTTTATATAGTAGGTAGGCAGGCAGTACTTAATACTAGCGCTAGAATAGAATAGCTTTTAAAAAAAGCTTTAGCAGCGTATATAAGCAGCTTATATTATGCATAACTATAAATTAATATTTTAGAATTTACAAAGCTTACGCGCTTTTAAACTTTAATATTTTTTTTATAAACTTAGTTTATATTATATTATTGCTTTTGCTATTTAGTATAGCAATTATACTTAAAAGCTTTGCTAAATGCTTAAAATAGCTGTTTATAGTTAGTAAATATAAGCGCAGCTAGTTTTAAAAAAAATATTAATTAATTTTTATTTTTAGTTTTGCAATTTTTAACTATTTTTACAAACTTATTTACTTAATTTAAAAATATTTTTTATATAAATATTATTAAAAGTAAAAGAAAATTAGAAACTAAAGTTATTATTAAAGTTTTTTAATAATATTTACTTAAAAATAGAAGGAAGCTAGTACTGCGCAGATATAGTGCGCCTTATTATAAAAAAGTAACTAGGGCTAGTAATTACTCCTAAGTAAGGCGTAGTTTAGTAATAAAAAAAATAGTATAAAAATTAAATACTAGTAGTAGTAGCACAGCTATTTTAATTAAGTAGAAAAAAAATAAATAGAATAAATATAGAATTTTTAAATAAATTAGCATTTTTATTTTTTAAGCTAGTTAAGTTTTTTTTTAGATTACTATTTTTAAGTTTTTTTTTTTTTAACTATTTCTTCTTTTTTTGCTTAAGCTTTTTTTATAAGCTGTTATTTTTTATAAATATAGGCTTACTAATAAAAATAATATTTTTAATATTTAGCTCTAACTTCTGCTTATTAAACTCTTTACTTAGGCTTAGTATTTTCTGTATTAGTTTTAAAGCTAAGTATAGTTTTATAAATATAGTTATTTACTTTTTATTTATAATTATAATACTCTTTGCTATTATTATTATTAATATTTTTTTTATTTATTATTTCTTGCTTGCTTTATACTTTTGTGCTAAGCTTTAATCTATTGCGCTTATAGTAATTTAAGCCTATTTATATTTTACTTAATTTATAGCTACTACTTGTGCAACTACTTAGTTTAATATTATATTTATTATTGCTATTTATGCTGCTATTCTACTTGCTATTTAAGCTGCGCAAGTTAATACTTACTATTATTATTTTATTGCAAAACTAGGCTAGATTCTTAGCCGCAGCAAGGGCAGTTTTTAATAGTAATAATAGTAAATAATAAAATACAAGTTAAAAGCTAAAAAACGTAGTATAATATAAGCTTAAGCTTTAGCTAAAATGCATATACTTTTGCACTTATTGCCTTACTTTTATATAAATAGTAGTAAGTACTGTATATATTGCAATCTTTATATTAACTTAACTACTTTCTATTTATATATTAATAGTAAAGAATATATAATTTACTAAATGCAAAGTAAGTAGTAAGCTAGTTTTACTATAGCAAAAAATAATATTACTTAGGTAATTATAAAAATAATAAGCAAGCACTTTTTTTAGGCTTAAACTAAAGCTTAATAGCTATATAAAGTTTTGCAGCAGCTTTATAAAGCTTATTAAAATTATAAAATCTTTTTAGTTTATTTTTTTACTAACTATAATACTTGTAGAATTATTTTTTAATAGTATTGTAGAAAAAAGCCTAGGTTTAGCCTATTAAAGCTGTTTGATATAGAGAAATTTAGAGTTTTTTTCTATATACTTTTCTACACACCTAATTAAATCTGTAGTATTCTAATAAAGATAAAACCTAAAAGACTAAAATATAAAGAGCTATAATCTAATTTTAAATATAATATAGAATTTTATATAAAATATGTAGTTTATAAAATATATTTAAAAAAAGTATTAATTATAAAGTTTTAATATTACTGCACGCGCGTATAATAGGCAGTATTTTAGTTTACTATGCGCGCAATAAGCAGCATTTTAGTTTACTATACACGCAATAGGCAGTATTTTAGTCTACTATGCGTATAATAGGCAGCATTTTAGTCTACTGCGCGCGCAATAGGCAGTATTTTAGTTTATTATACGCGCAATAAGTAGTATTTTAGTTTACTATATATATAATAAGTAGCATTTTAGTCTACTGCGCGCGCAATAGGCAGTATTTTAGTTTACTGCGCATATAATAGGCAGTATTTTAGTTTACTACGCGCGTAATAAGTAGTATTTTAGTTTACTATATATATAATAAGCAGTATTTTAGTTTACTATACGCGTAATAGGTAGTATTTTAGTCTACTATACGTGTAATAAATAGCATTTTAGTTTACTACGCGCACAATAGTATATAAAATAAAAATTTATATTATAAATTTTTATAAATAGTTAAGTATATACTGCATGTACTAAGAACTGCGCATAGGCAAATAAAAAAAAATTTAAAAAAGTTTACTAATTTTTTTTTTATAAATAGTTAAATATATACTAGATTTACTAAGCACTGCGCGAGGCATTTATACTGCAATTTAAAAAAGTTTACTAGCCCTTTATATATAATTAAAAGCGCTATAGAGTTTTATTGTATACTCTGCAAAGTACCTGTACTTATATATTTATCTTTATACTTATTTATAAGTTTAGACTTTATATATAAATTAAAACTATTTTGCATTTTAGAATAAAGACAAAGTTATAAATACTTGTATTAATAGGCA